TGGGGGCCACAGACACGCCAATTCCCTACGGGGTGCGTGTGGCTGATGGCACACCTGCCCTCCCCTCCCTACCTTATTACAGACCAACTCAGACCTTACTGGTCATCCCGTGCTCATTATACATCTCAACGTTCATCCCGCAAAGTCCCATCACGAGGGAGAGAAACACAAACGAATAAGACAAATCGCGCCCGTATTGAAACGGCTGTACGCCCGTATGGACATGAAACACTCAATTTCCCTGTGCAAGAATACGGGGTGGGGGGTGGGGTGGGAGGGGTCAACCGCATGGGCTGACAGCTGTGCCATCGGCGACCACGTGATTTCGTCGGGTGACCCCCGATTGTGTCGTACCACAGCGCGTCACAGCGCGACCCACGTGACCCATGCGCGTCACACATGACGCACGCGCATTGTGACGCACGCGCACGAGATGCTGGGCGCAAACTCTCCGAGTTCGACAAAACGTTGCCCCCACCCTCGCCGCCTTGCGCTGCGACTCCGGCGATCGTCGACCGACAAAATACAAATCTTGCGCTCATGTCGCGACGCGTGTCAACATTTTTCTCTACGAGTTACCCTCTATGCAAATGTAATTATCGTACCCTAATCATAATCATCATCATTATTACATCAACTTGAAACGCTGCTCCGCCTTCGCTCTCGGGAGGAGGAGGGACCACAGACGAGCCGGGGAGGCAGCCAGGCAGGGAACCGACGCTGACGATAATTTCCCAAGCTCTGAGGTCCTCTACATATTGAGGTGTTACCGGCGAATGAATGGGTGCTGACATGGGAGGAAATCGGAGTGCCCGGAAAAAACCCACGCGGAACACGTGAGGGTCCACGCTCTCGCTACGACGCCTTCCCCTGGCAGAGTCAGGGCACGGGCTCACCCTCTTGACGCCAAACGGACAGACAGATGGAACAGATGGAGATTAGTCCACACTTTGCTGCACCGCCTTATCCTGCCCAGCCGGTGTGTGTAGCTCCTCCTTGACGCATCACGGGAGGGAGATGGAACGGATGGAGATTATCTCTTCTTGGTTCTTTCGGTAAAGTCACGTAGAAGGGAAATAATAAAAATAAAACATAATAAAATAATTCTCACGACGTTTCGGCCACAACGCAAGCAGCCGTCTTCAGGTGGAGAACAGGTCTGTCGAGAGACAGAGTCTGAATGGCACGCCCCAGGCTTGGAGCGACTATTATGTTTTATTTTTATTATTTTATTATTTCCATTCTACGTGACTTTACCGAAAGAACCAAGAAGATGAATCCCTGCTGCAGTCACGGATGGAGATTAGTCCACACTTTGCTGTACCGCCGTCTCCTGGCAGAGTCGGGCTACGGCTCCTCGTCACCCACCCACGGCTACCATCCCAGTGTGACCCACCAACCCCTCGCTCCTGCTTCCGCTACCCACAATGCAGTGCCGGATTTACAGGCTGCTGCTGCCGCGTGCAGTAGCGTAGCCGCTGCCGGGGGTGGGGGGGGGGGGGTGCCCTCTTAATCCGGGTGGCGCCGTGTCTGAAGGAAGTCGTGTGGGGGCCGTCCATAAATGACGTCACGCGATTTTGGACGATTTCTGACTCCCCCCCCCTCGTCACACGGCGTCACAAAAAGTCAGACCCCCCCCCCCCCCCTCAAATGACGTTACAAAGCTCTGCCCCTCCCCCTCAAAATAAAACATGCTTGAAATCGTCTTCTTGGTTCTTTCGGTAAAGTCACGTAGAAGGGAAATAATAAAATAATCAAAATAATACGTAATAAAATAATATTATTTTATTACGTATTATTTTATTACTTCCCTTCTACGTGACTTTACCCAAAGAACCAAGAAGATGAATCCCTGCAGTCACGAAAGCTTTAAATCGAAATGCTTGAAATCGCTTTAAACTATTGTCATTGTAGTGCGTATTTAATGTGGCGCTGCACTCTGATGTTGTAGGAGAAAACATTTATTAAAAAGTCTATGTAATTAAGTAGAACGTGTTGTCTATATTTAGTTAAAGTTGCGCATTTTGACGTGACGTCACATTTCCCAACCCCCACCCCCCCTCGTCACACATCGTCACAAAGGTCTGACCCCCCCCTCCCACCCCAGGTGCGTGACGTCATTTATGGACGGCCCTCTGTCGCGGTGTTCGTCACTCGCAGCGTCTCGTCCGCAGAGTCGGCGGCGTTCGCCTCCTCGACACGTGGCAGGTCACCGGCGTTCCTTCAAGCGAGCCCGACTCTGCTGATGAGAGACTGAACGTCGAAACCGAGCCGGACGTTCCCTTCTGCTCGGCCAGCGTTCTCCGCTCGTTTTCAGAGTGGCGGCCGCCTTCGCCCATAAGACATCGTCGGTGCGAGGGCTGCCACCACACCAATTGAAACCATTGGGGGGGGGGGGGGTGGTGGGTTTGACAGCAGCACGATGCTGATGCTGCTGATGATGATGGGGGTGTTTTCACTGTTTGTGTAGAGTCGGGGTGGCAGCACGTCTTGGGGACCGCACTAAAGGCCACCACTGGGAGCCCGGCGGCGGGGCCTTGCGATGAGCAAGGCACGGCGGGCACGGAACGGCGGGCACGGCGGGCGCCGCACACGATGGCAGCGGCAGCAGCAGCGGCGGCGGCGACGCGGTTCAGGAGCTCGGTGGCCATGTGGAGGTCTGCATCGGTTGTCGCTGTATGGGCCACGGCGAGAGGACTTCATCAGGGAGAGGACTTCATCAGGGAGAGGACTTCATCAGGGAGAGAGCTTCATCAGGGAGAGGGCTTCATCAGGGAAAGAGCTTCATCAGGGAGAGAGCTTCATCAGGGAGAGGACTTCATCAGGGAAAGAGCTTCATCAGGGAGAGAGCTTCATCAGGGAGAGGGCTTCATCAGGGAGAGAGCTTCATCAGCGAGAGGACTTCATCAGGGAGAGGACTTCATCAGGGAGAGAGCTTCATCAGCGAGAGGACTTCATCAGGGAGAGGACTTCATCAGGGAGAGAGCTTCATCAGGGAGAGGGCTTCATCAGGGAAAGAGCTTCATCAGCGAGAGGACTTCATCAGGGAGAGGACTTCATCAGGGAGAGAGCTTCATCAGCGAGAGGACTTCATCAGGGAGAGGGCTTCATCAGGGAGAGGACTTCATCAGGGAGAGGACTTCATCAGGGAGAGGACTTCATCAGGGAGAGGGCTTCATCAGGGAGAGAGCTTCATCAGGGAGAGGACTTCATCAGGGAGAGGACTTCATCAGGGAGAGGACTTCATCAGGGAGAGGACTTCATCAGGGAGAGGACTTCATCAGGGAAAGAGCTTCATCAGCGAGAGGACTTCATCAGGGAGAGGGCTTCAGCAGGGAGAGGACTTCATCAGGGAGAGGGCTTCAGCAGGGAGAGGACTTCATCAGGGAGAGGACTTCATCAGGGAGAGGACTTCATCAGGGAGAGAGCTTCATCAGCGAGAGAGCTTCATCAGGGAGAGGGCTTCATCAGCGAGAGGACTTCATCAGGGAGAGGACTTCATCAGGGAGAGGGCTTCAGCAGGGAGAGGACTTCATCAGGGAGAGGACTTCATCAGGGAGAGGGCTTCATCAGGGAAAGAGCTTCATCAGGGAGAGGGTTCGCGTCGTTGTCGCTGTTCTTCCTCCTTTTCCGTTGAAGGGGTGCAGACCACAGTGGGGTTACTGTGCAGTCCAAAGCGTTGGGTTGAAATCGCACCACGTCTGTGGATTATATTTCAGTATCTCTATGGGTCTCTATCTCTATGTGTGTCTATGCATCTCTATAAGTGTCTATTTATCTCTATGTATCTCTATGTGTCTCTGTGTGTCGATGTATCTCTACGTGTGTATGTATCTCTATGTGTCTCTATGTATCTCTGTGTCTCTATGTGTCTCTATGTGTGTATGTATCTCTATTTGTCTCTATGTATCTCTGTGTCTCTATGTGTCTCTGTGTCTCTTTGTATATTTATGTGTGTCTATGTATGTGTCTCTATGTGTCTCTATGGGTTTGCTCTATGGGTTTCTGTGTCTCTATAGGTTTGCTCTATGGGTTTCTGTGTCTCTATGGGTTTGCTCTATGGGTTTTTGTGTCTCTATGGGTTTGCTCTATGGGTTTGCTCTATGGGTTTGTTCTATGTATCTCTATCTCTATGGGTTTGCTCTATGGGTTTGCTCTATGGGTTTGTTCTATGTATCTCTATCTCTATGGGTTTGCTCTATGGGTTTGCTCTATGGGTTTCTGTGTCTCTATGGGTTTGTTCTATGGGTTTGTTCTATGGGTTTGCTCTATGGTTCGTTTGGGTTTCACGGCCGCATTCGCACCACCGCCGTGTCTTGTGTCAATCATTCTCCGTTTGCGAAGGACACGTGCTCACAATCTCCCCACTCTGCGTCAAACGTCGTCGTCGTCGTCATGAGCCGTGGTCAGTCCACTGCTGGATGAAGTCCTCCCCAAGTCGCCTCCACCCTCACAGTTCCGCGATGAAACAAACCGCCCAGCAGCTGCACGCGAGCTGATTCCATTGCTCCATCTCCGTGGAGGACGATTTTCCTCCCTCCATCTCCCCCATCTCGTCGCCCATCACATCTGCAACCCGCTCTCCGCAATCTCCCATCACAATTCAAACCCCATTTTCACACTCAATCTCTCGTCACATCTCCCACCACATCTCCAACTCGCTCTCCGCTCTCAATGCCCCCCACAACATCTCTCGTCGCATGCCCGGTCACATCTCCAACGCCTTCTCAACTCAATCTCTAATCACATCTCTCATCGCTTCTGCAACTCCCCACTCCACTCTAAATATCCCATGCCCCACATCTCCCATTAAACCTCCAACTCCCTCTCGACTCTCAATGCCTCCCACAACATCTCTCATCGCATGCCCTGTCACATCTCCCATCGCGTCTGCGAACGCCTCTCCACTCTCAACCTCCCAATCACACCTCCCTACTCCGCCTCCCACACCACATCTCCAACCCCCTGTCCACACCACAGCCCCCCCGCCCCAATCCCCTCCGCGTCAGTTGAGCAGCAGCTGCTGGATGTTGTTCTGGATGATGGTGTCCCGCACGGCGTTGAACACCACCTTGATGTTCTCCGTGTCGATGGCCGTGGTGAAGTGGTGGAACAGGGGCTTCGTCGAGTCCCTCCTCCTCTTGGCGCGGAAGCTGCGCACGAGGAACTCCTGGACGTCGTCCAGGCAGCGCGGGTCCCCGCGGAACTCGGGGAACGACTCGGCGATGCTCACGGTGGCGATCTTCTCGAGCAGCAGGTCCGTCTTGTTGAGGAAGAGCACCACGGACACGCCGGCGAAGAAGCGGTTGTTGACGATCGTGTCGAAGACGGACATGGACTCGCGCAGGCGGTTCGTGGCGCCGTCCTCGGCCAGCGCCTGGTCGAACTCGCTGCACGAGGCGAGGAAGAGGATCGAGGTGACGCCCTCGAAGCACTGGAACCACTTGTGGCGCTCGGAGCGCTGGCCGCCCACGTCCACCATGCGGAAGGGCACGCCGTGGATCACGAACTCGTGCTCCACGATGCCCTTGGTGGCGCGTCGCGCAAGCAGGATGTCCTGGCGCGACGGCGTGTACAGCTGGGGGAGGGGCGGGGGGGGGGGGGAGTTAGAGAATGTGGGTGTGAGACGTAACGGTGATGTGGACCGTAATATCCGACTCGGCTTGGGCGTCTTGTAGAACAATCACGCGCCCCTACAACCACACACACCTACAACCACACACTCCTACAACCACACACCCCTACAACCACACACACCCCTACAACCACACACACCCCTACAACCACACACACACCTACAACCACACACACCTACAACCACACACTCCTACAACCACACACACCCCTACAACCACACACACCCCTACAACCACACACACCCCTACAACCACACACACACCTACAACCACACACACCTACAACCACACACACCTACAACCACACACTCCTACAACCACACACCCCTACAACCACACACACCCCTACAACCACACACACCCCTACAACCACACACACACCTACAACCACACACCCCTACAACCACACACCCCTACAACCACACACACCCCTACAACCACACACACCCCTACAACCACACACACACCTACAACCACACACACCTACAACCACACACCCTTACAACCACACACACCCCTACAACCACACACACCCCTACAACCACACACACACCTACAACCACACACCCCTACAACCACACACACCCCTACAACCACACACCCTACAACCACACACCCTACAACCACACACCCCTACAACCACACACACCCCTACAACCACACACACCCCTACAACCACACATCCCCCTACAACCACACACACCCCTACAACAACACGCCCCTACAACCACACACACACCTACAACCACACACCCCTACAACCACACACCCCTACAACCACACACCCCTACAACCACACATCCCCCTACAACCACACACACCCCTACAACCACACACACGCCTACAACCACACACGCCTACAACCACACACACCTACAACCACACACACCTACAACCACACACTCCTACAACCACACACGCCTACAACCACACACCCCTACAACCACACACACCCCTACAACCACACACACCCCTACAACCACACACCCCTACAACCACACACCCCTACAACCACACACACCCCTACAACCACACACACCCCTACAACCACACACACCCCTACAACCACACACCCCTACAACCACACACACCCCTACAACCACACACACCTACAACCACACACCCCTACAACCACACACACCCCTACAACCACACACCCCTACAACCACACATCCCCCTACAACCACACACTCCCCTACAACCACACACGCCTACAACCACACACGCCTACAACCACACACACCTACAACCACACACTCCTACAACCACACACACCCCTACAACCACACACACCCCTACAACCACACACACCCCTACAACCACACACCCCTACAACCACATATCCCCCTACAACCACACACTCCCCTACAACCACACACGCCTACAACCACACACACCTACAACCACACACCCCTACAACCACACATCCCCCTACAACCACACACTCCCCTACAACCACACACGCCTACAACCACACACGCCTACAACCACACACACCCCTACAACCACACACCCCTACAACCACACACCCCTACAACCACACATCCCCCTACAACCACACACACCCCTACAACCACACACCCCTACAACCACACACCCCTACAACCACACACGCCCCTACAACCACACATCCCCCTACAACCACACACCCCTACAACCACACACCCCTACAACCACACACCCCTACAACCACACACACCTACAACCACACACACCCCTACAACAACATGCCCCTACAACCACACACACCTACAACCACACACACCCCTACAACCACACGCCCCTACAACCACACACACCTACAACCACACACACCCCTACAACCACACACCCCTACAACCACACACACCTACAACCACACACACCCCTACAACCACACACACCCCTACAACCACACACACCCCTACAACCACACACACCCCTACAACCACACACACCTACAACTACACACCCCTACAACCACACACACCCCTACAATCACACACACCTAAAACCACACACACCTACAACTACACACCCCTACAACCACACACACCCCTACAACCACACACCCCTACAACCACACACACCCCTACAACCACACACACCTACAACCACACACACCTACAACCATACACACCCCTACAACCACACGCCCCTACAACCACACACACCCCTACAACCACACACACCTACAACCACACACACCCCTACAACCACACACACACCTACAACCACACACCCCTACAACCACACACCCCTACAACCACACACCCCCCTACAACCACACACACCCCTACAACCACACACACGCCTACAACCACACACACGCCTACAACCACACACACGCCTACAACCACACACGCCTACAACCACACACACCTACAACCACACACACCTACAACCACACACTCCTACAACCACACATCCCTACAACCACACACCCCTACAACCACACACACCCCTACAACCACACACGCCTACAACCACACACCCCTACAACCACACATCCCCCTACAACCACACACGCCTACAACCACACATGCCTACAACCACACACGCCTACAACCACACACACCTACAACCACACACTCCTACAACCACACACACCCCTACAACCACACACACCCCTACAACCACACACCCCTACAACCACACATCCCCCTACAACCACACACTCCCCTACAACCACACACGCCTACAACCACACACGCCTACAACCACACACACCTACAACCACACACCCCTACAACCACACATCCCCCTACAACCACACACTCCCCTACAACCACACACGCCTACAACCACACACGCCTACAACCACACACACCCCTACAACCACACACCCCTACAACCACACACACCCCTACAACCACACACCGCTACAACCACACATCCCCCTACAACCACACACACCCCTACAACCACACACCCCTACAACCACACACCCCTACAACCACACACCCCTACAACCACACACGCCCCTACAACCACACATCCCCCTACAACCACACACCCCTACAACCACACACCCCTACAACCACACACACCCCTACAACCACACACACCTACAACCACACACACCCCTACAACAACATGCCCCTACAACCACACACACCTACAACCACACACACCCCTACAACCACACACCCCTACAACCACACACCCCTACAACCACACACGCCCCTACAACCACACACACCTACAACCACACACACCCCTACAACCACACACCCCTACAACCACACACACCTACAACCACACACACCCCTACAACCACACACACCCCTACAACCACACACACCCCTACAACCACACACACCTACAACTACACACCCCTACAACCACACACACCCCTACAACCACACACCCCTACAACCACACACACCTAAAACCACACACACCTACAACTACACACCCCTACAACCACACACACCCCTACAACCACACACACCCCTACAACCACACACACCTACAACCATACACACCCCTACAACCACACGCCCCTACAACCACACACCCCTACAACCACACACACCTACAACCACACACACCCCTACAACCACACACACCCCTACAACCACACACACCCCTACAACCACACACACCCCTACAACCACACACCTCTACAACCACACACACCCCTACAACCACACACACCCCTACAACCACACACACCTACAACCACACACACCCCTACAACCACACACCCCTACAACCACACACACCCCTACAACCACACACACCTACAACCACACACCCCTACAACCACACACCCCTACAACCACACACCCCTACAACCACACACCCCTACAACCACACACCCCTACAACCACACACCCCTACAACCACACACACCCCTACAACCACACACCCCTACAACCACACACACCCCTACAACCACACACACCCCTACAACAACACGCCCCTACAACCACACACACCTACAACCACACACACCTACAACCACACACACCTACAACCACACACACCCCTACAACCACACACACCCCTACAACAACACGCCCCTACAACCAGACAACAACCAGACTATGACCACCCTCTGAATCCCTCCCCCACCATCCCTCTCCCTCTGCCCGCTGCAGCTGCCGCCGCCCACTGTGAAAACAGACGCCGTGGCGAGGTCCCCCTGGTGCTGCCTCCTCCTCCTCCTCTCTATCCTCATCTCTCCAAACGCAGAAGATCGTCTGGGGTTTGATGCTCCCCGACGAAGCTGCTCATGGTCCACCCCTAAAGTGCATCCACTGCACAGACCATGGCACCAGATGTGGGATAACCCCCTCTGGACGATGCACAAATGGAACATTGCAAAACAAGTATAACCCGTAAAAACAAAGTTTTTCACTTTAAATCCTTTATATGCGTGGCGGCGAGAGTCCTCTCGTCCTCTGGCTTGAGATGGCTGCCACCTATGGGTCAGATGATTGCATTGTACCATTAAGCAATTGGCAATTAAATATAATATTTTAGTCCTATAACGTGAAAAATTTTGGAAAATTTTTTTTCATGAACATTAATTGTCACGCACAACGAGTCTGTGTGCAAAATGTCAGCTCGATTGGATCACGGGGAGTGGGTTAAAAAACGACCGAAAAATTTGCACGGTCGTAAGCAAGCAAGCGAACTTAATATAAAGGATTTTAAAAATACCTCTCGAGCAGCGGTGCGACCGTGGTCATCCAGAACGGAACGTGTGACGGATAACGACGCAATGCCCGATCCGCGAATGCGACGGAGACATCACAGCGGCGGTACAACCCCGCCGCTTGTTCCCGACGTGGTTATCTGCTGGTTTGACCACCTGTGATGTGACATCGTAGTCATTTCGATTTAAAGTTTTCGTGACTGCAGGGATTAATCTTCTTGGTTCTTTCGGTAAAGTCACGTAGAATGGAAATAATAAAATAATAAAAATAAAATATAATAAAATACAATTCTCACGACGTTTCGGCCACAACGCAAGCAGCCGTCATCAGGTGAAGACCAGGTCTGTCGGGGAGACAGCGTCTGAATGAAACACCACCACGCTTAAATAGACGCTCCAAGCGTGGTGGTGTTTCATTCAGACGCTGTCTCCCCGACAGACCTGGTCTTCACCTGAGGACGGCTGCTTGCGTTGTGGCCGAAACGTCGTGAGAATTATTTTATTATGTTTTATTTTTATTATTTTATTATTTCCATTCTACGTGACTTTACCGAAAGAACCAAGAAGATCGTAGTCGTTGCTCTGCGTTTACATCAGCCGCACGGAAGACGCTCACTCCCGGTCCCTTGCTGCCGCCTCTCCGTTCCTTTTGCATCTCTGTCCTCCCATTCCCTCCGCTCTCTCTCTCCTCTTCTCTCTCTATTCCCCTTTCAGCGGGACATCAACTCCGCAACTCTGCTCACCCTCCCTCTCCGTGTGTTGAACTTCTGTCGCGCCGTAACGTAGCCAACCGCGCTCATCGGAGCTGCGGTGAGCACGGTTTGGCTACGTGCGGCGGCAATCTGCGCCCGTGGCCAGCGCAGACCTCCTTGAACCCAGAGATTTGCCGTAGAATTTAAAAAGCGACGTCGTTATCATCATCACATCTGGCACGCGGTAGTGGTGGACGTCTGAAGCGAAAAACAATTTCCCCATCAATAATGTGACGATCAAAGTTTGGCGAGATACGACGCACCACTGCCACCACTGCCACCACTGCCACCACTACCACCACTGCCACCACTGCCACCACTACCGCGACTACCACCACTGCCACCACTACCACCACTACCACCACTACCACCACTGCCACCACTACCACCACTGCCACCACTACCACCACTACCACCACTACCACCACTGCCACCACTACCACCACTGCCACCACTACCACCACTGCCACCACTACCACCACTACCACCACTACCGCGACTACCACCACTACCACCACTACCACCACTACCACCACTGCCACCACTACCACCACTACCACCACTGCCGCGACTACGTACAGCGACGCGGCGGGACAAATAACGGAGGGTCAAGCCGCCGCGTCACCGCATCATCACTCCCCGTACTGCGTCCATACCTGTCAAGCCCTCATCAGTGCCCGCTACCTTATTACACACAAACTCAGACCGTGTTGGTCACCCCGTGCCCATTGTAAATTGCTACGTTCATCCTACAGAGTCCCATCACAAGGGAGAAACACAAAAAGACAATTTTTGTTGCCCACATTGAAACGTCTGTACGCCCGTATGGACCTGACAAACTCAATTTCCGTGTACACGAGAATACGGGGAGGTAAACCGCCTGGGTTGACAGCGATGCGTATCACTACACCGCCTCAGCCCAAGAAAGTAGTTCGTCGTCGACCGCTCAGAAACGGCGTTATAACGGGACGCGCGTTATAACGAGGCGCACGTTATAACGAGGCGCACGTTATAATGGGACGCGCGTTATAACGGGACGCGCGTTATAACGGGACGCGCGTTATAACGAGGCGCACGTTATAACGGGACGCACGTTATAACGGGACGCGCGTTATAACAGGACGCGCGTTATAACGGGACGCGCGTTCCACGTTGCGTGCAGTGTTCCCGAATGAAAGAAGCGCGTTCTAGCGAAAAACGCGTTGCAAGTGTGAACACCACGCGTTAAGCGATGAACCCCCACTGTCTTGCTGTAGAATTCAAGAGCCTCATCATCACATCCGAGCTCGCGGGCTGCATGCTGTATGATGTATGCTGCATGCTGTATGCTGCATGCTGTATGCGGCATACTGTATGCAGCATGCTGTATGCTGCATACTGCATGCTGCATGCAGTATGCAGTATGCTCCACACCGCTGCTTGGGGTGGAGGGGGTGGTGAGGTTTGGCACCCCCCCCCACCTCACCCCAAACTCATCTCCCCCCCACCTCACCCCAAACTCATCCCCACCACCACCACCACCACCTCACCCCAAACTCATCCCCACCACCACCACCACCTCACCCAAAACCCACGCACGGCCCCGTCCGGTGCCTCTATCACAGGAAGCCCCCAACGGCTGTGCTACAGCCCGATAACAAAAACCAGCGGCCACGTGGTGCGAATTACCACCCCCCCCCCTCTCTCTCTCTCTCAACGACTCACCCACATCTTCTTGGTTCCTTCGGTAAAGTCACGTAGAATGGAAATAATACAAAAAAAATAATAATTCTCACGACGTTTCGGCCACAACGCAAGTAGCCGTCCTCAGGTGGAGAGCAGGTCTGTCGAGGAGACAGCGTCATTCAGGTCTGTCGAGGAGACAGACCTGTTCTCCACCTGAGGACGGCTGCTTGCGTTGTGGCCGAAACGTCGTGAGAATTATTTTATTATGTTTTATTTTATTATTATAATGCTTTATTTTTATTATTTTATTATGTTTTATTTATTATTATTTTATTATTATTTCCATTCTACGTGACTTTACCGAAAGAACCAAGAATATGAATCCCTGCAGTCACGAAAGCTTTAAATCGACTCACCCACACTCACCACTCTCACGCGCCAATGCTGTCCGCTGCTAATTGGTGAGCAGCGATTTCAGTATCTCACCGGTGACGTCTGACCAACTCACCACCATCCCCCCCCCCCACACACCAACTACCGTCCCCCCGAACCGACTCACAAAGACAAAGATCCCCCGTATAGGCTGCCTTTTGGAACAGGGCTGTTGGGGGCAAAGTGCTGCTTTAGCGGAGCAGTAGCAGCAGCTACGGAAGGCCGGCACGGCACACGAGGGGGCCGGGTGGCCAACGCCACGCCCGGCCGCCTTTGTCTCCCTCGTGGCGATGCTTACTACACACCGCACCAGGTACTCATTTGAGGCCGAGTCGATCTAGGGGAGGCCCAGAACGGGTTCAAATAATCGTCAGCGGTGTTGGCCGTGAGCGGGAATCGAACTCGGGTTGCCGGGTTCATAGCGCAGCGCGCTAACCGCTACACCACCACTCCCCACTCACAACCACACACCCCTACCAACCACACACCCCTACAACTACACCTGGGATGTGCGGTCAGGGGAGGCAGGGAAGGCAGAGCCTTACCTGTCATACTCCAATGAAAACAGCTGTTACGAAAAGTAAAAAAAAATAATTATCAAATGAAATAAATATTAAGATTTCCACTGATCTGTGTTATAAATGTAAATTCTGTACGATTCCAATCATTTTTATAGTAAAAATCGCCAAATTTGCGGAGCTCCGCTGCAAATACAGGAAGAGACGAGAGGTGAGGCAGCGACGAGCTCAGCCTCCCCTCTGATTGCGCAACCCCTCAGTAGCTGGATGGAGCGCGGGCAATAAGCGCGTGCCTGTTACTATCTCAGTATGTCAGCAATGTAATGTTGGTAGACCCCTTCATTTCATGTCCTCGCCTTCCATACTCCAGCTAACTTACTTCACGTGTGTGTATAAATATATTTAGGCTCGCTGGTCTCGTCATGAAACTGCAATGAAAAAGCACCAGGGGAGGCAGCGATCACATGTGCCTCACTGAGGGGGATGTGTCTAACACGCCCCCTCAGCGAGGACACGCCCCCTCAGTGAGGACACGCCCCCTCAGTGAAGCCACGCCCCCCTCAGTGAAGACACGCCCCCTTCAGGGAAGACACGCCCCCTCAGTGAAGACACGCCCCCTTCAGGGAAGACACGCCCCCTCAACGAGGACACGCCCCCTCAGCGAGGACACGCCCCCTCGGTGAAGACACACCCCCCTCAGTGAGGACACGCCCCCTCAGTGAGGACACGCCCCCTCAGTGAAGACACACCCCCTCAGTGAAGACACACCCCCTCAGTGAAGACATACCCCCTCAGTGAAGACACACCCCCTCTGTGAAGACACGCCCCCTCAGTGAAGACACACCCCCCTCAGTGAAGACACACCCCCCTCAGTGAAGACACGCCCCCTCAGTGAAGACACGCCCCCTCAGTGAAGACACACCCCTCTCAGTGAAGACACGCCCCCTCTGTGAGACCACGCCCCCTCAGTGAAGACACACCCCTCTCAGTGAAGACACGCCCCCTCAGTGAAGACACACCCCCCTCAGTGAGGACACGCCCCCTCAGTGAAGACACGCCCCCTCAGTGAGGACACGCCCCTCAAGGAGGCCACGCCTCCTCAGCGAGGCCACGCCCCCTCAGTGAAGACACACCCCCTCAGTGTGTGAATCTGGCTCCGACACTAGCCAATGACTCCCTATCCATTGACCTCACCGCACGTCACTGAACCACACCCCCCTAACAACCACACACCCTGACAATTCTAGCCTGCTTCACCCCCCGTGGCACCCTCCGGCACGTGGCCCCAGCGGAGTGGGACCGCCAGCGGAGTGGCACCGCTAGCGCACTCCGCTAGAGGTCACCGCCTGCGCACTCCGCTAGAGGTCTCCGTCTGCGCACTCCGCTAGAGGTCTCCGTCTGCGCACCGCCGACTCCCAAACTCACCGGCTCAGAGATGCGCTCCAGGTTGTCGAGGAAGAATTTCAGGGACTCTGCCTGCAACGTAAACAAGACCACCACCACCATCATTGCCGCTGTAGCCGTCACAATTCCTCAATCGTCATCATTAGTATCATCATCATCATCATCACCGTCGCATGCTGAGCAGGGTGACTATAGCTAGCATCAGCCATTATCATCAGCAGCAGCATTAATCAGGTTCTCAACGAGCGAGACGATACATACGAGACAATACAAACGAGACAATATAAACGAGGCAATACAAACGAGACAGACAATAGTAAAGATACACACAGAAACTGGACAGACAATAGATATGAGACAGACAATACAAACGACAGAGACAATAGTAATGAGACAGACGATGTTTGTACGTATGTTGAACGTCTTTCGCACCGTACTTCGCCAACCGTGCTAATCGGAGGTGCAGGGGAAGGACAACAAACTAAACACGAAAAGCAGTTCTCTAAAGAAATACGTTTTCCCTCTAGATGATTTCAAAGTGCATAGCTCCAGTGGCTTCCAAACATCGGAAGGAAGAGCGTTCCAGACGGCCGCAGAACCGCATCTAAAAGCGCCGCGTGATGATGCGGTGAGCTCCGTCGTGGTGCGATGGCCGAGCCAAAATCCGCCCAGTGCCAGATTATCCTCGTAGCACAAGTAGCTACACGTGTAGCTACTTGTGCAGCTACTACATGTAGTAGCAGCTACTACATGTAGTAGTAGCTGCTACTACCACCCAGCCCCACCCCTCCCACCCCCCACCCAGCCCCACCCTCCCCACCCAGCCCCACCCCACCCTCCCCACCATACCACCTCCCCACCCTCCCCTCTCCACCCAGCCCCACCCCTCCCATTTTTTGATTCACAACGGACGGACACAATAATCTCCTGTGGACTGGTGGAACCAGGTGGTTCCTAGCAGTATAATAGGTTTTACCCTTTCTGGCAATGACACAGGAGGTGTTAAGATGTTAAAACACCAAAACCGAAACCCTTTGCAAGGAATCATGTCACTGTGTTAACAACACGTGGTGCTTGTGATATTCACGCAGCGTCTCGTCCGCAGAGTCGGCGGCGTTCGCCGACTCGACACGTGGCAGGTCACCGGCGTTGTTTCAAGCGAGCCCGACTCTGCTGATGAGAGACTGAACGTCGAAACCGAGCCGGAAGTTTCCTTGTGATCGGCCAGTGTTCAGAGTGGCGGCCACTTTCGCCGCACCTTTTGAAACCACTCTGGGGTTTGACAGCAGCATGATCATGATGGGGTGGGGTGGAGGGGGGGTGTTTTCACTCTTTGTGTAATGTCGAGGGCCGCACTCAAGACCACCCAGGGGCCCGGCAATGGGCCACGCGGCCTCGCAACGAAGAACACCGCGTTAAGCCAACGTTGTCGGCCGATAGGATGCGTACAGAAATGAATCATTAATTCGTTCTCTTAGGTTTTTTCGGTAAAGTCACGTAGGTAAAAAAATTAAAATTAATAAAATAAAAATAAAATAAAAATCACGACGTTTCGGAGGCAACACAAGCCTCCGTCTTCAGGTGGAACGGTCACAACACGATAGCTGTATCAAGTAACCTACGTGACTTTACCGAAAAAAACCTAAGAATATGAATCCTTGCAGTCACGAAAGCTTCAAATCTAGAATTAATTCATTCGTTTTATGTTGGGGGACAAATAGGAGGTGGAGGGGGTGTATTATCCACTTGATAATGTCGGCTCTGGGGAGCCAATAGGGCCGATGTCGAGGCAGGACAGGGCGGTGGTCCTACCCGCATTTGTTTTCATCTCAAAATGCGGACGATTGTTGTGGGGTGGGGAGGGTGGTGGGGAGGGTGGGTCATGTCATGTTGCAGAGGGGGGCACGTGGTGGTGGTGGCGGGGTGGTGGTGGAGAGTGGGGGGGGGGGTAGCATTATTAATGCATGGCGCCGAGGAGCAAGCAATGCGGCGAGAGAGGAGATGGAGTTGAGATTGCGAGGAGCACAGCGGATGAACCCAAGGTCGTTGTTGAGAGGGCGCGGCACCACCACTGTATATGTCCGCCTTAAATATGCATGAGCTGCGCCTCCGAATCATCACCTCGCAGTCTAAGCCGGCGCATGGCCTGGCAAGCCAAGCCAGGGTGGGACTAATTCACTAACCCTCTCCCCAGAGGTCGCACACGGGTTTTGATTCCTTACCCGTACCCGTACCCGGCCGCACCAGGGTCGCAAACGGGTACCCGTACCCGGCCAGGTACGGGTACCCGTTCCCTACCCGTACCCTACCCGAAACGAGTGACAAACGGTGACTCACCAGTGACTCACGGCCTACCCGTACCCGTACCCGGCCGCACCAGGGTCGCAAACGGGTATCGGGTAGGGTACGGGTATCGGGTACCCGGTTGCGACCTCTACCTCTCCCCGTAACATCACCTTACCCTTCTCACGCTGACCACTCTCCTATCGGTCACTGCGCGATTCGAAAATGTATTTTGTCCCCAAATTTCAGGAATCGATTCGCTCTTGAAGTGACCAGATGGCTCGGAGGTCACGGCGCCACCTGCGGTTCCACCGGGTTTCTCAAGAGCACAGCGAGTTGAGGGCCTCAGCCTGGTCGCCATTAGCTCGCGTCGAGACCTACAGACTTACGTAGAGGCACATAGACCGACCGAGCGACCCAAGGCCATTAACAGACTCTCACGGACCAAGCTGCGGTTGAAGCGGCTTCTTCAGAGTCGAGCGAGTTCGATGGTCCAAGCCTGGTCGCCGATAAAGGCACAGATGATAGAAACACAATCCCGTTAAATTTCGATTTAAAGCTTCTTTCGTGACTGCAGGGATTCATCTTCTTGGTTCTTTCGGTAAAGTCACGTCGAAGGGAAATAATAAAATAAGAATAATACATTTCTTTTTATAATTTTATTATTTCCCTTCGACGTAAAATCACGTAGAAGGGAAATAATAAAATAAAGAAGATTTTTTTTTATTATTTCCCTTCTACGTGACTTTACCGAAAGAACCAAGAAGACCGTTACATTCGGCGTCGAGGTTCACGTACGCCAGGGAGTGTGTGGGGGGGCAAATTGCTGCCCCCCCCCCCCTTAATTGATTTTTAATGGATCTCAGAAGCGACATCCTCTCGTCTGCGAGCCGGTCATAAAGGATCGCGTCGCTGCTGCTGATGGTCCTCCTCCTATTCTCAACAAATAAGCCGCCGTCACCGCCTCGACATTTTCTTGGTTCTTTCGGTAAAGTCACGTAGAAGGGAAGTAATAAAATAATAAAAATAAAACATAATAAAATAATTCTCACGAATTCATACTCTGTCTACTTGACAGACTCTGTCTACTTGACAGACCTGTTCTCCACCTGAAGACGGCTGCTTGCGTTGTGGCCGAAACGTCGTGAGAATTATTTAATGTTTTATTTTTATTATTTTATTATTTTCCTTCTACGTGACTTTACCGAAAGAACCAAGAAGATGAATCCCTGCAGTCACGAAAGCTTTAAGTCGAAATTCGCCTCGACATTGTTTGGGAAATGTCCTCCTCTTTTTGTCGGCATTCAAGTCTGCAGCCATGAAGTTACTGACCCCCCCTCCCAGTGCCGGATTATCCTCGTAGCAAAATTAGCTACATATGTAGCTACATGTGTAGTAGCTACATATGTAGCTACTACATGTGTAGTAGCTACGGGCCCCGCACTTTCAAGGGCCCCGCGCTATAAATGCTTTCAAGCTATCAATTCCGGTTCAGTGATTCTGCACTTGCTCTATTACTATAGTACTGTACCGCCTTCAACTTTTATGAACGACTGGGTGTTTAAGGCTAGCGATTTTTCGTATTGTCTGGCTGTATAGTAAATAAAAAAAATACAATTACTTTACTATGCAAGTAAAACATGTGTGTTCTATTTCGATTTAAAGCTTTCGTGACTGCATGGATTCGTCTTCTTGGTTCTTTCGGTAAAGTCACGTGGAATGGAAATAATAAAATAAAATAAAAGAACAGGTCTGTCGAGAAGACAGACCTCTTCTTCACCTGAGGACGGCTGCTTGCGTTGTGGCCGAAACGTCGTGAGAATTATTTTATGTTTTATTTTTATTATTTTATTATTTCCATTCTACGTGACTTTACCGAAAGAACCAAGAAGATGTGTGTTTTAATATTGACGTGTTTTTTTTAAATCTAGGGCCTCTTAATAACAACATATGCTAGAGGCTCCACACTTGCTTCGTCCGGCCCCCCTCCACCCCTCCCCCGTGCCGCTACCCCGCCACCCCCACCCCGGCCCATAGCACTGAAGAATTTCCCCCACTGCCTGGCTGGAGCGTGGAGATGATGGAGTTGACCCGCGTTACGTTGTCCGTGGTGGACCTTGTCAACGTCTCATCTTCGCAGGGAGACAATGTGCTAATAGAGAAAACGGTGATGAATATGAAACAACAACAACACCGCGCTGAACCGAACCTCGGAGGTCAATGCGATGTAAATGTAAACTTGCGCGTTCGGCGAGAGGTGCACAGGGCAAAGGCACAGCTCTGCAACTGCGCGCTCACGCTACCGCTAGCAGAAGAGTTCCCACTCTGACGGAGCGCCACTGAGCCTTCTCCCCTGGCCTCCAGGGGGTATTTGGCCTCCTCTTCCATCCACCACGCCGGGCCGGAGAGCATCCCCATCCTAGATTTGAAGCTTTCGTGACTGCAAGGATTCATACTCTTAATTCTTTCGGTAAAGTCACGTAGGTAAAAAAATGAAATTAAAATTAATAAAAATAAAACAATAAAAATCACGACGTTTCGGAGGCAACACAAGCTTCCGTCGTGATTTGTATTGTTTTATTTTTATTAATTTTTATTTCATTTTTTTACCTACGTGACTTTACCGAAAGAACTAGGAGTATATATATAAGCATCCCCATCGTTTTCGGCAAACCGCGACGGGAGATCGACTCGGATCCATGTCTACACCGAGAACCCATTCCTTTGTGCTCCCCCCTCCCCACCCCCACCCCCCACACCTTCCGATGAGGACGGTCAGCTACGTACGGTGCGCAAGAAGTTCGACCGTACATACATACGTACGAAGTGTGCAGTGTGTGTGTGTGTGTTCTGATGGGGGGGGGAGAGAGCGGCTGTCGGTGATGTGATTCGAATGCAAATTCGCAAGGAGCACACCGCGCGTGCAGTCGAGCAGTGGAGAAGATGTGCGCCTGCCATAGCTCAGGGGGAGGGGGGGGGGGTTGATGGACCACGCCGAGACCGGGAGCGAACCGCCGACACAACAACGATGTACGCGTCGATTGCGCTCGTTCAGACGGCACGGAGGCCGATTCATTTGTCAGTCCACTGCTGGTCGTTGCTATTTCACCAAACCTTCACCACGTCGCTTGGTGCGGGTGTGGTGAAGGGCCCGGGGGAGTACAGACGCGGACGCATAGAAGTATGGTACAACACTGGATTGTTGCTACACTGCCCTCTGCTGACAAAATCTCCAACCCCCCCGCCTCCCGCATGCGATGGGCACCCTGTTTGTGCACAGGTGGTCACCCACTCAAGCACTGAGCAGGCTCAAAGCTGCTTAGCTTGCAAACACTCATCCAGTCGTTTTGCCGTGGAGGCTGCTCTCGCTGCTAGCGAGCACCTATCACTTGCAAGCAGATACACTCACGGGGGGCACACAGGTACACGCCTGTGTATATACTCACGTATGCGGTCACACACACACACATAAATGCTACCTACAAATACACACATTAGACCTTCACGGATACCCACAAACACCCACAGACCCTCACGGGCACCCACAGACACCCACAGAACACCACCACAGACACCCACAGGACACCACCACAGGACACCACCACAGGACACCCACAGGACACCACCACAGACACCCACAGGACACTACCACAGAAACCCACAGGACACCCACAGGACACCCACAGGACACCACCACAGACACCCACAGGACACCACCACAGACACCCACAGGACACCACCACAGACTCCCACAGGACACCACCACAGACATCCACAGGACACCACCACAGACCCTCACAGGACACCACCACAGACCCTCACAGGACACCACCACAGACCCCCACAGGACACCACCACAGACCCTCACAGGACACCACCAGACATCCACAGGACACCACCACAGACCCTCACAGGACACCACCACAGACACCAACAGGACACCCACAGGACACCACCACAGATACCCACAGGACACCACCACAGACCCTCACAGGACACCACCACAGACACCCACAGGACACCCACAGGACACCACCACAGATACCCACAGGACACCACAGACACCCACAGGACACCACCACAGACACCCACAGGACAACCACAGGACACCACCACAAACACCCACAGGACACCACCACAGACACCAACAGGACACCACCACAGACACTCACAGGACACCACCACAGACACTCACAGGACACCACCACAGACACCCACAGGACACCACCACAGACACCTACAGGACACCACCACAGACAACCACAGGACACCACCACAGACAACCACAGGACACCACCACAGACAACCACAGGACACCACCACAGACACCCACAGGACACCCACAGGACACCACCACAGACACCCACAGGACACCACCACAGACACCCACAGGACATCACCACAGACACCCACAGGACACCACCACAGACACCCACAGGACACCACCACAGACCCTCATAGGACACCACCACAGACACCCACAGGACATCCACAGGACACCACCACAGACACCCACAGGACATCCACAGGACACCACCACAGACACCCACAGGACACCACCACAGACACCCACATGACACCACCACAGACTCCTACAGGACACCACCACAGACCCTCACAGGACACCACCACAGACCCCACAGGACACCACCACAGACCCTCACAGGACACCACCACAGACACCCACAGGACACCACCACAGACCCTCACAGGACACCACCACAGACACCCACAGGACATCCACAGGACACCACCACAGACACCCACAGGACACCACCACAGACACCCACAGGACACCACCACAGACACCCACAGGACACCACCACAGACTCCTACAGGACACCACCACAGACCCTCACAGGACACCACCACAGACCCCACAGGACACCACCACAGACCCTCACAGGACACCACCACAGACACCCACAGGACACCACCACAGACCCTCACAGGACACCACCACAGACACCCACAGGACATCCACAGGACACCACCATAGACACCCACAGGACACCACCACAGACACCCACAGGACACCACCACAGACACCCACAGGACATCCACAGGACACCACCACAGACACCCACAGGACACCACCACAGACACCCACAGGACACCACCACAGACACCCACAGGACACCACCACAGACACCCACAGGACACCCACAGGACATCCACAGGACACCACCACAGACACCCACAGGACACCACCACAGACACCCACAAACCCTCGCAGACACCCACAGGATACCCACAGGACACCCTCAGAGACCCCCTCTCCCCCGGGGACAGACCCCCCCCACCCCCCTCCACGCCCCGCACGCACCACCTGGAACTCCCTGCGCCTGTCCCACGTGTCCTGTATCCCTCGATCTCTCCACAGCTGCTGCATGGCCGGCACCAGTCGCGAGAAGGCGTCTTGGGTGGTCGCCAGTGCCATCCCCTCGGCGTCGTCTCCAGCGGCACCATCGCAGGCAGCGCCGCGAATCTCCCCCGAGCCGGGTTCGCGTCCAGACACAGCCGCGTCCTCTTGCCGGCAAATCCGAGGCTCCAACGCAGCGTCGAGCTCGTGCAGGAATCGCGCGGCCACCGTTTGGCTCCGGCTCTCGCTCCACGGCAGACACAGCCGCTCCCTCGCCTCCACGAGGGCTTTGACTCCGCCGAGCGCGTTCGCGCGCACAGCGGAGCGGAATTCGCGGAGCGCGGGCGCTTGGAAGTCGCCGCCGTGGATGATCCTCATCTGCTTGAGGAATGTGCTCTTGCCGCTCTCGCCGGCGCCCAGCAGAAGGACCTTGACGAGGCGTCTCGCCGCGCGCCGCTCGTGTGCGATGGACGCGTCGATCTGCCTGCTGCGTCGCGCCTGCTCCATCTCGCCGCGGGACAGGCGGCAGCAGGAGCAGCAGCGGGAGCGACGCGGCAGGCAGCAGCAGCAGTGGCGGCAGAGGAAGAGGAACAGCGACGCGGCGGCGGTGGACACGCGCTGTCCCGACATCGCCTTTTGGGATGATGATGATGATGGTGTTGTTGTTGTTGTTGATGATGATGGTGGTGGTGATGATGGTGGTGGAGTTCCCACCTTGCCCCCCCCCCACCCGCCTACTGGGGACGGGCGCGTGGTTTGGAGATAGTGGGGTGTGTGTATTGTGTGTGTGTGTTGTGTGTGTGTGTTGGGGTAGTCTCTTAAGGCTATACGGGGGATCTTTGTCTTGTGTGTGTGAGAGAGAGAGTGCGAGATTGCGTGCGTGCGCGCGTGCGCACGGTTAATGGATGTTGTTGTGGGTGAGAGAGCAGGTGTGTAGGTGTGTGTGTGTAGGTGTGTGTGTAGGTGTGTGTGTGTAGGTGTGTGTGTGTAGGTGTGTGTAGGTGTGTGTGTGTAGGTGTGTGTAGGTGTGTGTGTGTAGGTGTGTGTAGGTGTGTGTGTGTAGATGTGTGTGTGTAGATGTGTGTGCGTGTAGGTGTTTGCGTGTTGGGGTGCGTGTGTGTAGGTATGTGCGTGTGTAGGTGTGTGTAGGTGTGTGTGCGTGTGTGCGTGTGTAGGTGTGTGTGTAGGTGTGTGTGTAGGTGTGTGTAGGTGTGTTTAGTGTAGGTGTGCGCGTGTGTGTAGGTAGGTGTGTGTGTGTAGGTGTGTGTGTGTTGGGTGGATGGGTGGAGAGCGGTAGTGCAGTGGTTAGCGCACCGCGCTACGAACCCCGAGCAGCAGAGTTCGATTCCCGTCCACGGCCAATAACAGTGACAGCGAATGCATGAACGGCTCCTTTCCTTCCCCTAGGTCGACTCGGCCTCAAATGAGTAGCTGCTGCTGCGACGTGTAGACGCATCACCGCTGGGGAGACTCCCTCGTGCGTGTGGCCGTGTTGGCCTTCAGAGGCGCTCGCTCACAGCACTTGCCCCAAGAGGCTGTCAAAGGCTACACGGGTGATCTTTGTGTGAGTATGGGCGAGGTATAGTGTGGGAGCTACAATGTGTATGAGATGGTGTGTGTGGATGAGATGGTGTGGTGTGTGTGAGATGGTGTGTGTGTGTAAGATGGTGTGTGTGTGAGATGGTGTGTGTGGATGATATGGTGTGTGTGAGTGTGTGTGAGTGTGTCTGTGGATGTGATGGTGTGTGTGTGAGATGGTGTGGGTGAGATGGTGTGTGTGGATGAGATGGTGTGTCTGTGTATGAGATGGTGTGTGTGAGATGGTGTGTGTAAGATGGTGTGTGTGAGATGGTGTGTGTGGATGAGATGGTGTGTGTGAGTGTGTGTGTGTGAGATGGTGTGTGTGTGTGAGATGGTGTGTGTGTGAGATGGTGTGTGTGTGTGGATGAGATGGTGTGTGTGGATGAGATGGTGTCTGTGTATGAGATGGTGTGTGTGAGATGGTGTGTGTGTGGATGAGATGGTGTGTGTGGATGAGATGGTGTGTGTGTGGATGAGATGGTGTGTGCGTGTGGATGAGATGGTGTGTGTGTGGATGAGATGGTGTGTGTATGAGATGGTGTGTGTGTGTGAGATGGTGTGTATGTGAGATGGTGTGTGTGTGTGGATGAGATGGTGTGTGTAAGATGGTGTGTGTGTGAGATGGTGTGTGTGTGAGATGGTGTGTGTGTGTGGATGAGATGGTGTGTGTGGATGAGATGGTGTGTGTGAGTGTGTCTGTGTATGAGATGGTGTGTGTGTGGATGAGATGGTGTGTGTATGAGTATGAGATGGTGTGTGAGATGGTGTGTGTGTGGATGAGATGGTGTGTGTGTGGATGAGATGGTGTGTGCGTGTGTGAACGAGCGTGCCACACGGGGAAGTGAGTGTGTGCGCGTGCGAGGGAGTTTGATTACGTGAGCGAGAGACTGATGGGATGTGTGCGTGTGTGGTGTGTGTGAGAGAGAGAGCGAACAATCCGGCGGCTGACGCTTCAGCTGATGCTGCGGTACGTGTGTAAATGAGTGTGTGGACGTGTAAATGTGAGTGTGTGGACGTGTGTAAATGTGAGTGTGTAAATCTATGCTTTCGCCTGCGGAAATGCGTAATTTTTCCTCCACGAGTTTGCGGTGAGAACCTGTGTGTGTGCGTGCGTGTGTGCGTAGCGGGTAGCGCGCTGGCCACCCACCCCTCGTGTGCCGTTCCGGCCTTCATAGGTGCTCCTAGGCTAACAGCACCTGCCCCAAGTCTGTTAAGGCTACACGGGGGATCGTTGTCTTTGTATTAATTTGTGTGTGGGGGGGGGGGGGGGTGAGCGGTGGTGCAGCGGTTACGGCGTTGCGCTACGAACCCGGTGACCCGAGTTCGATTAGCACTGGGGCGAGTGGAGGTAAAGGCGGCCGGGCGTGGTGTTTGACCACCCACCCCGGCCTCACGAGGTGCTCCGTGCGAACAGCACTTGCCCGAACAGTCTGCCAAAGGCTATACGGGTGACCTTTGTCTTTGTGTACATACGTTGCACCTGCGTGCTCAGCGACGTGCTTCCTGGATCGCATTTACCCGCAAGCACCCGAGCCCTCGTGCCGCTTGGGGAAGCGAGAGGGGATGTGGTTGTCAAGGAGGAAGTTGGAGGTTGGTGGTGGTGGTTGTGGAGATCGGTGGATGGTGGTGGGGAGCAGTGGTGGTGGAGATGTTGGTGGTGGTTATGGAGAGTGGTGGTGGTGGAGAGAAGTTGGTGGTGGTTGTGGCAGGTGGTTGTGAAGAAGGAAGTTGGGAGGTTGGTGGTGGAGAGATGTTGGTGGTGGAGAGCGGTGGCGGTGGAGAGATGTTGGTGGTGGTTGTGGAGAGCGGTGGTGGTGAAGAGAAGTTGGTGGTGGTTGTGGCAGGTGGTTGTGAAGGAGGAAGTTGGAGGTTGTGGTGGTGGAGAGATGTTGGTGGTGGAGAGCGGTGGTGGTGGAGAGAAGTTGGTGGTGGTTGTTTAGAGCAGTGGTGGTGGTTGTGGAGAGAAGCGGTGGTGGTGGAGAGCAATAGTGGTGACCAGTGGTGGTGAGTGGTGGTGAGTGGTGGTGGAGGTAATTTGTGGGTGGTGGAGAGCAGTGGTGGTGACCAGTGGTGGTGAGTGGTGGTGGAGGTAATTTGTGGGTGGTGGAGAGCAGTGGTGGTGAGTGGCGGTGGAGGTAATTTGTGGGTGGTGGTGACCAGTGGTGGTGAGTGGTGGTGGAGGTAATTTGTGGGTGGTGGAGAGCAGTGGTGGTGAGTGGCGGTGGAGGTAATTTGTGGGTGGTGGAGAGCAGTGGTGGTGAGTGGCGGTGGAGGTAATTTGTGGGTGGTGGAGAGCAGTGGTGGTGAGTGGCGGTGGAGGTAATTTGTGGGTGGTGGTGACCAGTGGTGGTGAGTGGCGGTGGAGGTAATTTGTGGGTGGTGGAGAGCAGTGGTGGTGAGTGGCGGTGGAGGTAATTTGTGGGTGGTGGTGACCAGTGGTGGTGAGTGGCGGTGGAGGTAATTTGTGGGTGGTGGAGAGCAGTGGTGGTGAGTGGCGGTGGAGGTAATTTGTGGGTGGTGGAGAGCAGTGGTGGTGAGTGGCGGTGGAGGTAATTTGTGGGTGGTGGAGAGCAGTGGTGGTGAGTGGCGGTGGAGGTAATTTGTGGGTGGTGGAGAGCAGTGGTGGTGAGTGGCGGTGGAGGTAATTTGTGGGTGGTGGAGAGCAGTGGTGGTGAGTGGCGGTGGAGGTAATTTGTGGGTGGTGGTGACCAGTGGTGGTGAGTGGCGGTGGAGGTAATTTGTGGGTGGTGGAGAGCAGTGGTGGTGAGTGGCGGTGGAGGTAATTTGTGGGTGGTGGAGAGCAGTGGTGGTGAGTGGCGGTGGAGGTAATTTGTGGGTGGTGGTGACCAGTGGTGGTGAGTGGCGGTGGAGGTAATTTGTGGGTGGTGGAGAGCAGTGGTGGTGAGTGGCGGTGGAGGTAATTTGTGGGTGGTGGAGAGCAGTGGTGGTGAGTGGCGGTGGAGGTAATTTGTGGGTGGTGGAGAGCAGTGGTGGTGAGTGGCGGTGGAGGTAATTTGTGGGTGGTGGAGAGCAGTGGTGGTGAGTGGCGGTGGAGGTAATTTGTGGGTGGTGGTGACCAGTGGTGGTGAGTGGCGGTGGAGGTAATTTGTGGGTGGTGGAGAGCAGTGGTGGTGAGTGGCGGTGGAGGTAATTTGTGGGTGGTGGTGATCAGTGGTGGTGAGTGGCGGTGGAGGTAATTTGTGGGTGGTGGAGAGCAGTGGTGGTGAGTGGCGGTGGAGGTAATTTGTGGGTGGTGGAGAGCAGTGGTGGTGAGTGGCGGTGGAGGTAATTTGTGGGTGGTGGTGACCAGTGGTGGCGAGTGGTGGTGGAGGTAATTTGTGGGTGGTGGTGACCAGTGGTGGCGAGTGGTGGTGGAGGTAATTTGTGGGTGGTGGAGAGCAGTGGTGGTGGGTGGGTGGTGGTGGAAGTTGAGAGTTGAGTTCGCGGTGAGAATCAGGCAGAGTGTGGAACCAACGAAGGAAGTCGGTAGTGAGGTTAGTTGGAGTTGGCGTGGGTAGAGGGGGGGGGGGGGTCGTGGCGACCCAGCAGCTCACAACCCCTCCCCCCCCCAATACTAAAAAAAGTTATTTTCCCACCCCAAAAAAATTAAAAGTGGAAGTGTGGCGTGAGTGGGGCTCGCGTGATTACTTCTCAGAAGCGACGGGCCCCGCTGTGCACTCCGTCACTCGCCATGATCGTGGTGTGTGAGCGGCGACAGAACACGGTTTACAGGGACTCTCCTACTTACGAACTCGTTCGGTTCCAGAGGTGACTGTCCTTAAAGTCGATTTGTTCCCAAGTTCAACTTTCACGCCTGTCGATTCCAAGCACGTTGCTACGGCGTGCACACTAAACACGGGGGGATTGCAGTTTAACACGAAGTAGTCGAGGCTTTCGCGACCAATATCATCCATAAGTTTTTTTTGGGTTAGATCGCACAAATATAAATGTGTCGTTAAACCCGCCACCACCCGACACAGCCAATCACCAATGTTTGTCACGTAAACAGAACGTGCCAATTCGTCACTAGTACAGCACGCCGGGTGGTGACGGGTTTAACGACATTTGTATTTACGCGATTTAACCTAAAAAAGCGATATTCAGGACGGGGAATGGATTAGATGCCTTCATTCTTCCGTCTTCTGCAGATGCGGTCGTCTTTAGGAAGAAGGCGACCGCTTGTGTTGCGATCGAAACGTCGTAGTTTTTGTTGTTGTTTTCTTCGAACCTCTCTTCGTGACTTTACCGAAAGACCCAAATAATATGAATTCCTGCAGTCACGAAAGCTTTAAGTCAAGATTTAACACACAACCGGCTTAATATTAACTTGTTTAAGCAAAACAGTCCACCGCCAGCTGCATTAAATAATTGTGTACCTTTTAAAAGTTTGTATAGTGTCCGCTAGGTTCAAACGCCAGGTTACGTATGATAAGGATTTTGTCAACACGCTCAATGTCAGGATGAAGCACAGCAGCGTCGCTGGCGTCGTCGTTATCATCATCATCCAGCTTTTGATTGTTCTCACCGTCAAACGACTCAGTGGTGTGAATTGCGCTGGTGTCGTTTGACACTGGCCTGCGGCAGCTAAAACCTTGAGCCAGCGTCAGACTGCAGCGAGGCCAGATTGCAGGATGTGTGACCCATGGGACAGGCCGCCAGACGATGTCAGACTCGCTGCTGAGCTGCGTGATAGCTGCAGTCAGGGGCACGGTGGCACACACGTGACGCCTCTCCCAGTCCCACTTCTCCCGGCAGTACTCGTTGTCTGACAGCTGCAGAAACTCAACTGTGGCTCATTTGAAGGCCAATGTTGACAAATTATTATCGAGGCTTCACACCGCCCCCCCCCCTCCCCGTTTCCAATGTGTTGGAGAATGAGGCCGTGGAAGTGGGGATCACAGAGCTCGCTCTGAGATCCCATGATCACTGCCTAACCGGCTCCGTATACGAGAGCAATGTTCGTTGCACGCCAGCCCAACCAGGTTGCCTGCCCCCCCCCCCCACGTGTGTGGGTTGCGTGCCCGCCCCCCCGTGGGTTGCGTGCCCCCCCCCCCCCCACGTGTGTGGGTTGCGTGCCCCCCCCCCCCCCGCGTGTGAGTTGTGTGTACTCGGACATTACAGAGCGAGTGAGTCGAGGGTGCCAGGCTCGGGGTGAATCCAGGACGCGCCGATGCTGCAAGGAGCGGACCCGGTGAGCATCGATGACACGGTGCCGTGCAGAATCATTACCAGCAAGGCTATTCGTGAACATTTAATCAGCAATAAATAATTAAGAGACAAACAAAACCGAGGATTTCTGAAAGCCACAAACATTTGATTAATTCCCGCGCCCATAAATCGTTACCTCTGCCGTGTTTTGTTCTCGTGCAGTGCATGCATATTAATAAATAGGTTCAGTCCAGTGCTGTGTGAAGACCTCCCCGCGCCACGTTGCAATTTAAAAAGTAATAATTGACTCTGGAATCGAATTAAGGAGCATGAAATGCGACAATTAATCAAATAGCCAGGGTGATGGGGGGGAGGGCTTCGATCCACCCCCACCCCACCACCTTAAAGTGGAATTCCATTTGATTAATTTCACTCGATCGATGACAGAAGAAGCGCAGGTCAAGTGCATCGTCCGGGCTGTGGGGGAGAGTAGCGGGCTCGAGAGGGGGGGGGGGGGGGGAGGGGGGGAATGAAACTTCCTCGCTAAACGGGGAGACCGAAGGACAGCCGAGACTAATGGTTGAGGTGCGTGAGGATTCATCTTCTTGGTTATTTCGGTAAAGTCGTCACGTAGAAGGGAAATAATAAAACAATACAAATAAAACATAATAAAATAATTCTCACGACGTTTCGGCCACAACGCAAGCAGCCGTCCTCAGGTGAGGAACAGGTCTGTCGGGGAGACAGCTGTCTGAGAATTATTTTATTATGTTTTATTTTTTATTATTTTATTATTTCCCTTCTACGTGACTTTACCGAAAGAACCAAGAAGATGAATCCCTGCAGTCGCGAAAGCTTTAAATCGTGCGTGAGGCTGCCCCCACGCGCGCGGGAGACGGAGCGATGGAATCCGCTCGTGTGCCCAGGTGCAGGGTGGGGACAGGCCGCACCGTGAGGAGGGACGGCGACGTCTTGGGGAGGCCTTCATCCAGCAGTGGATTGATCACTCGACATGTGCAGGATCCCTTTAATCATGCAGCATTCTACACACGGCAGTATTTCATATATATACAAATATCCCCCGTATAGCCCTTAACAGACTTTATGGGTGGGGCGAGCGCTGTTCGCAAGTACCTATGAATCCCGGGACAACACACGAGGGGGGCAAGTGTGGCCAAACACCACGCCCGACCGCCTTTGTCTCCCCAAGCGGCGATGTTTGCACACCGCACCGGGTACCCATTTGAGACCGTGAGCGGGTTCGTAAGCGGTGGTTCGAGCCGGTGACGTGTGTTCGCGGTGCAGCAGCTACCGATGCGAGTGGGGTCGGTGGAGTCGAGAGATTCAATTAGCGGGGGTCTGCCAGCCTGTTTCACAGTGCGGCAGCGAGCCGGGAAATACCGAGTGAGAAACGAAGCCCTGGGGAGAGGGTATTGACCGTCTCACAGCTAGTGCCCTACCCTGAGGTTGTCGGATTCATCGGTGGCAAGGTGCTGCCTGATTACAAAAGGCACCGGACATGAACCGACTCTCCTCCCCAACCACGGTCCCCCCCCCTGTCACCCTCCCCTACTCGTAGAAGCAGATAAACTCAAGAACCTTCAATCCAGACCGGATCAGCCCCCAGCCCAACCGAGACCGTCCCTGGCCCTCAAGGCTTTTTGGAACGCAATTTTTGGAGTTTTCGCACCCAGTTAAAAATTTCCTGGCCTCGTGCTCGACTCATTATGCAGGCAGAGAGAAATCGGTGTAGGCCGGGGGGGGGCTATGAACAAGATGCAGAGGGGGGCTAACATAGGTGAGAATGATGAGGCCACTTGCTCTGTCGGGCGGGCTAGTGAGCTAATAGGCGTGGCTATGTTAAAGTAGGCGGGGATTCGCAGACGGAGGGCGAGGATGAAGATTCAAGTTTTCTGTCTGGCTTAGGACGGAGCCGACGACGCAGCCGCTGCCACCGCGCTCCCTCTCAACCCAACGACTCCACGGTGCGTGCCGTCAAACCGACGCCGAAAAAGACCCGGGGCCGCAGTATCCGGCCTCCGCGAAAACCCGCGGCCACCACGGCGCGGGCAGGAGGAGGAGGAGCGGGAGGTGCGAGCGCGGACGACGGTGGCCCCGGCTCGCACGGGGAGCGGCGTCCGTCCCACCGGCTCCAACCATCGGTAAGGTCCCAAGTCCATTCCGGAGCCGACGCGGCGGTGTAAGAATATTAACGTCGTGTTTTATCAAGGCCCTTTCATATTGAAGTACAGTAAAACCTTTGATTGCGAGCATAATTCGTTCCAGAAATGTGTTTGTAATCCAAAGCACTCGTACATCAAAGCACTCGTACATCAGTTGTGATCACGTGACGCTCGGCAGACAAAGCGTATGCACGTGCTACTCGTATTGCAAGACCTCGCTCGTTTATCAAATTAATATTTATTTAAAAAAATTGCTCGTCGTGCAAAACACTCGCAGACCAAGTTACTCGCAATCAAAGGTGTTACTGTATCTCAAAGCGTAGCTATCGAGCAGGGTCGCAGGCGGTGCAACTTGCACTGCCCCTTCCCCCCCCTCCCCCCCCCCCCCCATTTGATTCCTTGCAACAGGTGCAACAGGTGCTACAGGTGCAACAGGTGCAACAGGTGCAACAGGGGCCCAATGCCAACCGCGCTACGCCGCCACCGAGCTGCCCTGCCGCGAGTCCTGGCGGTCGCCGAGCCGTACCCGGCTCCGTCACGCCCGGCTCGTGTCGCTCCACCGCACCTCCTCCGCCTCGCCCGGCTCCAGGAGCAACTGGGTGTCGCTCTGCTCCTTCACGAACTCCACGAACACCTGTATGCCAGCACATGCGCGCACGCGTGTGCATGTGCATGCGTGTATGCGTGCATACGTGTGTGCGTGATGCAACGTGGAGGGGTGGGGGGTGGGGGGAGTGTAGCGGTTAGTGCACGCTCTGTTACGAACCCGCTGACCCGAATTAGATTTCCGCTCACGGCCAATGTCGTTGACGATTATCTGAATCGGACCTGGGCCTCCCCTGAGTCGACTCAACCTGAAATGAGTACCTGGTGCGGTGTGTAGTAAACATCACCACTGGGGAGACAAAGGCGGCCGGGCGTGGTGCTGGACACCCACCCCTTCGTGTGCCGTGCCGGCCTTCATAGGTGCTCGCTAGCAGCACTTGCCCCGACAGTCTGTTAAGGCTATACGGGGGATCTCTGTCTTTGTGTGTGTGTGTGTATCTCACCTGCTCCAGTGTTGCCTGTGAAAAGCTGTACTCCTCCACCCCGAGCTCCAGCTTGGCTGAGGGGTGGTGGGGAGAGTTGGAGATGCAAACACGAGAGACACATTTTTTTAATTATTCCCCTGTCGCCGAAGTGACATTTGTGTGCAGATCTTAAATTGTTTTTGTTCTAATCCAACAGAACACTGCACGAGAGATGCGGTGATCTCCTACGCCAATAGGCAACTTGTAACAGCTCCCAGCGCGACTGTGGGCCACCGCTCTCAAGCGATTGACCACATAACAACAGCACTCTCAAAGTCTATGGATCTCTGCGTAAGTCAATGGAATTTTATACAAGTCTGTGGGTATCTATGGTAATCTATGAACATATATCTCAAACCGAGGACTACGCAGTCACGTCTATGGGTCGCTACGCAATCGATGGATCCCTAGGTCAGTCACTGGTGACCGGACTCAGACCATCAGCTGGGCGCTACAGTTGAGAACCCAGTTTCATCACAACTCCGTCTACGCGAGTCTGTGGTTCTCTACGCAAGCCTCTGGGGGTCTCCGCGTAAGTCATCGGTAGCCGGGCTGAGACCATTAACTGGCCGCTACAGTTGAGAACCCAGCTTAATGACAGCTGGGCCTACGCGAGTCTGTGGGTCTCTGCGCAAGACATTGGCGACCGGGCGGAGACTATCACCTGCCCCGCCACTACTCTTGAGAGACTCCCATTCAAAACGGTGAGGCCAACACCTCCCCACATTCAAACCCAGGATTGTGAGCGGTGCCGGCTCGGTGGCCCTGACCCCGCGCTCACCGCCCCCACTAAGCCACCGCGGCCAAGCGCACACGAATCCAATATTGGGAGTCGATGCCGGGTGGGGGGTGGGGGGAGGGAGCAAGTTATCAGCGGAGGGGGCGAGTCGGTGTGCGTTCTGTCGCCTTGTTGGATTTAGTTCCATTTCGGTGACGATCCTTCCTAGGACCCTCTGCTGCCCTCGGCATCACCGTGCCGTCGAATTGGTATTCTGCGCCCGTGCCATTTGTACCAGCGCCGGCCAGAATACGCAGACCTCCCCCCGCTCCATCCTCCCCCCCTCCCCCCCCCCCCCGCCACTTCGGCCAATGCACGCCATCCTGGCGAGGGCTCCTGGCAAACACCGACTTAATTAGGGAAAAGGCAACCGTAATGATATTATTTTAATTACTACTACGCTTTGATTTAAAGCTTTCGTGACTGCAGGGATTCATCTTCTTGGTTCTTTCGGTAAAGTCGCGTAGAATGGAAATAATAAAAAAATAAAAAATAAAACATAATAAAATTATTCAGACTCTGTCTTCTCGACAGACCTGTTCTTCACATGAGGACGGCTGCTTGCGTTGTGGCCGAAACGTCGTGAGAAATATTTTATTATGTTTTATTTTTATTCTTTTATTATTTCCATTCTACGTGACTTTACCGAAAGAACCAAGAAGATACTACTACGCTTGTTTACTTACCGAGGAAAGCCTCGCTGGTTCTAAAGACTATTTTTGCATGAGGGTCCTGCTAAGTTTTGCTTGTACAAGGGGGGGGGGGGGGGGGGGGGGTGTTGATCACTACGTGTTTTTTCCCCCCGAGTAAGTAATGTCTAAGACCAAAACAGGAGGAGGATTTCTCCACAATTCTGGCTGTCGCCTGATGAGCTGTTGAGGCTGGTTGTACTTGCTGGCGAAACGTCGTACTCAAATTGTTCATGTTGTGGGTTCTGTCTCCAACACGCCGGTGTGTGTGCTGAACGAGTAACGAATTGGCACGTTTTTGTTTACGTGACGGGTGGTGGCGGGTTTAACAACACATTTATATTCACGCGATCTAACCCAAAACAACCTCGATTATGGATAATATTGTTCGCGAAAGTCTACGTATTAAACTAAGTCATTTGTAAATCGCTCCAACTCAGTCCGTGGACGCGTTCTCGGATGAGTTCCATTCCTTGGCTGACGCTGCGTTGTTATTCTTCACCACCACTCTTCACAACCCCCCCACCCTCCCCCTCTTCTCGACGACAGCGTCGTGAAGCAATGTGATGATGGCTCCTCAATAAGCCACGCATTCCCCTTTCTGTATCTCAGCGTAATTCCAAGCGCGCATCTCCATGCCCCTATTACAAAACGGAATAATTGCCGCATTTTATGAATATTTACACGCAATCAACACTTAGGATGTTTGTTTAGCACTTCATACGTGAATACCAATTAAATACATAATTGGGGGCTGTTTGACCATTTTTCACCACACTGGTCAGTGGCGGTTGAATATTTACAACCGATTTCCATTGGATTTAAAACGATGGAGACATTTTACAATACGGCCCTAAAAAGAATAACAATAATGTATCTTGTTGATTTGCAAACCAATGTAAAATGAACGTGAAACAACGACCGAGTGGGGAGAAGGGCCCGAGCAGAGCGTGTGCATTTCCAAATTCAGAATCAGAATCTTTATTGAAACTGGTGGAATCCGATTACATACAACGGAGAAAAATAGATTTCGTCATAGAAATTCACAACAGTTTTTGTTTGGGTTAAGTTCGCCTAGAAATGTGTGTCGTAAACCCTCCTCCACCTGACGCGGCCAATTAATAAAATTGTCACGTGACTCAAACGTAGCCAATTGCATATCACCATTTCAGAAGCACCAAATGTGTGTCGTAAACCCTCCTCCACCCGACGCGGCCAATTAATAAAATTGTCACGCGACTCAAACGTAGCCAATTGCATATCACCATTTCAGAAGCACCAAATGTGTGTCGTAAACCCTCCTCCACCCGACGCGGCCAATTAATAAAATTGTCACGTGACTCAAATGTAGCCAATTGCATATGACCGTTTCAGAAGCACAAAATGTGTGTCGTAAACCCTCCTCCACCCGACGCGGCCAATTAATAGAATTGTCACGTGACTCAAACGTAGCCAATTGCATATCGCCGTTTCAGAAGCACCACCGGTGTTGTTGTTTTTGTCGGAGAGCGGTCTCGCGACGACGTTTATCAACGGGTGCCGACGATTCGCCGGAGATCACCTTCGGCATCGTCGAGAGCCGTCAAAACAGGAGCTCGCATCGCCGTTGCCCAGTCGCTCGCACGCGCGCACGCACACACTCGCAACGGCGCGCCTAGTAACCCCACACACAAAACTGTGCCCCGCCTGGCCACCGACAATGCGTGAAAGGTCTCGCGTACTCCCCCCCAACCCCCCGCCAGAGACGTCACCCCCCAGGGGGGTGCTGCGTACCACAGGGGGTCGGGAACCGCAGCGGTGGTCCCACAACGCTCAAAAGGTCGACAGAGGCGGCACGGCACGGATTCCACGGCGCGATGGGTTTTCAGTTTTTTGCGTGCGTTTTTTTTTTCTTACGCAAAATTTTGACGAAAATATTTGTCAAGCCTTTTGATTTCATTTAACGACGGCTTGGAGTGGATGAAATTATGACGACGACTGCTGCTGCTGCCGCCCACCAAAGATCAAAGCGTGGCTGGCGATGATGAGAGACGTTACACGCCACCTCCCAGGGGGTAGCGAGTACCGCACGTGGCTGGGAACCGCTGCGGTGACCCACAATGCTCAACGGCACCACAGTGGCGAGATGTTAACTACCTCGCCTGGCATACAGGGGGTCGTGGGTTCAATCCCGATCCTGACGCCTGCTGCTGTGTATTTGGAGTTTGCGTGTCTCTCTCATCATCACGGTGGCTAGGAGATGTTAACTACCTCGCCTGGTATACATGGGATCGTGGGTTCAATCCCGATCCTGACGCCTGCTGCTGTATATTTGGAGTTTGCGTGTCTCTCTCTCATCTTCATCACGGTGGCTAGGAGATGTTAACTACCTCGCCTGGTATACACGGGGTCGTGGGTTCAATCCCGATCCTGGCGCCTGCTGCTGTGTATTTGGAGTTTGCACGTCTCTCTTTCCCCGCGGTCGCGTGGATTTTTCTCCGGGTCCTACGGTTTTTCCCTCCACATTTAGAAACGTGCGTTTATAGAGTATTTGACTGCTATACATTTCTACTTGATAAGCCACTTTGAGCGATAATTTGTGGCCAGGTCGCTTCTAAAAATGAGCTACACAGCTCAGTGTGCCTTATCTGGGAAAATAAACGAAAATGTAATAGTTTATAGAGGTGGCACAGCATGGATTTTATGCACGTTAAGTTTTTACGCTCGGAGTTTACGAAGCGATAATGACGCTGACGACGATGAATGCTGCCCACCAAAGATCAAAAAGGGTGGCTGGCGATGACAAGATGAGACTAACTGCTCTGACTGAAGATGCATACCCGGGCTAATTTAGGGAGTAGTGATGCGTTCACGATTTCAGGATTAATGAGGATAAAAATCCGAAAAAGAAAAATTGTCAGATGATTCGAAACATTTTTAAATCCATTATATTAAGTTCACTTGCGCGCTTGCTTGCTTGCTTACGACCGTGCAAATCTTTCGGTCGTTTTTTAACCCACTTCCCGTGATCCAATTGAGCTGACATTTTCCACACAGACTCGTTGTGCGTGACAATTAATGTTCGTGAACATTTTTTTCCAAAATTTTACACTTTTTAGGACAAAAATATTATATTTAACTACCAATTGCTTAATGGTGCCATGCAATCATCTGACCCATAGGTGGCAGCCATCTCAAGTCAGAGGACGAGAGGACTCGAGCCGCCACGCATATAAACGATTTATAGTGAAAAACTTTTTTTTACGGGTTATACTTGTTATGGATGTGATGGCACAAGAAGAGATATGACGTTCTTGCCTCATCACATCCCGTCCATGCTCATCTTGCAAATTCACGTCACGTGGCGCCAGGTGATGTATCTCTAGCTGGCGCAAAGCCGCGTTTAATTACCGTGCCATGTCACGAATGTTTTCATCTGTGGCACCAATCAAAGGTGGCGATAAAAGGACCGAGGAAGATGCTGGGGAGGAAACCCAAAATGCACTGTGGCATCTGGATTTTCTGGAAATGTCAGGGTTATTGGGAAATGCACGATTGGCTCAAAAATAGCTCCAAAGGCGGAACCGTCTGTTAACCCCACACCAGGACGAAAATGACTGACTTCTGCTATTTTGAGGTCAGGCCTTTGATAAAATCACCCACAATGCACGTGATTCTGGTCAGATATTGGCAGCTAAGCAGGGTTCAGACCGGGTAGTGTCTGGATGAGCGATTATCATGCACAATAGATGTTACACAGGCTGCGGAGAGGGTAGGTTATGGGGCGGCAGAGGACGGCGCAGCAAAATATATTGCAGTGAAATGTACTTCTATGCTCCTACATCTGTGCTCCTCGGTACTTCACCAAGCCACACTCACCAGCACGGTGACGTCATATACCCCTCATGACTGATATATCATAGGGCCACCCTCATCCAGCAGTGGATTGATAAATTACTGCACATGTACATGTTGAGGTTGATTTTAAGCTGTATGCAATTGGTTGTGTGTGTGCCCGAGTATACTGTGAGTGCGTATGTGTCAGAGGTCGCAAACGGGTTTTGATTCCTTACCCGTACCCGGCCGCACCAGGGTTGCAAACGGGTATCTGTACCCGTACCCTACCCGATACCTGGCTACCCATACCCGGCCGGGTATCGGGTAGGGTACGGGTATCCGATTGCGACCTCTGGGATGAAGCATTGTTGCAGGCGCGGGTGGATTGATTCTAGGACAAGACGTTGGGAAATGAGTGACAAACGGTTACTCACCAGTGACTCACGGCCTACCCGTACCCATACCCGGCCATACCAGGGTCGCAAACGGGTACCCGTACCCGGCCGGGTAGGGGTAGCCGGGTATCAGGTAGGGTACGGGTATCGGGTACCCGATTGCGACCTCTGGTGTGTGTGTGTACGTGATAGTGGTTAGTGCACTACGCCACGAACCCAGCAATGTGCTTGCAGTGTTTGATCACGGTTAACGTGGGGAGCGGCGGAGTAGCGGTTCGCGCATTGCGCTACGAACCCGAGTTCGATTCCCGCTCACGGCCAACACCTGGGCCTCCCCTAGGTCAACTCGGCCTCAAATGTGTACCTGGTGCAGTGCGTACACAACGCAAAATGGGGAGGCAAAGGCAGTCGGGCATGGTCCTGGCTACCCACCCCCATGTGTACCGCACCAGTCTTCAATGGCGTTCGCTAACAGCACTTGCCCCAACAGCATGTTGAGGCTATATAGGGGATCTTTGTCTTTGTGGTGGCACAGTGGTTAGTGCACTGCACGCTAAGCCCAGCAACGTGCTTCGCAGTGTCTGACCACGGTTAACGTCGATGGCATGTGGTATCCGAACCGGTCCTGGGCCTCCCCTAGGTAGACTCAACCTTAAATGCGTCCACGGTGTGGCGTGTGCAACACTGGTGAGCCAGGTAATTGGGTGAGGTGCAGGCCGCATCATCCTAACCTGTGCATGTGTGCGAGTATTTGTCCTTGTGTTTGCGTGCGTGTGTAATTGTGTGTGTTCGTGTATATGTGTGAAAGTAAGTTTTTTTGTAAACTGCATTATGCACTGTCAACTCTTGAAATCCAATTTAATTTTGAAAAGCCTATATACTCACAAAAACATATACAAACACACATATCTGTACACAAACCCACACAGTAAACAAAAATCCCCCATATAGCCTTCCAAAGGTTGTTGGGGCAAGTGTTATTAGCGAGCACCTACGAAGGATGGCACGGCACACGAGGGGGTGGGTTGCCAGCACCACGCCCTGCCGCCTTTGTCTCCAGGGTGAAGATGTTTGCACACCGCACCAGGTACTCATTTGAGGCTGAGTCGACGTAAAGAAAGCCCAGGACCGGTTCGAATCTTATCTGTCGTGAGCGGGAATCCAACTCGAGTCGCTGGGTGCCTAGCGCAGTGTGCTAACCGCTACACTGCCGCTCCCCACACACTGTACACACACACCCACACACGGCCAGAAATAGGCCGCGTGTTGTTTTGCAAGTTTTTTTTTCAATTCCTGTAGATCAAGCCTCGCTGGTTTTTCAGTGCGTTCTCCACGTGCGCGCGGCATTTCTCCGTGCACACCACAGCGGCGCAGCGTGGTTGGCATTAGCCCTGGTGCGAATAATTAAATGGGGGGGCGAGGTGGGGGGGGGGGGTGCACTCCACCCCTCTCCCACCTGTTAAATTCCCCCCCTCCTCTTCGTAGCCCGGCGCCTGGGCCCTCCCCTCCCCCCACCCTCTTTGGCACCGGTGCAAGTGCACCGCCTGTGCACTCAATAGCTACGTCCATGCCCATTGGAGACACTGCATAGAGGGGGACATCGCCCATCAGTGCCCGTGGGGGACACGGGAAGCGTCTGCCACCCCCAAGTGGTACAGACCAACACCCCGCTCCCCCCCCTATGGCTCGTGGGCCAATATGCAGGAGAGAAGGTTTGGTTCTGAACAAGGATCAAGGTCTCAGCCGTGTCAGTCGACAGGGTGAGGCAGTTGTAGACATGGAGGAGGAATATAACTCTTGCTAGTTTTTATTTTACCAGTCGAAGCCCACTGAGCGACCTGGCTATCACAAATGATAGCTCAACGGAGTGGCTTGTCGTCGTGTGGACATTTATTGCAGCCAAATGCTCTACAACGCGTAACGTTGATTCTAAATATGGAGGGAAAAACCAGACTGACCCGGAGAAAAATCCACGTGACCATGTGGAGAGAGAGACACACAAACTACAAATATACAGCAGGCATCAGGGTCGGGATCGAACCCACGACCTCCTGTATACCAGGTGAGGTAGTTAACATCTCTACGGGGAGAGAGAGAGACACGCAAACTACAAATATACAGCAGCAGGCGTCAGGGTCGGGATCAAACCCACGACCTCCTGTATACCAGGTGAGGTAGTTAACATCTCTACGGGGAGAGAGAGAGACACGCAAACTACAAATATACAGCAGCAGGCGTCAGGGTCGGGATCAAACCCACGACCTCCTGTATACCAGGTGAGGTAGTTAACATCTCTACGGGGAGAGAGAGAGACACGCAAACTACAAATATACAGCAGCAGGCGTCAGGGTCGGGATCGAACCCACGAACCTCCTCCATACCAGGCATGGTAGTCAACATCTCCTAGCCACCGTGGCAGGAGAGATGGAGCAAGCTCCCATCGAGTGGAGGCTGCCCGGCGCAAGCTCCTCACCTTTCTCCAGCTTGTTGAACACCTCGGCCAGCGATCCCACGTGCTCACGCGGCACCTTGTACACCAGCCTCCCGGCAAACCTGGGCACACGGCACGCGGTCGTTTCACGGGAAACCCGTATCTGGATTCGAATTAACCACGTGCGTCTAGCCACCCTGCAGCGTCCTACAGGATCGCTGTCAGCTGTGTTTAAGGTACACACGAAAACAGGGGGCCACCCGTGAGAAGGCTACTTCTGTCTGTTCCCCCGATAACGCGTGTTTGTTTTTCAGAACGCGAATGGGATATAACGCGATGAATGTATTAGGGAACACATTTTTTTTATAACGTGTATACGAATTGGGATGTAACGCGGTTGAGTGAACGTAACTACGTCGCGCGAACAGGAATAAGCGGTTGTGCGGCTGCCTCGGTGAAGCGTCACACAAGGCGGTGGGATGCTGCTGGATGCTTCTAGATACTACCCACGCGCCTCAGTCTTTGTTCAGCCTGCGTACGCTTCTCACGTGTTATCGCGGACTGTGCTTTATCCCTATATTATAACGAGATTTTTCCATAACGCGGTAATCTTCAGGAACGCAACTACCGCGTTATAGAACAGACTGTATATGGTAAACAAAGGTAAACCACCATGAGGAGGCTACCATATTGTAAAGCACGGTTTGTTTTTGTGCTGCTTCAATGGAGGAATAGCAAAGCGACACCAACTCTCTCTTGAAGCCCTCTCATCATAGCCAGCAGATCTTAACATTAGCATTTAGCTCCCGAACATATTGCCATCAAACGCAAGAATAGAAGAGAATACATGTAAAATTAAGTTTTTTTTTCACCCAGGAAAGCCTCACCGAATCTCGTATTTCTCGTGAGGGTGCTGCCAGGTTGTTGCAATAGGGGGCGATGATTGCTCTGTGCTGTATACAGCAAAACCTTGGATATCAAAGCACTCGTATACGAGTTGTGATCACGTGACGCTCGGCAGACAAAGCGTATACGTACTACTCGTATTGCAAGACCTCGCTCGTTTATCAAATTCATATTTATTTAAAATTTTTGCTCATCTTGCAAAACACTCGCAGACCAAGTTACTTGCAATCAAAGGTTTTACTGTATTCCGTATGAGTCACATCAGTGGTGACTGATATCAGAATCGAATCCTGCGCCTGCATTATTTAAACTCGGCCTTAAACCGAGTACCTGGTGTGACGTGTGATGTGTGTATGTTGAACTTCTTTCGCACCGTACGTAGCCAACCGTGCTCATCGGAGGTGCGGGGGAAAGACAAGAAGCTGAACACAACAAAAAATACCGGCACTGGGAAGACAAAGGTGGCCCGGCGTGGTACTGGCCACCCACCCCCTTCGTGCGCTGTGCCGGCCTTCATAGGGGCTCGCCCACAGCACTTGCCCGTAACAGTCTGTTGAGACTACATGGGGGATCTTTGTCTTTGTACGCGAAGTGTCACGTGCAGCACTCACCCATCTTGCAGCGAGGCCCCGGGGAAGCTGCTCGCCAGGTGAGCCTGCACCTCGGCCACGCGCTGCTCCAGCGACGCGCCGGTCACCGTAGCCTCTCCGACCTTCACCTCCAGGTGGTAGCACCCACCGTACTTACTCTTCAGGTGTTGGATCGAACCAAGGCACCTGCGGGGGTGTGGTGGGACACGGGAGGTTGGGGGTAAAGGGGAGAGGTGTGAAGTGGTGTGTGACGTGGGGTGACGTGGGGTGATGTGGGGTGACGTGGGGTGACATGGCGGTGACGTGGGGTGACGTGGGGTGACGTGGGGTGACGTGGGGTGACGTGGGGTGACGTGGGGTGACATGGCGGTGACGTGGGGTGACGTGGGGTGACGTGGGGTGACGTGGGGTGACGTGGGGTGACATGGCGGTGATGTGGCGGTGACGTGGGGTGACATGGCGGTGACGTGGGGTGACGTGGGGTGACGTGGGGTGACGTGGGGTGACGTGGGGTGACTTGGCGGTGACGTGGCGGTGACGTGGGGTGACGTGGGGTGACGTGGGGTGACGTGGGGTGACGTGGGGTGACTTGGCGGTGACGTGGCGGTGACGTGGGGTGACGTGGGGTGACGTGGGGTGACATGGCAGGTGACGTGGGGTGACGTGGGGTGACGTGGGGTGACGTGAGACTTTGCCAAATTATAAAATGACACCGCCAGTTACTCAAGTGGGATTACACACAGCAGCAATCGTCGCTGGCAGACGAATGCCCGTTTGCTGAGTAAAGCTCTGCCCAGAGACAGCTACTACTGGGGGTGCCCTTTCAAAAACGTGTTTGAGTTGAGACGTGATGTACAACGGTTCTGTGAGGCCCTGGTGCAGAGGAGAGTAACTCTATCAACAACATGAATCGTGATCATTGCCACGATGACGGTGCGGTGCTGCGTGATGCAGTGAGGTGTTGTGTGGCCAGCCATGGCAAGGTAAGGTGAGGTGCGGTGTGGCGTGCCATGGCAAGGTGAGGTGTGGTGCGGTGTGCCCTACCCATGGCAAAGTGAGGTGCGGCGTGGTGAGGAATATCACGGCGAGATGGGGTGCAGTCTGCGGTGGCATAGCATGGGAAGGTGAAGTGTAGCCTAACTAGGTGAGGAGAGGCGTGGTGTGGCCTAGGCATGTCTAGGTGAGGAGAGTGGAGCTGTGTGGCGTGAATAGGCACACACAGCAAGACGAGGTGTGGCACTTCCACGGTGTGGCCCGGCGCGGTGCGGACGGCGTGTGGTGAGGTGCCTGCGTTTGGGGGTGAGGGGAGGGGGGCCTCGCCAGGCTCACCGGAGGCGGCCGGCCACCACGATGGCGACGCGGTGGCACAGCGCCTCCGCCTCCTCCATGTAGTGCGTGGTGAGGACGGCGCCGCGCTGGCTGCTCCGGAATGCAGCGCCGATCGCTCTCCTGGGCGCAGCGATGTGCGTGCGTGCGCACACACACACACGCGCACAAGCACACGCAAACACATACACACACACATGCATGCATGCACACACAGATCCCCCGTATAGCCTTTAATAGACTGTTAGGGCAAGTGCTGTTAGCGAGCACCTATGAAGGCCGGCACGACACACGATAGGGCGGGCGGCCAAAGACAACGATCCTCCGTGTAGCCTTAACAGACTGTAGGGGCAAGTGCTGTTAGTGAGCACCTATGAAGGCCGGCACGGCACATTAGGTGGTAGGTGGCCAAAACCACACCCGACCGCCCTTGTCTCCCCAGTGGCAATGTTTACACACCGCACCAGGTACTCATTTGAGTCGACCTAGGAGAGACCCGGACAGGTTCAGATAATCATCACTGGTGTTAGCCGTGAGCGGGAACTGAACTCGGGTCGCCGAATTCGTAGCGCAGCGCGCTACCCGCTACGCACACACACACGCACACACATAGGTTCTCACCACAAACTCATGGAGGAAAAATAACACATTTCCGCAGGCGACACGCACGTACACACACGTATACGTATACACATGTACATGTACTCACACGTACAAATACACACATGTACACGTACACACGTAAGTACATGCACGTAGGCACACATACACACATGTAGGTGAAGACACACGTAAGTCGATAAAGAAATGGACACGCACGCACAAACGCGTGCACGCATTCAAATAAACCCAAGCTCGCACTCACCACATGAAGCGCTTGGTCTTGGGATCCATGCCCATGGATGGCTCATCCAGCAGCACTTGGCAGGGGCCTCCCAGCATGCTGAGAGCAAAGCATAGCTGCCACAGGCAACCACGAGCAACCACGAGTAACCATTATCACGACTACCGACATCACAACCACTACTACCACATACGTCATCATCACCACCACCGTCATCACCACCACCACCACCGTCATCACCACCACCGCCGACGTCATTACTATCACCACCACCATCGCCACCGCCACCACCACCACCACCAACAACAACAATGTGTCAAACAACCACGGATCCTGTCAAAACTCGCCACATCAAAATCATTGGCCATCATTCAGTGAGTCGGTGGCTCCGAGTAGGAGGTTGAGCTGGCAGATGCCTCTGGTTAAATCAGCGGCTATGTCGGTGAGTGGTTGAATTGGTGGTTGAGTCGATGCGAGTGCCGTGGTGGGGAGATGTTAACTCTCTCGCCAGGTATGCAGACGTCTGCTGTATATATGTATTATGTTTTATTTTTATTATTTTATTATTTCCCTTCTATGTGACTTTACCGAAAGAACCAAGAAGATGTATATATGTAGTTTACATGTTATCCCCGTTGTCTGTGTGGATTTTTCTCCGGGTCCTCCACATTTAGAAACATGCACTTGGCAGTATTTGGCTGCTATACATTTACATATTTAGCTACATAGCTTAGTGGGCCTTGCCTGGTAAAATAAAAAAAATAGTTTAGAAAAGTTTAGATGGTGAGTTAAACAGTGGGTGGTTGTGGGCGGTTGAACTGGTGGTTGTGGGCGGTTGAACTGGTGGTTGTGGGCGGTTGAACTGGTGGTTGTGGGCGGTTGAACTGGTGGTTGTGGGCGGTTGAACTGGTGGTTGTGGGCGGTTGAACTGGTGGTTGTGAGTGGTTGAACTGGTGGTTGTGAGTGGTTGAACTGGTGGTTGTGGGCGGTTGAACTGGTGGTTGTGGGCGGTTGAACTGGTGGTTGTGGGCGGTTGAACTGGTGGTTGTGAGTGGTTGAACTGGTGGTTGTGAGTGGTTGAACTGGTGGTTGTGAGCGGTTGAACTGGTGGTTGTGGGCGGTTGAACTGGTGGTTGTGGGCGGTTGAACTGGTGGTTGTGAGTGGTTGAACTGGTGGTTGTGAGTGGTTGAACTGGTGGTTGTGGGCGGTTGAACTGGTGGTTGTGGGCGGTTGAACTGGTGGTTGTGGGCGGTTGAACTGGTGGTTGTGAGTGGTTGAACTGGTGGTTGTGAGTGGTTGAACTGGTGGTTGTGAGCGGTTGAACTGGTGGTTGTGGGCGGTTGAACTGGTGGTTGTGGGCGGTTGAACTGGTGGTTGTGGGCGGTTGAACTGGTGGTTGTGGGCGGTTGAACTGGTGGTTGTGAGTGGTTGAACTGGTGGTTGTGAGCGGTTGAGCTTGTGGTTATGAGTGGTTGAACTGGTGGTTGTGAGTGGTTGAACTGGTGGTTGTGAGTGGTTGAACTGGTGGTTGTGGGCGGTTGAACTGGTGGTTGTGGGCGGTTGAACTGGTGGTTGTGGGCGGTTGAACTGGTGGTTGTGGGCGGTTGAACTGGTGGTTGTGAGTGGTTGAACTGGTGGTTGTGAGCGGTTGAGCTTGTGGTTATGAGTGGTTGAACTGGTGGTTGTGAGTGGTTGAACTGGTGGTTGTGAGTGGTTGAACTGGTGGTTGTGAGCGATTGAGCTGGTGGTTGTGAGTGGTTGAACTGGTGGTTGTGAGTGGTTGAGCTGGTGGTTGTGAGTGGTTGATCTGGTGGTTGTGAGTGGTTGATCTGGTGGTTGTGAGTGGTTGAACTGGTGGTTGTGGGCGGTTGAACTGGTGGTTGTGAGTGGTTGAACTGGTGGTTGTGAGCGGTTGAACTGGTGGTTGTGAGTGGTTGATCTGGTGGTTGTGAGTGGTTGAACTGGTGGTTGTGGGCGGTTGAACTGGTGGTTGTGGGCGGTTGAACTGGTGGTTGTGGGCGATTGAACTGGTGGTTGTGGGCGGTTGAACTGGTAGTTGTGAGCGGTTGAACTGGTGGTTGTGAGTGGTTGAGCTGGTGGTTGTGAGCGGTTGAACTGGTGGTTGTGGGTGGTTGAACTGGTGGTTGTGAGTGGTTGAACTGGTGGTTGTGGGCGGTTGAACTGGTGGTTGTGGGCGGTTGAACTGGTGGTTGTGGGCGGTTGAACTGGTGGTTGTGGGCGGTTGAACTGGTGGTTGTGAGCGGTTGAACTGGTGGTTGTGAGTGGTTGAGCTGGTGGTTGTGAGTGGTTGAACTGGTGGTTGTGAGCGGTTGAGCTTGTGGTTATGAGTGGTTGAACTGGTGGTTGTGAGTGGTTGAACTGGTGGTTGTGAGCGGTTGAACTGGTGGTTGTGGGCGGTTGAACTGGTGGTTGTGGGCGGTTGAACTGGTGGTTGTGGGCGGTTGAACTGGTGGTTGTGAGTGGTTGAACTGGTGGTTGTGAGCGGTTGAGCTTGTGGTTATGAGTGGTTGAACTGGTGGTTGTGAGCGGTTGAACTGGTGGTTGTGGGCGGTTGAACTGGTGGTTGTGAGTGGTTGAACTGGTGGTTGTGGGCGGTTGAACTGGTGGTTGTGAGTGGTTGAACTGGTGGTTGTGAGCGGTTGAACTGGTGGTTGTGGGCGTTTGAACTGGTGGTTGTGAGTGGTTGAACTGGTGGTTGTGGGCGGTTGAACTGGTGGTTGTGGGCGGTTAAACTGGTGGTTGTGGGCGGTTGAACTGGTGGTTGTGAGCGGTTGAACTGGTGGTTGTGGGCGGTTGAACTGGTGGTTGTGAGCGGTTGAACTGGTGGTTGTGAGTGGTTGAGCTGGTGGTTGTGAGCGGTTGAACTGGTGGTTGTGAGCGGTTGAACTGGTGGTTGTGAGCGGTTGAACTGGTGGTTGTGAGTGGTTGAGCTGGGGGTTGTTGGCGGTTGAACTGGTGGTTGTGGGCGGTTGAACTGGTGGTTGTGGGCGGTTGAACTGGTGGTTGTGGGCGGTTGAACTGGTGGTTGTGAGCGGTTGAGCTGGTGGTTGTTGGCGGTTGAACTGGTGGTTGTGAGTGGTTGAACTGGCGGTTGAACTGGTGGTTGTGAGCGGTTGAGCTGGTGGTTGTGAGTGGTTGAGCTGGGGGTTGTGGGGGTGTAGGCACCGCACAGGGACCCTCCCCCCCCCCACCTTGCGCTTGGTGCCGCCCGACAGCTTCCGCGTCACTTTCTCCGCGTGCTCCTTCAGCGCCAATGCCGATATCATCCTACACAGAGAGCGAGCGCCGCACAGCCACACTCACACCATCATCCAGCAATGCACTGGATCATGGCTGATTGATGCTAATGGATTTAAATAGTTTTGTGATGTATAGATATTATTGTTATTAGCTTGGTATTGGTACATCCTGTGTCTCCAATTGTCTCCCACTTTCTCCACCAGTGCCTCCCAACGTTTCTCAAAGTGTCTTTCAGTGTCTTGCACAGAATCAGCCAGAACACACAATTCTTTCCCAGCATTTTCCAAGCGTCTCCCAATGCCTCCAGACATCTCCCATCATCATGATCATCATCCAGTGTCATCCATCATCTCCCGGTCATAATAAATCCAAACTATAACATATGCTTAGGTTTTTTCGGTAAAGTCACGTAGGTAAAACATTTAAATTAATAAAAGCCTCTGATTTTTATTTTATTTTACTTTTATTAATTAAAATTTTTAACCTACGTGACTTTACCGAAAAAACCTAAGAATATGAATCCTTGCAGTCACGAAAGCTTCAAATCTAGAATTACAACATTGTATTATTCTAATTTACTTGGTATCGGAACCGCCCGAGTTCTCTCTGCGCTGTCCACCATCTCTGCGCGTCTCGCGTGGCGTTACCCCCCCTGCCTTACGTTACCCCCCCGCCCCCCTCCCGCGTGACGTTACCCCTGCGTGGCGGCGCGTGCCTCATCCCGCCGGAGCCCCCGCACGGCCGCGTAGAAGGACAGGTGCTCCGCCAGGGTCAGCTTCTTCCACAGAGGGTTCACCTGGGGGCACAGGCCCAGCTGCGCCCCCCGCGCACAGCCATCTCCCAGCACCACCTGCGGGGGTCGTGACGTCACAGGCAGGGGGTGTGCGCGCCGTCAGTACGAGCGTCTTGTCGCCGTTGGGGATTTACGCGAGGGTCGTTCTCTCTAAACGTTGTGTTGGTGAACGTACAGGGTTAGGGCTAGCAGTGCGGTTTGAGCTATGGTGAATGTACGCTATAGTGAATGGACGCTATGGTGAATGGACGCTATGGTGAATGGACGCTACGGTGAATGGACCTTATGGTGAATGGACGCTACGGTGAATGGACGCTATGGTGAATGGACCTTATGGTGAATGGACCTTATGGTGAATGGACGCTACGGTGAATGGACGCTATGGTGAATGTACGCTATGGTGAATGGACGCTATGGTGAATGGACGCTACGGTGAATGGACGCTACGGTGAATGACGCTATGGTGAATGGACGCTATGGTGAACGGACCCTACGGTGAATGGACGCTATGGTGAATGGACACTATGGTGAATGGACACTATGGTGAACGGACGCTATGGTGAACGGACACTATGGTGAATGGACGCTATGGTGAATGGACCCTATGGTGAACGGACGCTACGGTGAACGACGCCGCTAGGGTGAACGCTGCGTCGAGCCTGTGCCAGGCCTGGTATGGTGCTGGGTAACGCCAAGTCCACGCAGGCTGAAGCAGGAACTGATTGTGGCACCTGTCCAGCGCTGGGCTTCAACTCTCCGGCCAAGAGCTCCACTGTGGTCGTCTTCCCAGCCCCGTTGGGTCCCAGCAGCCCCAGGACCTCCCCTGCGCACAGACAAAGATCCCCCCCAGCCGGGTAACGCACGCAGAATGTTCGGGCGCAGTGCTTGTTTGTGAGCACCCATCAAGTTCAGGAACTGAACACGTGGGGGGGTGATGCGGCGAAAAAACACGCTCGGTTGACACCATCTCACCTGTGCTGATGTTTATACACAAGAGTACCAGGTACAGGGACTCCTATACTTACGAACAAGTAAGGCCCACTGAGATATATAACTCTTTTTCAGAAGCGACATGGCAACAAATGATAGCTCAACGAAATGGCTTATCATGTGGAAATTTATAGCAGCCAAACACTCTAAACGCATCATCCTAAATATGGAGGGAAAAACCGGAGAACCCGGAGAAAAATCCACGCGACCACAGGGAGACACGCCATCTCCAAATATACAGCAGGTGTCAGGCTCGGGATTGAACCCACGACCTCCTGTATACCAGGCGAGGTAGTTAACATCTGGCCACCGCGGCGCCTCATGTGGCTGTGGTTGTGGCACCCACCTCGCTCCACCATGAAGGAGAGGTTCCTGACGGCAACGCACGCCTTCCCACGGCCGCTGCGGCAGTGGCAGCCACTCTGACTCTTTCCAAACTCCTTGCGCAGCGAGTGAACCAGCATCGCGGGGCTCTGCGAGGCACAAAGAACAAGTGCTGTCAGCGAGTAACAACTACAAAGGCCGCACCTCCGATTAGCACGGTTGACTACGTACGGTGCAAAATAAGTTCAACATACATAGATACATACAAGACCGGCATGGCACATGAGGGGGTGGGTGGCCAGCTCCATGCCCGGCCGCCTTTGTCTCCCCAGTGTTGATGTTAACACAACACAACTATCACGGTGTCTCATGCACTGTTGTGTTCCCGTCGTGTTCCCGCTGTGCTCCCGTTGTGTTCCCGTCGTGTGCCCGTCGTCGTGTTCCCGTCATCGCACCACCGCACGCACCTCGTGGTTGTGCAGCGCGCGTTTCACGCGCTCCCTTTCCCACGCCACGTCCTCGTCCTCCCCCTCGGGCCGCTCGGTGTTGGCCACCAAGCGGCGCCGGCGCCCGGAGATGCTGTCGGACACGCAAGCGCGAGCGAGAATCGTCGACGCACGGTGATGAAGGACGTCTCGTACGGGGCACGGGTGGGACACGCGTAATGACATCACGCCGTCGTCATCATCATCATCATCAGCACGTGGGACGTAACGATTACAACACACATGGCACGCGAGACATCGAAGCGAAGAGAGAAAACAACAACAACAGCCACACACAGGGCGTGCAGGACATGAGCAGGACACAAGGTTCACGGCAGGTGCGATGACAGAGACAAACAAGGTAAGCAGAACGCATGACAGAGAATGGTGGGACGTGTGCAGGACAAATACATCGGACAGATGTGAAACAATAGAAACAAATTGGACACACTGGGCAGAGGAGCATCAGACCTATGGCAGGACATCATCACCAGCAGCACCACCACGATTATACTAAGACCATCAATATAGCACCACCATCTACCGTCACTAAAACCACCACCGTCACCAACAGACGAGAGACACCACCACCACTATCACCCCCATGATACACACCAATGACAAACACCCCCTGTATGCCATTAACACATTGTTGGGGCAAGTGCTGTTTGCGATCACCTATGAAGGCTGGCATGGCACACGAGGTTGTGGGTGGCCAGCACCACGCCTGGCCGCCTTTGTCTCCCGAGTTGTGATCTTTACACACGGCACCAGGTACTTATTTGAGGCCGAGTCGACCTCGCCGAGGCCCAGGATTAGTTCAAATAATATTCACTGTTGTTGGCCACGAGATCCACCAGCACCCACTAGACCAAGACCCCCCCACACCCCCCGTCGCCCCTCCTCACCAGAAGACGGGGTCGTGAACGTCCCTGTGCCCCATTGGTCTCCTCTCAAGAAACATGAGCGCCAGCCACAATGCGCCCACCATCACGTACGGCTGCGGCGGCGGGCAGGTTGAGGGCGGCAGCATGGGGGGAGGAGAAACATTGAGGGGCAGATGCGGTCAGAGGGGAGGTGCGATGGTATGTGTAAATGTGTAAAAAGAAGTGGACGTCTATTTTTTTTTTACGCGGAGCGCCAGGTAAGGGAAGTAGTTGAATGTTCTACTCATCTACTTTGTAAGTGAATAAGTTCAGCGTGCGCTGCGACACGGGAGGGTCAATGCGTGTGAGATGCTGCATACTGGAGGACAGTATGAAACAACAATGGGTGCCGCGGTGGTGAGATGTTAACTACCTCGCCTGGTATACAGGAGGTCGTGGGGTCGATCCCGACCCTGACGCCTGTATATTTGGAGTTTGCGTGTTCTCCCCCTGGTAGCGTAGATTTTTCTCTAGGTCCTCCGGCTTTGCTCTCCACATTTAAGAACATGCGTTTAGAGCATTGGGCTGCAATAAATTACCACATGATAAGCCGCTTCTGAAATAAGCTATATAGCTCAGTGGGCCTTATCCGGTAAAATCAATAAATCATAGTTTAGTTTTAGTCTCTCTCTTTCCTCTGCAGTAGTAATAATCAAAATAGATGCTCGCTAATAATGCAACTGCGTGCATGTAGATTTGTTTTTCTTGAATCCCTCGGGGGTTTTGTACTCTGAACAAATATTCCGCAAGCCCCCCCCCCCTACACCCGAGCGAGGCCTCACCGCCAGCAAAGTGATGGGGATGTTGGAGTCCCAGGCGAAGTAGTCGGAGAGGGTGGGCTGTGCTCCCCTCTGCTTGCCCCGCAAGTAAACCTGATGAGTCGACCACACGCACACACACGCACACACACACGTACCACACGCACGCACACAAAGATCAAAGATCCCCCATATAGCCTTAACAGACTGTAGGGGCAAGTGCTGTTAGCGAGCACCTATGAAGGCCGGAACGGTACACGAGGGGGTGGGTGGCCAGCGCCACGCCCGACCGCCTTTGTCTCCCTAGCGGCGATGTTTACACATCGCACCAGGTACTCATTTGAGGCTGAGTCGACCTAGGGGAGGCCCAGGACCGGTTCAGATAATCGTCACTGGAGTTTGCCGTGAGCGAGCGGGAATCGAACCCGGGTCGCCAGGTTCGCAGTGCAGCGCACACACACGCACACACACACACGCACACACACACACACACGCACACACACACACGCACACACACGTACACACGCGCAACGTTCTGTCGCGCCTACGGCGAACATCCTCTACATTGCTGGCGGACCAGGGTAGGTGGGCAACATGGGTAACAGTCACAGCCACGGCGAGGGGTACAGCAGACGTGGTGTGCCGGGTGCGTAAACACGTTATGTTCCGGGCGGCAAGACTGGAAAAGCACAGTCCTTGAAAGACGTATTGACCATGTAAACAAGACCTGGCGACGATGAGAGACTTCCAAAAGTAGTGCTTGAAGAACCGTGAACCACGCGCGCAAGGAGGAAGACCTACTTCTGATGGGAGCTCGGGAGACTGTAAGATTGGATTTGAAGAACATTAACCACGTAATTAAGAGCTAGAGGGTGGCGGTGATGTGACACTGCGTGAGCAGGCTCTGCAAAGATGGGCAGCTGTGGAATTTACAAACCATCACGTGAACTCTGGTCATCCTCGCAGCAGCAGCGGCGGCTTTTGGATAACCATCGAATAAAGACGGCCACTGCATCGCGCGCTTTCACGTGTGCTTCTGCGGCCGTCTGGAAAGCTCTTCCTTCCAATATTAGGAAACCACTGGAGCTTTGCACTTTGAACTCGTCTGGATTGAAAACGAATTTCTTTGCAACTGCTTTTGTGTTAAGTTTGTTGTCCTTCACTCGCAACCTCCAATTATCACGATTAGCTACGTACGGTGCGAAAGAAGTTCAACATACATAATACAGGAAGACTTCTTCACAATTGTGGAAAATTGCCTGATGAAGCAGGTCATAATCACCAGCAAAACGTGGTACTCGAATTGCAAATGTTGTGGGTTTACTCTCCAACAAACCGGTGTGCTGAAGTAGTAACTAATTGGCGGTTTTAACGACACGTTTATATTTACGCGATCTACATAAGACTGGTCGCGAAAGCCTACGTGTTAAACATACAAACGGCGGCGGGATCTGGCAGAAGGAAGGAAGCGAAGTGTGCACGGCGGCGCACCTGGAGTACGTAGTAAATGTTGCCTATGAGGACGTAGAGAGGGTCGCAGAGGGCGAAGACGTGGTGCAGCGCGGTGGCCAGGCCGTACAGCTCGCCGGCGCTCTCAAGCAGGGTCACCACCAGGTACGGGGCCAGCGCCAACTGCGGGAGATCAGAGTGTGTGATGAGTGTGTGATGAGTGTGGCAGGTGTGTGATGAGTGTGGCAGGTGTGTGATGAGTGTGGCAGGTGTGTGATGAGTGTGATGAGTGTGTGATAAGTGTGTGATGTGCGTGATAAGTGTGTGATAAGTGTGTGATGAGTGTGGCAGGTGTGTGATGAGTGTGGCAGGTGTGTGATGAGTGTGGCAGGTGTGTTATGAGTGTGGCAGGTGTGTGATGAGTGTGGCAGGTGTGTCGTGTTTGGCAGGTGTGTGATGAGTGTGATGAGTGTGATGAGTGTTTGGCAGGTGTGTGATGAGTGTGATGAGTGTGATGAGTGTGGCAGGTGTGTGATGAGTGTGGCAAGTGAGTGATGAGTGTGGCAGGTGTCTGATGAGTGTGATGAGTGTGAGATGTGTGCGGCAAGTGCGTGATGAGTGTTTGGCAGGTGTGTGATGTGTGCGGCAAGTGAGTGATGAGTGTGGCAGGTGTGTCGTGTTTGGCAAGTGTGTGATGAGTGTGAAGAGCGTGTGATGTGTGCGGAAAGTGTGTGATGAGTGTGGCAGGTGTGTGATGAGTGTGGCAGGTGTGTGATGAGTGTGTGATGCGTGCGGCAAGTGTGTGATGAGAGTGGCAGGTGTGTGATGAGTGTGGCAGGTGTGTCGTGTTTTGCAGGTGTGTGATGAGAGTGATGAGTGTGTGATATGTGCGGCAAGTGAGTGATGAGTGTGGCAGGTGTGTGATGAGTGTGGCAGGTGTGTGATGAGTGTGTGATGTGTGCGGCAAGTGAGTGATGAGTTGCGGCAGGTGTGTCGCGTTTGCGATGAGTGTGGCAGGTGTGTGATGAGAGTGATGAGTGTGTGATGTGTGCGACAAGTGTGTGATGTGCGTGGCAGGTGTGTCGCGTGTGCAATGAGTATGGCCTGTGCGTGACGAGTGTGTGCATGGGTGTGCGGCATTCGTTAAGATGGCACAAGTGCGCACCAGCCACAAAGAGTGCGGGGGTGGTGGGGGGGCCCTACCAGCATGGCAATGAGGGGCCACGCGGTCTGCACACTCTCCATCTTGGAGAAGAGGAAGGAGCAGACGTAGGTGAAGAGCAAAGTGGCTGGGGCAGAGCCCACCAGGCAGATGATCTGCACGCGACACACAAGTCACCCGGTGATGCTGCTGCTGCTGCTTTAGCAGCGACGCACAAAGTACAAACAACAACAACTCAACACATTCACCAGTAAGACTGCAGCCCTAAATGGACTCCAGCTCGTTCACAATGCAGCTGCTAGAGTCCTTACGAGCACATCACACCTGCTCTCTTGTCTTTACACCGGCTACCAGTCAAGTATTGAGTGGACTATAAGATCCTGCTGCTGACCTACACCACCACGACTGCCACCGCCGCCACCAGCGCCACCACCACCACCGCCACCAGCGCCACCGCCACCAGCGCCACCACCACCACCGCCGCCACCAGCGCCACCACCACCGCCACGACTCGTAGCACGACGCACCAGCGCGAGGGCGGCGCCGGGCTGAGTGAGCGACCCCACGCCGATGCCAAACGCCGTCGCCAGCAGCGCCAGCAGCAGGAGGCTGTAGGAGGCGAGGTCCACGGAGGCCAGGCCCAGCCAGTAGGCCGAGGGCGCCAGTCCGCTGATGCGCATGAGCGAGCGCGCCTGCAGCTGCTCGCACACGAACGCAAGCTCTGCGTTACGTCAGTGGGACGCACGTTTTGTTGGTGGTAGTTGCCTCGCGTTTTACGTGTTCATGTAACGCGATTTTGAAAGAGCAAGATTAACTTACACGTATTTTTGTTATGCGCGCACTGTTATTGAAAGAATGCGCTCCAGCGCGTGGGCCAGGGTGTACAGAACGCGCTGCGAGCTAATCGTCAGTCAGGCAGCAAAGTTCAGCGGGTGCATTACGACAACCACAAAGCGCGGGCAGCATCAGCATCTCCTTCTTGGGTGCCACTTTGAAAATCTAGTCCACGTGAAATTTGGCTTGTGCACACATTTGCCTTACCCATACATCTGGTAAGCATCTCACTACGTGGTTTTATTTCTTTAAATAGGCTGTTACTATCTTTCATAAATTTATGGTAGTATTTTCAATATAATATGTACTCTAACTAGTGAACTATGTAGACGTAAGAATGAGGTTCGATAGTGTGTTCTCTCTAACCCCTTTCGAATGGGAAAATTACATTTAATTTACGCGATTTTGAGTTCTGTGCCGTTTTTGAAGAACACAACCCCCGTGTAAAACGAGAGGAAGATGGAGATGCCCGTGCCATACAGCGAAGGATTCTGGAATCGATGTGTGCGGAGTTTTTAATTAAAATCCTTAGCCTGCTAGGTTGTGACGTGGCCAGGATGTGGCAGTGCAGCAAGTGGGTTCGTGAACCCATGGGTGAGGACCCTTCGAGTATTATACTGCGTCGCATACATGGCGGATTTCTCTGGGGTCTCCGGTTTTCCACCACGCCAAGCCAAACACTCATTTGTGCACCACCATTGGAACCTCCTTTGCCAGTAGCAAAATATGATAATTGTTTTTTTTACCCTTTTATCTGCCAACAAAACTGACACCTTTTTTTTTACAAGGAGTCATGTTTGCATTGACCACAATACCTGCAGTTGGAATGCAAAAAAAACCACAACTCTGATAATGTATGCACTGTCCTCGAAGTTGATTGGTCCACACCCGAGACAGCTTTCCTTAGAGCCAAGTCTCACATGGTGTTGGACCAGATGACGCCATCGTCGAATTAACCAAACATCTTATTGAACCAGGACCCTCCTGAAAAAGAGTCTTTTGAGATTTTCCTAGAAAAAGGATTACATTTTTTTTTATTTGTGAAAAATAAGGCTGGGATATATTAAATAAATAAAATATTTAACGCTCCATTTATTTAAACTATCCAGAAAAGTCTCACCGAGTCTCTAAACTCATCTTCACGAGGGTCCTGCTACACGGATGTTTTTCCAATTCCTTTTTAAATACGGAGTGGTTTTGCTTGGTTGTCGGAGGAAACTGGAAAACCTCCACACACAATGTTTAAATTGTAATTCATGCTCGTGCAGTCTCCCCTGCTTGAGTTCCAAATGGGCTCCTCACCTCACAACACGATGCCCAACAACTGATCGCCACAACGGTTCACCACAACGGTTCACCACAACGGTTCGCACCACAACGGCTCACCACAACAATCTGAAATTGTCGACGTCTTACCTCTCGGTCGCGAACGATGTCGAAAATGAAGTAGCAGGGAAGCCAGTTGGCCCCGAGGCCGATGAACATGGCTAACGGCACCAGCGTGGCGTCGGTGAAACCCGAGCTGTTCATCTAGTAAACAGAGAGCAGGCGCTGTAAGTGAGCAAATATTCAGGCCGGCACACGGTGGCCCTCGAGTGCGTGGTGTGGCCGGAATCCTCACCCGGCCGCCTTTGTCTCCCCAATGCTGATGCTTACACATTGCACCGGGCTCCAAGCCGACTCAGCGGAGGCCCAGTAACGGTTCAGATAATCGTCACTGGTGGTGACGCGAGCGGGAATCAAACTCGGGTCACCGGAATTGTAGCGCAGCGCGCTAATCGCTAAACTACTGCTCACCACACGCAAAGACAAAGCAGAGAGCCTCAACAGACTGTTGGGGCAAGTGCTGTTAGAGAGCACCTATGAGAAGGCCAGCACGGCACATGAGGGGGTGAGCGGCCAGCACCACGCCCGGCTGCATTTGTCTCCCTATTCGCAATGTTGACACATCGCACCAGGTACTCATTTGAGGCTGAGTCGACCTAGGAGAGGCCCAGGACCGATTCAGATAATTGTCATTGGTGTTAGCCGTGAGTGGGAATCGAGCGCAGTGCGCTAACCGCTGCACTACCGCTCCTCACACACAGATACACACCTACAGGCAAACCCACGCACGCACACGGAGGTGTGTGCTGACGGTGGTTACCCTAGGCAGGGGCTGGCTCCACGTTGTGATGACCCCAGTGCCGTTGAGGCTGCGCAGAACCCAGTTGCTGAGGAGGTTGACAAGCACTGGCAGGGAGTGCAGGGCAGTGCTGTTGTATTGGCCAGTTACACCCTGCACAACCACACAGACACAAACGTGTACACACATGGATACTACAACAAGAACAACCGCGACTCGTCACAATGCTGCGGCGTTGTTACCACAGAGATTTATGCCAGGCTAGGTGCACTTCGAAGCCACGTGAAGTGTCGAAGGCTCGAAGGTGACAGGAGGTCACGGGACAAAGCCAGGTGCCATGGGTTGACTGCGATGACTGGCAGATACAACAGCTGTGCTCTCTACCGCTACATGTACAATCCAATAATCCCAATATCATCCACAAAGTGTCGGTGACGTCACCACGGCACCTGTGCCAGGCCAGGTGCACGGGCACACTCGTCTATGAAGGCCGAAACAGCGCACGAGGGCGTGGTGTGGCCAACACCACACCCAGCCACCTTTGTCTCCCCATTCCCTGATGTTTACAAACGGACACCAGGTAACTGCATAGGGTATATCATAGTTCAGTCATGTCACGGCACCCTGCTACAAATCCGGTACAAAACCTGGAGTCCCACCTGTGGGCCTTGCTGTGTGAGGTTGAGGGCGAGGTTGTGGGAACGAGACCCGGGACTCAGATCCAACTGCACCTCCAGACTCTGCAGGGATCCAATGGTCGCCTCGCTCAACCCGCTCTCTGTGTCGGAGGAAGGTCAAGGTCAGGAGGTCAAGAGGTCATTGAGGTTGGTGTCTGAATTTCGACCGCCCGTGATTAAACTGGGTTCTCTATTTTCGAGTCGAGAGTCTCAGCCCGGTCACCAGTGACTCACACAGAGACCCATAGACTCACATAGAGCCTCATAGACTCGCATAGAGACCCATAGAGTTGGATAAAAGACCGCGATCAGAGATACAGTCAACCCCTCCATTTATCTGGGGTAATTGGGAGGATGGGGTGGCTCACATAAAGAACACACACACGGATAATGCTAAACATTGTGAATTGGGCTCTGGCAGCGTGTTTATTGTTCACCTACGTAGAACGGGGTGAACGCGTCGAATGCGTGTGTCTTTATTGGTTCGTAATCGGTACGCTTGCCGATGAGCTAGCGGTCACCTGGGCACCAACACGCATAGACCGAGTTTGCGGTAAAAACGGGTTCTCAAGTGCGAATTGATGGTCTCAGCCCGGTCACCAATGAGTTTTTAAAGAAACCCATCGACGGCGAAGGTGGGGAAAACTGGACAGGGCCCTCCCAGCTCCCGTCTCATCCCCTGACCCGGCGCTCGAGCCAACCGCATGACGCCGTCGGTGGCGGCGGTGCGACGCGGGTAAACAGCGGCAGACGGAAAACCAACCTGCGGAAGTTAGCACGAGGAGACGCGTGCGGGCGGCCGTCTCCATGCCACCCTTCGTGCCCAGGAGGTAGAGGCCGGGCCACAGCCTCAACGCCGCCGGCTGGTGGGCATCCATGCGGTCGCCCAACCAGGCCAACCAGATCGCAAAGCCGATGAAGATGGCGGGCGTAACCACACTGCGCGAAAAGACAACGAACCGATGGTCAACCGGTGACCCTGATCCTAGCCCCAACATTAGAAAGTAGCCAGCTAGATACTTGTCCTAACCAGAACCAAAACCCTATCCAACCAGACGCTCATCCTAACGTGAACGATAACAATCTGGCCAACCTACCCAGACCCCAACCGTAACTATCCGACAAGCTCCTAATCGTACCTACTCCTAACAGTAGCCCAAATACTAGCAAATTAGCCAAGCCACTCCCAGCCATACCCTTACCCCATTCTTAACCAGCCAGCCATGTCTAACTTTAACCATGGCACTCACAAACTATCCACACAGCTTACAGCCCTAAGCCCCGACGCTACTAAACAGGCCAGCCAGACACTGGCACCATCCCTGACCATGCTCCTAACGGTGACCCCATCTCAGCGGTCGGCAACCAAAATAATGAGAGCAATGTTTTGTTTGAATTCTGTAAAAGCTCAATATTTTTAAGAGCCACAATGCACGTTAGTAACGTCACGAAGCAGCCCTCAGAGAGCCGCGTGCGGCTTCGGAGCCGCAGGCTGACGACCCCTGACCCTCACGCTTAGCTCCGCGTCCCTCTACCAGGACCCCGCGTCGCGTTCCTCTCTCTCGGCTCCCCCGAGGGTAGCGGACGGCGCTCACAGGTAGACGAGCGAGGAGTACTCGCGCAGGTAGCTGATGACGCGCAGCCACGCCACGGCGCGCAGCTGCTGGCACCACAGCGGCCAGCCGGTCAGAGGGCCGGGTCGCGGTGCCTCGCCGCTGTTGCCGGGATCGTAGGTCAGGAGGTGCAGGCTGCCCAGGTCGGACGTCGAATCGTCTTCAGAGGTCGACGCGATGCCGTCGCCGTTGGCGATGTCCCCCCTCGCCCCCTGGCCGTCGCCGGCGGTCTCCGCGTCCGCAAACACGCTGTAATCTGAGAGGGATGCGCGGAGTGAACAAAACTTCCCGCACAACGACAAAGATCCCACCGCCCCCCCGTATACCCTGACCAGAATGTAGGGGCAAGTACTGTTAGCGAGCACCTATGAAGCCCGATACGGCACAAGCTGGGGTGGGTGGGCCAGCACCAGTTCTTATCGAGGTAAAAAAAAAAAACTGAAAAACACAAAACAGCTGCCATTTCCCACCAAATGAAGGCGATGTCACCGCAGCGCTTCAGCCACGTGAAGTGCCAAAGGCTCACTGGCTGGAGGTCACGGGACAGACCCAGGTGCTACGGGTTAACTGAGATACACTGGCAGATGCATCACCTGTACGCCCCACTCAGACCCCTTGTTGTGTCTCCAAAGGCAAATACTGTACCCCAAAACCCATTGCACTGTCTCACTTGCGAAGGAAGGTGAGACCCGGTATTTACCATTGGATTGTGTGCCTCTGTGTATCGGCCCTTGTAGCTGTTAACATATTGTTGGGGCATGTGCTGTTTAGTGGCTGCTAGTGGTGCCGTCCACACCGCACGCTCGCGCGCCGTGCCAGCCGCCTGAATCGGCGCTCGCTAACAGCACTTTCCCCAACAGCCTGCGTAGGCCATAGGGGCTCACACGGCATCTCCCCCACACCCCCCCCCCCCCCGTCCTTGCAGGCACCTGCCAGTACTGGCTGCTCCATCTCGGACTCCTCCCAGAGTCGGAGGAACACCTCCTCCAGGGTCGTCATGGAGACGCCGTAGCTGTGCACGCACAGATCGGTACGCGTGTCCAGCACGGAGAATAGACCTTCACGTGCACACACACACACACACGTCTACAAATTAACACATTCGTGTACACGTGCAAAGATCCTTAGTATAGCTTTTAACAGACCGTTGGGGCATGTGCTGTTTACGAGTAGCACCTAGGAAAGCTGGTCGAGCACCATGCCTGTCCATGCCTGTCCGCCTTTGTCTCACCAGGGCTGATATTTACACACTGAGCACCATGCAGCAGGCATTTATTTGAGTCGACTTAGGGGAGGCACAGGATCAGTTTAAATAATCATCACTGGTGTTGGCCGTCAGCGGGAATCGAACTCTTGAAGTCGGGTTTGTAGCGCAGCGTGCAAACTGTGACACGACCGTTCCCCACTTATAAACATGCACATACACCATATGCGCGAGTACAAAGTTGTCTTAATGAAGTGGTACATGACAAATAATTTGGTGATGTTGTTGCTGCTGCGATGGCAGTGGTGGTGCACAAGCACAATTGACGACAAACTCACATTCCGTCAATAATACTGCCTTACACCGGAGAAAATTTATAATCGGGCGAAGTGTCTAGGAATGGCCCATCTGCTTCACAGCACATGAATCAACGAATAATTTACGTGGCCATGGAGGGCCACTTTCACAAACGTCACCTTCTCTACGTATTTTTTTGGCCTTTTAAGGCGCGGTTTGATGTTCTCCAAGGGACGGACTTCCTGTTATGACGTTGGACACTCATGTAGGGACAATCGTCACCGCGTAAAAAAACAAAAACGTTACCAGGTAAGGGCCCACACTGAGCTGTATAATCCGTGCTAAGTTCGGCAATAATGATCGGTGTGAAGCCGAGTTTGTTTAGTGTTAAAGCTACAAATGGTCAGTCATAAAACTAAGAGTGGCACTCTCATATGCAGAGCATGGGTAGGAAATCGCTGCCCCCTACTGTGTGGACCGGCAGTCACTTGACAGGATTTCAGTGGTAGCTCTGCGGAATCCGCTTCTGCGGGCCGTTCTCTTACATGAAGGGTCGCACTGCACTGGGAGAAATCCGAGTGCATCTTGAGACAACGTGGGAAAATAGAACTGTTGCTCTGTGCCGGGTAATGCTGTGCCGTTTGCCCTACGTGTGGTGTAATTGCACATTTTTGAAAGCGAGTTTGGTAAGATACCAAAAAATATTTCGATTTCAAGGCCCACTGAGCAATATAGTACTTTTTCAGAAGCGACCTGGCCACAAATGATAGCTCAACGAAGTGGCTTATCATCACGTGGAAATTTATAGCAGCCAAAAGAATCTAAACGTTTGAGGGAAAAACCAGAGGACGCGGTGAAAATCCACGCTACCTGGGGTAGCGGGCATGTAACAAAAACGCTGGTCACCCCACCCTTGACCGAGTGGCTCATGCCTGAGCACGATCATTTCTGAATCTTCGGACGCTTTCAGATGAGGTCATGTATAGCATATACCTCCACCATACCGCTCAAGTGTGCCTGGGGTCAAGGGCCAGCAACCCTTGATCCCTACTCTCAATTGATACGTGAAACAAAGCCAAGCACCACATGCCTTTTAGGACTGAGTCTTTGAGCTGCAGTGTACCAATGATTATGCCGATTAGATGTACTGTCTGATACGGCTATTGTTCACAATTGCACCCAATAAAAACATGCACACTCCAAGTATATAAGCATCAGGGTTTTAATCAAAACCCACGACTTCCCACCTACCAGGCGAGGTAGCTAACATCTCGAGTCAACTAAGAAATGGAACGCATCCAAGAGTGCATCTACGGACGGAGATGGAGCGATCATAACTTTTTTACTTGGAGAAAAAACACAGAGCTCGACGCCGCCACCCCCCCCTACAATTAAAACTTAACAGGACCCTCCTGCAAATAGTCGGTAGAGGGGGTGATGGGGGGGGGGGGGTGGGGGTGAGGAGTACCAGTGAAGCTGCGCACGTCATTGAAGGGCAGCGTGTAGGCGAGTTCTGCGCCGAATCTCCGTGCGAGGCGCGCGGACGGCACGTGGGACAACACCAGCGCCGTGACCTCCTCGGGGTTGCACTCTTCGCCCACGCACATCCTACATGCAGCAGCAGTAACAACAAAAGTAAAAAATCCCCCCCCACAACACCCACCCCGCCCCCAATGTATAGCCTTTAAGAGGATGTTGGGGAAAGTGGTGTTCGCGAGTAGCAGCGCCTGTGAAGGACGGCACAGTGCCACAGGCAACTGGGTGGTCAGCAGCTTTATTGCATCCCAATGCGGCCTCGAGGAGGCCCAGGACCGGTTCAACTATTTGTCGCTGATATTAGCCGTGAGCGGGAATCGAACTCGGATCATCGGGTTTATGCTGCAGTGCGCCAACCGTTGCGCTACCATTCCCCAATTACCGGGGCTCCTTGAAATATTCATATGAACACAAGAGCACATACTCATACGTGCGTACACAATAACAACAACCGCCATTCGCCAATAAGCGATGCCGTTAGCGAGCACATTTTAAGGCCGGCACGCCACTTGAGGGGAAAATGGTTCGGCAAGTGCCACGCCAGGCCGCATGTGTTACCCGTGCTTACGAAAAAAAAATAAACAAAATTACAATTACACATTCTGCTTCTCACTCATCGAGGGTCAGTGACTCGGTGCCCGGGTGACCGCTCAAGTCGTTGGCAAGCGAATCGATTACTCTACGAACCAATCTTCACAATAAACGCGCTGCCAGGGGCCCCAATTCACTACGTCTGGTGTGTGTGTGTTTTGTGTGGGCCACCCCATCCTCCCAATTACCCCAGATCCTGACCCAGCGGCGGAAATTCCACCGCAACTTTAAGGGGCGGGAAGCTTAGCGCCCCATTTAGTCAACAGCTGGCTGACGATGACGATGACGTCACCGAGCACTCAGCCCATCCAGCGGCACCAAAGTGAACAGAGGTTTGTTTTGATTTAAAGCTTTCGTGACTGCAGGGATTCATATTCTTGGTTCTTTCAGTAAAGTCACGTAGAAGGGAAATATTAAAATAATGCAAATATAAAAAATAAAATTTCTCACGACGTTTCGACTGCAACACAAGCAATCGTCATCAGGTGTGAAATCCACACCTACGTGACTTTACCGAAAGAACCAAGAATATAGACGTTTGTTTGTTTCCAACTTTGCTTTCGTTTCGTCTGATCGGTTGAGTGACCGAATCGATAATTATCGGTAATCAATTACTGCAGTGGTCGTCCAATGGATGGACAGACTTGCGCCATAGGAACGTGGAGTACCCACGAACCACCTGAATCGGGGTGCTGTAAAGCAGGAGACGAGCACGGACTCAAGTGTTCGTTTGAGCGGGAAATCGATTCTAAAACCATTGCTAAAACCGCGGGAGAGCCTGGCCCGGGTGACTCGCAATCTGGCTGTGATTGGAGGAGCTTGGCACCAGCTTGGGAGCGAGGGAACCGCCACCAACGGGTCTCATCTCCCGAGTCTGTGGGATGCGTCCGCAGTGCGTACGTGAGACGGTAACCGACTCCGAACTTGGTTTTGAGGAAGAGCGAGGAGCCCGCGCACTTGAGACGCCCTTGAGACAGAACGGCTTTCCAGTCTGCGGCGCGACACGGAACACGCGGAGGGGCGAGGGGGGCGCACACGCATGGAGAGCGTGCGCACACGCACAAGCACGGATGGACGCACACGAAGCTGCTTATAGACTTTTAAAATAAAAAAAAGGAAACAAAAGTCGAAATGGGGAACGTCTCAGATTATTTTAAAGTGTTATCGGCGCTTTTACGATGAATTTCACTTTTACAGAGCCCGACTTGGCAGCAAGCCCGGCCACCAGCATTGCGAACACGCACAAAGACCCACCGTAAAGCTTTAGCAGACTGTAGGAGCACGTGCTGTTAGCGAGTAACACCTAAGAAGGCCGGCACGGCACAAGAACCATCACTACTATACCCCCCCCGCCCTGGCCGCCTTTGTCTCCCCAGTGGCGATGTTTACACTATCGCACCAGGTACATATTTGAAGCCGAGTCAACCAACGGCAGGCCAAGGACCGGTTAAGATTTTTGCCATCAATGTTGGTCGCGTGCCGGAATTGAATTTGCGTCGCTGAGTTCGTAGCGCCGAGCGCTCCAACCCCTGTGCCACCAAAGACAAAGATCCCCCGTGTAGCCTAAACAGACCGTTGGGGCAAGCGCTTTTCGCAGGTGGCACGTATAAAGGCTGGAACAGTACACGAGGGGGTGGATGGCCAGCACCATGCCCGACCGCCTGTCTCCCCAATGGCGTTGTGCGCTAACCGCTACACTACTGCTCCGCCACCGCACATACACAAACACACAGTCTCATGCACGCACACACACGCGCGCACGCACCGGCGAGCGCGTCGGCCTCTTCCATGGAGTGCGTGCTGAGCAGCGTGACGCACTCTCGCTTCCCTCCCAGCAGCAGACTCCACACGCGGCGACGCGACACGGGGTCCATGCCGGACGTCGGCTCGTCCAGGATCAACAACTGAAGCATGAGAGCAAGCACAGGTGAACGCGCTCGCACAGGTGAATACGTACGCAACAGGTCAACGCGCACGCAAAGATGAACACGCACGCGGCGGGTGCACACGTACACACGCACATGACCACAGCAGTTCGCTATTCGTCACTAAGTGACGGTGATGTCACCATCGCGCTTGAGGCCCAATAAGTGTTGAATGCTCGCTGGCAGGTCACGGGCCAGACCCAGGTGTTGACTAAGATGACCTGTGCTCCCCGCTGTGCCAACATGCTGTATATTAGCCGTCAGATGCTCCGCTCGTTGTTGTGAGCGTCGCTCCTCCGTCCCCTGCTGCTGATTGGGCGACTGCCTCAAACTGCCCGGTAGCGTCCTTCACGAGCCTCCAAAGATCCTCCCGTAAGCGCACAGAGCGCACGGGAACACGCAGAGCACGCGGGGACACGCATGATGTGTGGGACACAGATGACGCGTGGGTCACGCACCCTGGGGTTGCCCAGCAGGGCGGCCGCCAGGGAGAGCTTCCTCTTTTGGCCCCCGCTCAGATCCTGCACCTGTTTGTCAGCCGCTTTCTCCAGGCCGGTGGACGAGAGAACGCGAGACACCTGCGTGGGGCCAAGACAACCAAATAAAACACACGCATGCACAATTAGACACACACGCATGCACAATTAGACACACACGCATGCACAATTAGACACACACGCATGCACATTTAGACACACACGCATGCACAATTAGACACACACGCATGCACAATTAGACACACGCGCATGCACAATTAGACACACGCGCATGCACAATTAGACACACACGCATGCACAATTAGACACACACGCATGCACATTTAGACACACACGCATGCACAATTAGACACACACGCATGCACAATTAGACACACGCGCATGCACAATTAGACACACACGCATGCACAATTAGACACACGCGCACGCACAATTAGACTTTTACAGACTATTGGGGCAAGTGCTGTTTAGCGAACACCTATTAAAGCCAGCATGGAGCAAGAGGGAGCGGCGAGGCTAGCACCTGGCCCAGAGCCACCTTTGTCTCCCCAATGCAGATGTGTACACATCGCGTCAGGTACTTGCTTTAAGGGAGGGAGTCGGCCTAGGGGTGGCCCAGGACCGGTTCACACATCACTTGACACAGATATTTGTCGTGGTCGGGAATCGAACTCCGGTCGCTGTGTTTGTTGTGGAATGTGCTACCCACTGTGCCAGCATTCCTCCCACTACCACATCGACTCACGCAGAGTGATGGAGAGGAGAGATGATGTCATGATGATAGTGCTGGTCATTACAATAGTGATGGAAATCATAATGAGGATGGCAGTGGTGGTGATGATGATGATTGGTAGAAAGGATAGTAAGATAACGATAATGATGATACAAATTGTAACGGGTAGGTGAGTGGGTGGGTTGGTGAGCGAGCGAGCGATTGGCTGGGTAGCTGAGTATGAGATTCGGTGAGAAAGTGAGCTGAGTGGGTGGGCGGATGAGTGGGTGGGTGTGTGGCTGAGTGAGCGAATCAGTCAGTGACTAGGTGAATGGGTGTGCAAGCGGGTGTAGGTATGTATGTTGAACCTCTTTTACACCATACTTAGCCAACCGTGCTAATCGGAGGGGCGGGGTGAATGAGCGCGAGTGAGCGAGGGATCGGCTGGGTGGCTGAGTACGTGAGTCAGTGAGCGAGTGAGCCGAGTGTGTGGGTGGATGAGTGGGTGGGTGATGTGGCCGAGTGGGCAAATGAGTCGGTGACTAGGTGGACGTGTGAATGAGCGCGAGCGAGCGAACGCGAGCGGTCATCACGAGCCTCCGCCTCTGTCTCCGCGGCCGCCACGGACGGCTTGAGGAGCGCGAACACGCGCAGCTGCTCCCGCGCCGTCAGCCCCGAGAAGAGGATGTCGCTCTGCGGGCAGAACCCGCAGCTGGTGCGCAACGCGGACAGCTCGTCCCGATCGTCCACCCGCAGCCCGAAGATGGTCACTGAGCCTGCGGGAGGGTGGGGGGGGGTAGGGGGGGGTAGACGACGACACCATCGCCGTCACAACGTCCCGGTCACCGTCACCGCCGTGGCAGCCCGAGTCCCCGTCTGCGAGATGCGGTGGTTGTCGTTTATAGCTCGGAAAGCGCTTCCGAGACAACCCCGCCCCCCCTGTCCACCCCGCTCCCGGCCCGGCATAAAGAAATCTCCGTCAAAAGACAAATATTTGATTTATTATGATAACGGGGGAGCATGATAGTGCTCGTAAAGATTATACAGTCATGGCGTGCGACGCCACCGCTTCGGCCGGTGAGGTCAATGCATTTAGCATTGTTTTTTTTTATAGTATATGTTGTTTGTTTCTTAATTATTATTCTTAAATATGTTGATTTTAATGAAAGGTGAGTAAGTCTGTGCTCTCCATTTGCCTGGATGTAAAGTTGGCTGGTTTTTTCCAATCCTGACTAGCCGGCTCAGAAAAGTAATAAATGAATGATTGATCAATGCTGGCGGTGAAGGCAAGTCTCGAAGATCAACCAAACCTTTTAATGCACTACCATTTGGTTTCTACTAGAAAACCTTTACAAGCTACAGATGGACAGATGAATCGACAGAGCTAATGCATCAACACTTTCAACTTTGGTTGCCAAGTGTAAAAAAAAAAACTGTTGTGCTACTGAACACAGTGTGCCCGTGTGTGCACGTGCGTGCGTCTGTGTGTAAGTGGAGAATGGTCGTGTAGTGGTTCGCACACTGCGCTACGAACCCGGTGACCCGAGTTCAATTCCCTCTCCCGGCCAAAATCTATTATGTTTATCTTAAAATTTCCCCTTAAACGAGTACCCTGTGCGGTGTGTAACCATCTGCATTCAGGAGACAAAGGCGGCCGGGCATGGTTCTGGCCACCCACCCCTTCGTATGCCGTGTCGGCCTTCATAGGTGTATGTATGTTGAACTTATTTGCACCGTACGTAGCCAACCGTGCTCATCAGAGGTGCTGGTTTGCCAACAGTCTGTTAAGGGCTATTCGGGGGCTCTCCGTATCTGGTGTTGTGTGTGTGCGTGCGTGTGCGTGGCACCGGCGGAGGGGGTGATGAGCCCGGTGAGGATGTTGATGAGCGTTGTTTTGCCGGCTCCATTGTGTCCCAGCAGGGCCGTGATCTGGCCCTCGTAAATGTTCAGGGAGAGGCCTGCGGGAGGAACCGACGTCCCAACACCAACGTTACCCCTCCGGGTCTCTCGGTCAACCCACGCTGCTGCGGCAGACCCGTTATCACACTGCACTGGCAATCCACCGGCAATCCATTCTTGAAAAAATCACTGAGGATGTGTCTTCGCGCAGCCATTCTTAGAACACACGCGCCGGTGCCGCTCTGCGAAATTTCGGAATGGATTCATCGTCAAATCTCCTTCTTCTATCGTATGGCCGATGTAGATGCAAATCCACAACTACAATTAAAAATGTAGATGGTCAAGCATCAAGAGCAGCGGAGTTTATCGCCGTAATGTCTCCTTCGTGTTTGTGGATTGGGCATTGCGTCGTTATACGTTGTACGGCATGTCCTGGATGATCACAGTCGCACACTACTGGGTGAGTTATATATTTTCCATTTGTGCATCAGGTATCAGCATCTATCATGGTTTGTACGGATCCGATTTAAGAATTATAAATTGTGTTCTTGGTTCTTTCGGTAAAGTCACGTAGAAGGAAAATAATAAAATAATAAAAATAAAACATAATAAAATAATTTTCACGACGTTTCGGCCACAACGCAAGCAGCCGTCCTCAGGTGAAGACCAGGTCTGTCGGGCATTTCAGACGCTGTCTCCCCGACAGACCTGGTTTTCACCTGAAGACGGCTGCTTGCGTTGTGGCCGAAACGTCATGAGAATTATTTTATTATGTTTTATTTTTATTATTTTATTACTTCCGGTTCTACGTGACTTTACCGAAAGAACCAAGAAGATGAATCCCTGCAGTCACGAAAGCTTTACATCGAAATCGCCCACAGTGATTGTGCGCCCGCGAACTATCCAACAGCGCAGCGGTCGCTCAGCGCAAACCGTTGAGGTGGGAAAAACGCACCTCTCAAGGCCATGACGTCAGTTCCTTTCAGCCGGTACGTCTTGCTGACATTACGAATCCTAAAAATGGCACAGAAAAAGGCAACCTTTATTCAAGTGCACCGAAACGTACATTTATTTTGAGGAAATTCTATGAAAAATTTATTTTAATATTCAACTGAAAAGTAAAAAAATTGGGCCTGGACAAAAAAATTACATTTTGGACAATCCGAAAAAACATGTCACAGGAAACGATGTCACCTTTTGTGAAGTCACATTCGCAATCCCCGCCCCCCCCCCCCAAAAAAATGGCGTCACACACTTGACATTAACATGAAGTTCGAAGTTACCATGGGAGTCCAGTTTACAATTGGAGTCCAGTTTACCATGGGAGTCCAGTTCATATTGTTCATGAACCAAATGAGACATGGATAAGTCTCATTTGCCCGAGTGCCTTTAGTCATCGCAATGAGAAAAGTCCTTGCTGAACGCGTGGCGGCGTTCACACAATAACGCATTTTCGCTGTAAACGCGGTTCCTCCATTTGGGAACACTGTTCGCACAATGCAGAACACGCACCGTTACGACGTGGATCGCGCGCCGTTATCACGCGGGATGCGCTCGTTACAATGTGGTTTCCGAGTGGCCAATTCCGATCTACTTTCTTGAGCTGCGCAAATGAGTGGTGCGATATATACTCTTAGGTTTTTTCGGTAAAGTCACGTAGGTAAAAATAATAATAATAAAATAATAAATAACCAAATTAAATCACGAAGTTTCAGAGGCAACACAAGTCTCCGTCTTCAGGTGGGACCGTCACAGCCAAATTTACTGTATCACGTGAAGAGAAATTCAAGAGACAAGATTTCTCTCTCACTTGATACAGTAAATTTGGCTATGACGGTCCCACCTGAAGACGGAGACTTGTGTTGCCTCCGAAACGTCGTGATTGAATTTAGTTATTTATTATTATTATTTTTACCTACGTGACTTTACCGAAAAAACCTAAGAGTATGAATCCTTGCAGTCACGAAAGCTTCAAATCTAGAATTGGTGCGATATAGTTCGTGTAATGCTACAATCGCCTCAGTTATCTGTCCCATCATCTCACTGCATGTGCGGAGTACATCGTATCCCGTTCAACTCTATCGTTACATTATTTACGGCGAAACCGCCTCCGCTCGGCGTGCTTTCCGCTGGACGCGGAACTTTTCAGGAACGCATCGGCTCGTGCGTTCAACGAGGAGGGACCTCCTGTACACCTGTTAAGAATCACTGCACGTCAGTGATCGGAAAAATCCAAAGGAAGATGTGAAATTGTCTTTTTAAAAACCTGCGTGCCCCCACTGCGCCGTGGCACCCCCCCCACCCCGTGGTCACCTAATGGCTTCGCTCCCCAGCATCTCGCTGGGCACCGCCTCGCAGATCCCGTCTCCCTCGCGGCCTTCACCGCCGCCGTGCCCCGGGCCCCCCAACGCCACGTCGTCCAAAACGTCCAGAGGCGGGTGCCCCCCCCCGCCGTTTGCCGCGCTACGACGCCAGCGCGGCAGCCGGAAGAAGGACGGGCGGCACGATGCGGGTGCCTCTGTTGGGCGGGGGTGAGGGGTGATGAGAGATTCTGATTCAACATACATACATCAGGAAGACTTCTTCACAATTCTGGCAAATCGCCTGATGAAGCGAAACGTCGTATTGAAAAATTGTAAATGCTGTGGGTTGACTCTCCAACAAACTTGTGTGCTGAAGTAGTGACTAATGGGCACGGTTTGTGTCGGGTGGTGGCAGGTTTAACGACGCATTTATATTTACGCGAATCGCCCAACTTTATCATGGAGATTCTGATGGCTGAGATGGGGATTGGTTTATTACGTGGCATGTTGACGGAAGAGTTTACCAGCTCATCAGTAATCTGATTGATATTCATATTTATAGTCCATATATATTTGTCACATTGTAACTTTTTATACCGATACAGATTATAGATTCACTGCTGCTGTAGATTCCACAAATTGACACCAGTGTAGACTCACTCTGGTGAAGATTCCACGCATTCTGCACACAACTGCAGCGACGTAAAAAAATAAAAACAATTCCTGAATAAAATCATGACCTCCCCCCCCCCAATTGTGACGATCCAAGTAATCGCATAAGAACACGAATCGCCCGACTCGTAACCCCAAGGTCACGAGTTCAAATCCCCGTGTAGGGTCTCAACGGGCCCCTACCGGCCTCGCTCACCTGGCGGCTCATCAGTCATCTGATTGATATTCATATTTATAGTCCATATATATTTGTCACATTGTAACTTTTTATACCGATACAGATTATAGATTCACTGCTGCTGTAGATTCCACAAATTGACACCAGTGTAGACTCACTCTGGTGAAGATTCCACGCATTCTGCACACAACTGCAGCGACGTAAAAAAATAAAAACAATTCCTGAATAAAATCATGACCTCCCCCCCCCCCCCCCCCCCCCAATTGTGACGATCCAAGTAATCGCATAAGAACACGAATCGCCCGACTCGTAACCCCAAGGTCACGAGTTCAAATCCCCGTGCAGGGTCTCAACGGGCCCCTACCGGCCTCGCTCACCTGGCAGCAGGCGATGCAACGCGGCGGCGAGGCCTACGTAGATGGCGATGTCGAGCAGCAGCATCGTGAGGGGTACGGCGAGTGGGTTGGGGCCCTCCAGCAGGTTGGAGAAGTGGGCGCCACTCCCTCCGGCCTCTAGCGCCACCACCTGGTGACAGGAAGCCGTTGGATCAAACCGCCTGACGTTTTCAGTTCAACCGAATCGTAATAATAATCCGTGCTAAGTTCGGCAAATAATGATCGGTGTGAAGCCGAGTTTGTTTAGTGTTAAAGCTACAAATTGTCAGTCATAAAACTAAGAGTGGCACTCTCATATGCAGAGCGTGGGTAGGAAATCGTTGCCCCCCACTGTGTGGACCGGCAGTCACTTGACAGGATTTCAGTGGTAGCTCTGCGGTATCCGCTTCTGCGGGCCGTTCTCTAACATGAAGGGTCGCACTGCACTGGGAGAAATCCGAGTGCATCTTGAGACAACGTGGGAAAATGTTACGGAAGTAAAAATATTAATGGTAACTAGCTCTGCGTCCAACTGTATAACTGTTGCTCTGTGCCGTGTAATGCTGTGCCGTTTGCCCTAAGTACGGTGTAATTGCACATTTTTGAAAGTGAGTTTGGTTAAATGAAAAAAATATATATTTAGATTTCAAGGCCCATTGAGCTATACAGCTCTTTTTCAGAAGCGACCTGGCCACAAATGATCGCTCAACGAAGTGGCTTATCGTGTGGAAATGTACAGCAGCAGCCAAATACTCTAAACGCATGTGTCTAAATGTGGAGGGAAAAACCAGAGGACCAGGAGAAAAATCAACGTGACCACGGGGAGAGAGAAACAGACACGCAAACTCCAAATATACAACAGGCGTCAGGATCAAACCCACGACCTCCTGTATACCAGGCAAGGTAGTTAACATCTTGCCACCGTGGCCCCCTTATTAGCAACGCCCCCGATACTTGCCCCCACATGACCCCGCGACCCCCGGACCTGTGCAACGGCGAGGGCAAAGGCCGCGGGAGAGAAGAGGCTGAGGAGCCAGTGCAGCACGGCGTTCGAGTTCCACAGCAGCAGGACGGGAATGTTTAGCAGGCAGAAGATCAGCGCAAGCAGAGAGCCCACGGAGCTCGCCGTCTTGGCCTTGCGGAAGAACGCCATGAGCACCAGCGCCATCGCCACCTGCACAGCAGCAACGACATCAACAACAACAACAACAAGGCACGCGACACAGGACATGAACGACGGCTACGATGGCGATGACAAAAATGATGACAAGAATGACAATAACAATCACTGCAACAATTACAACATTGACAATAATAATCACTACAACAACAATGACAACCACAACAACAGGGACCCAATGTTGAGGGCTGCAGAGAATATTAAAATGTTAACCTCCAGAGAACTATAACCCCATTGTTTTCCTAAACCTGTAGTTATGTCGTGAGTTGGTCCTAACCATAACCCCGTTGTGATCCAGGGGGAGAGGTGGTGGGGATATTGTTCTAGGGGGTAGTCATATCGCTATAACAATGTTTGTACCCGGGGGTTCAACTGACACGCAGTATTCTGACCCCATGATCAGAATTCTACGAGGGGGGGGGGGCGGTTGGGGTGGTCAAAGCGCGACACCACGCTGGGACTCACCAGCGAGAGGCCGTAGAGCAGGAACAGGAGGAACATGAGGATCGTGTTGCTCGTGTCGAAGATGTGCGTGACGCGCGTCACCACGGCGAGCACCAGCGACACGAGGCAAATCATGGCGCCGTACACCAACGCCCACGACAGCCTGCGCCGACAAGAAGGGGCGGCTCGGCAAGATCCCAAACACGAGATTTGTTCAACACGCATGCATCAGTAACGCCGTGGAATTAAAAGGAAATATATATAAAGTCATGTTTTGGCCAATGGCCCTTCATCATGCACGTCAGTGAGCACGTAATTTAATGTGCTATGAAAAAGGGCCATCCAAAAGTCACCTATTGTAATTCAGTCCCTAAAATCTGATGGGGCAAGTGCTGTTAGTGAGAACGTATTAAGGCCAGAATGCTTCACATAATAGGCGGTGTGGCCAGCACCAATTCTGGATGCTTTTGTCACCCCAGTGCCGATAGCCACATAAAGCACTGGGTACTTAGTTATTGATGAGTCAACCGAGGGAGGCCCAGGACCAGTTCAGATAATTTCCACTGATGTTAACGAGGAATTGAACTCAGGCGGCCGGGTTCATGGCATAATGTACTAACCACTAGGCCACTACTCCCCATAGCATATACTTTACATTAACAATAACATGTACACACGCCGACAAAATAATAGATAACAGGCTGTTGGCGCAAATGCTATTCGCGAGCACCGATGAATGCTGGCACAGCACACGAGGGGTGGGTGGCCAGCACCACGCCCAGCCACCTTTGTCTCCCCAGTGGCGGTGTTTATACATCGCACCAGGTACTCATTTGAGACCGAGTCGACCTACAAGAGGCCCAAGACCGATTCAGATAATCGTCACTGGTGTGGTCCATGAGCAGGAATCGAAATTGGGATGCCGGGTTTGTAGCGCAGTGCGCTACCCCACTACACTACCGCTCCCTACATACATTACGCACACATGCTTACACACAAAGACAGCGACCTCTCGTATAACCTATACAGGATGTTAGCGAGCACCTATTTAGGCCGGCACACACATACATGCACATATATGTAACCACACAACGTTCCGAACTCAATTGCCGGCGTCTCCGGTTACCCCGCTCCTCCACTCGTCAATAGCGATCGGTGCATGTGAGCTGGCAGGTGCTGCCACTGACAGAGTGATCGCATCTCTACTGGACATTCTCCGGCTTTGTTCATCATTCGTCAATTTACTTATTTATAATGAGGCCTCTGACCGCCGCTCAAATGTCAGCAGGGACTTGCGGCCAATTCTCGATTGCCTGTGGTAACAGGGGCGACCCTGATAGAACGAAACACACAATTATAACACATATGTGAAGGTGCAGCCCTGAAATTGACTGGCTCACACCACTGCTAACAGAAGGGCCTGTGATGCAGCTCTAGAGAGCCAATTAATCGGGGGTGATTGGTCTACTCTTCCACGCTGGCCAGAAGTCTAGGAAGACATGCCAGTGCCCACACATTATCCTACCAGCCAGCAATTTTTTTTTTATACAGTAAATTTAACACGTAGGCTTTGCGCGACCAATATCATCCATAACACGTTTGTTGGATTAGATCAGGTATATATATATAAATGTGTCGTTAAACCCGCCACCAACCTACACAGCTAATTAGTAAGGTTTTTCACATAAACAGAACATGCCAAATCGTTACTAGTACGGCACTACTGGCCAAGACTAAATAGAGAATCTATCTAAATTGAGAATCTATTGAAATTGAGAGAAAATACAAATAATTTTAACTGTTCGGATAGCTACAGACTTAGTGCTGCTGGAAGCAAATAATAAAATAATACAGTGTTTAAATGCATGCCTATACAGGTCACCATACTTCAATGGAGATTACCTGTGAACAGACAATAACAGGTACTGATATTTTAGTGCACACAATCGACAGGAGGCACAAGAATAATGGGCGTACATAATGTACATGCATAATGTGCCTTCATTACCATATAATTAACCCAACCAGCAATTTATACCAATTGTCCTTTATATGCAAGGCCGTAGCCATGGAGTCAACATTGGGGGGGGGGGGAATCTTCCAGGGGGGTCTGAATTTGCTTTACGAGGACATTTTCAGGAATGCAACTCCTGCGTTAAAAGCCGGCGCTCGCTGCGCAGTACAATGAATAACAACGCACGCGCGGTGGGCGTACCGCGGTGGGCATACCAGAGCGGGTTTACCAACGCACACACGGCGGACATACCAGAGCGCCGGCGTGCGGAGGCCCATGGTGCGCATGAGGTCACGGGAGCCCTGCTCCTTCTCCAGCACCAGGTTGAGCAGCAGGAAGGAGAGGAAGGGGGCGAAGGCGCCGGCCAGGTAGATGGAGGCCAGCAACTGTGGCCAGGTGCGCACGACCGTGTGACGGCTGCGGCCCATGCGTTGCACCATGGCGCTGGTCAGGGCGTGAGCGGAGACGTTTGTTTGCAACTACACGAGCGGGGAGAGGGAACACGGTAAACGGACAATTAAACTAAACCATTTTTTTTTATTTTACCAGGTAAGGCCCATTGAGCTGCACAGCTCTATTTCAGAAGAGACCTGGCAACAAATGATAACTCAAATAAGTGGCTTATCGTGTGGAAATTTATAGTAGCTGCAAAATACTCTTGAGTTTAAATGTGGAGGGAGAAACCGGAGGACCTCAGAGAAAAACCCACGCGCATGGGGAGAACATGAAAACTCCAAATATACAACAGGCATTAAGGTCGGGATCAAACCCATGACCTCCTGTATACTAGGCGAGGTAGTTAACATCAAATTATTTACTTGTACGGCCCCTCCGTGAAGCTCGTTCCGGTCAGGTGGCTCAGCGGTAGAGAGAGCTGCCCGAAACTAAAAGGTTGCGAGAGTTCAAATCTTGATTGAGCGTTGACTCAACCCATCATCCCTCCAGGGTTGATAAAAAAAATACCACTTTGTAGGGAAGCGAACAGTGGTTATCATGTGGATAGACTCGCAACCCCCCTCCACCCCTCCGTTCACAAAAGATATCTGAAAGTCTTATTCGGCCCGCATTAAGGAAAGGGGTTCTCACATCTAACTTGCCTTGTGATGCATCCATTTTGAGCGCAGGAATCGCTTCAGAATCGCTGAATCAATTAACTGCTACATATGGACTCAAGACAGCAAATACATGATCCAGATAGGATTCATAACGCTGGTTATATTTTGTGGAACAGTGGGAGGCTGGGGCGGGTGATGGGGGCTCACCTGTATGAGCGCAGAGTCGATGGCCAACTGCAGCGACACGAAACCAGACTCCAGGTAGTCGTTTACGGGACATCTGGTCGAGTGCACCTCGTCCATGGACCGGCAGTGCACTACCGAAAACCACCACAGTGACCACAATGAACCACGACTCCGATTGGCACGGTTGGCTACGTACGGTGAAAAAGAAGTTCAACATACAGACAATTACAAATCACACACGAATCACTGCCGCCAAATGACGGCAACCACAAATCGCATGAATAGTAACCGCAAAGCCACGTGAGTCACTACCAACATCTGCAGCTGCCACGGGAACAAATCACATCAATCACAACTACAGATCTCCTTACTCCACCCTCCAGACCCCCCGTTCTATCAGCACAATAATTGGAGGTGGATTAAGGGCTACCATCAAGACCATTAGCTCATTACGCAGGATGTCACGCGCCGAGCAAAAACAAGAAAAACCATGCACATGCAGGAATTCTGCCGTCGTGCCAGGTACTCAAGAAGCAGCACGTTCGTATGTATGTATGTTGAACTTCTTTCGTACCGTACGTAGCCAACCGTGCTAATCGGAGGTACGGGGGAAGGGCAACAAACTAAACACAAAAAGCTATTTTAAAGAAATTCGTTTTCAATCCAAAATTAGTTTTCAATCTAGGGCACGGGTGAGACCACGTGGGTCGCATAGCGGCTCTGCCAGGGGAGGGCATTCCACGGCAGCCAGGACCGTGATGGCGAGGCAGAGATCGCAATCGGGTACCCGATACCCGTACCCTACCCGATACCCGGCTACCCGTACCCGGCCGGGTACTGGTACGGGTACCCGTTTGCGACCCTGGTGCGGCCGGGTACGGGTAGGCCGTGAGTCACTGGTGAGTAACCGTTTGTCACTCATTTCCCAACGTCTTGTCTCTTCTCACAATTCAAGTTCCTAGAATCAACCCACCCGCGCCTGCAACGTGGCTTCATCCCAGAGGTCGCAATCGGGTACCCGATACCCGTACCCTACCCGATACCCGGCTACCCGTACCCAGCCGGGTACGGGTAAGGAATCAAAACCCGTTTGCGACCTCTGTGGCGAGGGCAGGACCCTTTAGCGCTGGTTTGTGACTCCAAGTTTCGTGGCACCTTTTCGATCAACACAACCTTTTACACTCGTACACTCAAGTCTCGTTTCCGAGATATTGTTGCGTCGCGCGAGGCTCACTCTCCATCTGGTCGAACGCCACGTCGGTGCTCGGCACGGTGTTGTACGGGAAGAGCAGGCGGTACTCCATGCTGCCGTTGAACACCACGCCGCACGAGTGTAAGGTGGCGACATCTTCCCTCAATGTGCTCTCGGTGGGGAACTCTTGCACCGGCTTGGCTTCAGGGATTGGGAAGAAATCACGCGCAGAATGGATTATGCAAACACCCCTCCGACATGAGTTTATCTCCAGAAGAGTTATTGTTGTTGCTGTTGTTGTTGGAACAAATGCATGCTAGGCGCTGCGACAAACGGTTCAGAAACGTCAACGTTAACACGGATGTGGAATCGGCAGCTCAGAGTTTGCGCATCAAGAAGCGCGGAGAGGTGTGCGCTCGAATTGCATTGGCTCACAGAAAGAGATGCGCAGGGATGAGAGAAAAAGCTCGGCTAGCCGGTGTTAATAGCCTGGGGGGGGGGGTCCCTGGCACGCGGTAATTTGGAGAACACGCCGTACCGAGCTGAGCGGCCACCAGGTACATGACCCGGCGCGCGTGGTCCGAGTCCGCCACGTATCCGACGTCGTGGTCGAACTCGAGGGGCAAGGGAACGGCGGGTGGCGGGGGCGACTCGGAGAGCTCCACATGCCTGTTCATCTCGCTGATGAGCACGAGCAGCAGCACGAAGCAGAGGGGGATCAGCAGCTCCTGCACCGCCGACTCAAACACACACGCGGGAGACGTCGGGTTATGGCGCGGGGCTTTTCCCGAAAAGTGGAATGAGGGTATTTGTTAGTACTGGACGAATCCGATGAGCTATGAAGCTCTTTTACGCAGATGTCCAGTAGGGGCGGGGAATAACGTTACAGCACAAGGTATACAAATCACCCAAACACATACAAATAAAACTAAACCATCGCCACCCTACCACCAGGCAAAGCCCACTGAGGTATTAACTCATTTGTCTGAAGCGACCTGGCCACATCGTGGCTCTCAATCTTTTGAACAAATGAACAGCACGGTTAATGTGTTTCTTCTTCCTCTGTTCAGTACGAAGAATGTTTTGACAAACATGACGCCGATATACAGCGGGGGTCAGGGTCGGGATCAAACCCGACGACCTCCTCCTGTATACCTGGCGAGGTAGTCAACATCTCGGGCACCGTGGCGCCTAACAACTATGGGGTGGTGTGGTGTTTGCACCACAAGCTTTGATGACGGTCGTTCATGAGGTGTTTGTTAATATATATTTAAAACAAAAACTCAATCGCCTAGGAGTAGGGCTTTAGCCTTTAAACTGGTACAAAACTGACACCTTTATACAAGGCATCATGTTTGCAATAACCACAACACAAGTAGTCAAAATGCAAACAAAAATAAACAACTCTGATAATGATAATACTATGCACTGTCCTTGAAGTTGATTGGTCCACACCCGAGACAGCTTTCCTTAGAGCCTAGTCTCCATTGGTGTTGGACCAGATGACACCAAAAGGCGTACAACTCAAAAGGCGTACAACTTATCAGAGTTGTTTCTTTTTGTTTGCATTTTGACTGCTTGTGTTGTGGTTATTGCAAACATGATGCCTTGTATATAGGTGTCAGTTTTTGTACCAGTTTAAAGGGTAAAAACCTACTACTATATTTTGCCACTGCTAAAGAAGGCCTGCGTGTAAATACTCAATCGCCTGTGAACACATCTGCGCTCAGATAGTACAGCGCCTCGACAGATGGTGTGTGACAGGCTGCGGCCGGGCAGCAGAGGACTTAGTGCAAGCAACATCCATCGTACAACTCACAGTAACTCTTCTATCCTAGAACAACAACGTCCATGCCTGCCCCCCCCTCCTCCTACTACCGCCGCGGTGAAGTATGGTCACGACAAACCACCCACGAGGCCACATCATCATCAGGGGGAGGGTGACAGGCAAAACTAACGCCGTACATTCGTATCGTTTGTCTATTTACGTCCAAATAGCGCTGTCGCTTTCTCGATTCGCGTCGAAATGCGAGCGGGGCACCACCGCGCACTGTACGCGGATGTCCGTCGCGATAACGAAGAGAGAGAGAGGCGATGGGGCCATGCTCGGACTCGCCTGCAGGGTCTGCTGTTTGTTGCGCACTTTGATGAGGCCGTTCCTAGTAGACGAGGGCCTTCGTCTGGCCCCAAATGCCCACGGCAGGTCGCGCTTCGGGTCCCATGGCCTCCTCCTCTCTTCCTCGTTCGTTCGTTCGACCGCCACCGCCGCCGCGGCCGCCGCCTTCCCGCCAAACCCTCCCCTCAACACGCGCGCGCGTCTCTCAACAACAACAACAACAAAGTAAAAAAAAATCGTCGGAAACACAAACGGATGCAATTTCTGAGGGGAAATGAAACTAAATAATGTCAATGACCGCCTCGTCTGCCTCTTTCGTGACGCGAAAAAGTGGACCGATTTGTCGAGTCTGTGAGGAGAACTCAAACGCAGCATTCACTTCGGAGTTAAAGCCGGCACACTTAATGGTTGTGTCGGCCGTACCACCACGAGTTACGCACTGAGACGACCACAACTATTATGAGAAATTCATGAGGTAACAAACCCCAGGGTGGGAACAGTGCTAAGTGATGGGGGTGAGGGGGGTTTATGCGTGAGAGGCAAGGAAGAAGTCTGGTATTGTACTGCCCCCAAGTGGTATATAGGCGCTTAGTGTGCATTGTACTGGGAGGAATCACCCTGGTTACACCAGCCCACAGGGGATTATTGTGTCCGTCCGTCCGTCGTGCATCCAGAAATGGGAGGGGTGGGGCTGGGTGGTGAGGGGCTGGGTGGGGAGGGGCTGGGTGGGGAGGGTGGGGCTGGGTGGGGGGGCTGGGTGGAAAGGGTGGGAGGAGTGGGGCTGTGTGGGGAGAATGGGGAGGGGAGGGGTTGGGTGGGGAGGGTGGGGCTGGGTGGGGGGTGGGACTGGGTGGGGAGGGGCTGGGTGGAAAGGGTGGGGGGGGGCTGGGTGGGGAGGGTGGGACTGGGTGGGGGGGTGTAAGGGGTGGGGCTGGGTGGGGAGGGTGGGGAGTGGTTGGGTGGGGAGGGTGGGGAGGGGTTGGGTGGGGGGTGGGAGGGGAGGGGCTGGGTGGGGAGGGGCTGGTCACCCCGTGGTGCCCTTATAAAACTCAACGTTTAACCTACTCACGCCGGCTTGTGCCCACCCTCACAGTCGGGCATATTTGCGGAATACACCACGCTGCCGTTGACCCTGCAGGCCATTGATCGAACAACTCAACGTTCCTACCAGCTCCCTCCGCAGGACAATGTGTTTTATGTTAAACTTCTTTGGCACCGTACGCAAATCGGAGGTGCGTAGGGTGGGGGGAGCACAACAAACTTCAACACACAAGGAGCAGTTGTAAAGAAAAATGAGTTTTTAGTTGAGAAGGAAATGAGTTTTAGATGTATTTTGAGGGCAATCTGCCGTCGCAAAGACACGAGTCGCCAACGCTGTGAATTTGTCGCTAGACTTCGGAGAATGAACGAGGAAGAGTTAGCGTGTAAAATAGTCATTGGTGAATCAGTGCCACTCAAGGAGAAGATCCACGGAGGATGATAAAAACGCCGACTGCACTGAACTCGTGCCAGTCAAGTCACAAGCTGTAGTTTCAACTATGAAGCCAGATAAAAGGGTAAAAAAACAATTATCACATTAAACTTTTTCTATATATGTTTTATTTTAGCAGGTAAGGTCCGCTGAGCTTTAGAACTCTTTTTTTCAGAAGCGACCTGGCCACAAATGATAGCTCAACGAAGTGGCTTATCGTGTGAAAATGTATCGCCGCAGCCAATTCTAACATTCTGTTGGACATCTGTGAAAAATAGATGTAGAGTAGAGCTCATCGGATTCCTCCAGCATAAATAAATATTCTGATTCTAAAATACTCAAAAAACGCATGTTTCTAAATGTAGAAGGAAAACCGGAGGACCCGGAGAAAAAAATCCACACCACCATGGAGAGAGACACGCAAACTCCAAATATAAAGCAGGCGTCAAGGTCGGGATCTAACCCACGACGTCCTGTATACCAGGCGAGGTAGTTACCATCTCCTAGCCACCGTGATGATGATGAGAGAGACACAAACTCCAAATATACAGCAGCAGGCGTCAGGGTTGGGATCTAACCCACGACCTCCTGTATACCAGGCGAGGTAGTTAACATCTCCTAGCCACCGTGATTGATGATGAGAGAGACACAAACTCCAAATATACAGCAGGCGTCAGGATTGGGATCTAACCCACGACCCCCTGTATACCAGGCGAGGTAGTTAACATCTCCTAGCCACTGTCGCGCTTTCCTTATGCAGGGTTTCCATTGAGGATCCTGGATCTCTGTATCATGCTCAACGCTTAAAAACGCGTCCCGTTCGTCGAAATCAACGCCGTGTGGCCTTGAACGAAAACAAATATGTTTCGGGAAATTACCCTTTTCGTTCCAATTTGTATCCGTCAATGATTTTGGGTGTTTCGTTGTTCTAGGAATCTAGGGCATATTTGATTGACAAATTTGACAGTAACCCAATGGAACTGGATGCAACTGAATGGTTTGAACACAGTGGAAAAACCACGCACACGGGACACGGGACTTTCGCGCAAGCAGGCGTCTTCTTTATTCAAGGCCAGAATACCGGTCATTAATATGCAACCGGCGTTCGGTACATCTTTATGATACAGATGCTATTTCGATTTAAAGCTTTCGTGACTGCAGGGATTCATCTTCTTAGTTCTTTCGGTAAAGTCACGTAGAAGGGAAGTAATAAAATAATAAAAATAAAACATAAAACAATTCTCACGACGTTTCGGCCACAACGCAAGCAGCCGTTCTCAGGTGAAAACCAGGTCTGTCGAGGCGACAGGCTGTTTTTCCTGATGAAGCTGGTTGTAATTACTGGCTGAAACGTCGTACTCAGATTGTAAATGTTGTGGCTTGGCTCTCCAACACACCGGTGTGCTGTACTAGTACACTACACTATACACTACACTATACACTACACTATAGGGGCCGTCCATAAATGACGTCACGCGATTTTGGACGATTTTTGACCCCCCCCCCCCCATCGTCACACGGCGTCACAAAAAGTCAGACCCCCCCTCAAATATGACGTCACAAAGCTCTGCCCCCCCCCCAAAAAAAAAACATGCTTTAAATCGCTTTAAACTGTTGTAATTGTAGTGCGTATTTAATGTGGCGCTGCACTCTGATGTTGTAGGAGAAAACATTTATTAAAAGTCTATTTAATTAAGTAGAACGTGTTGTCTATATTTATTTAAAGTTGCGCATTTTGATGTGACGTCACATTTCTCAACCCCCCCCCCCCTCGTCACGCATCGTCACAAATGTCTGACCCCTCCTCCCCCTAGGTGCGTGACGTCATTTATGGACGGCCCCAAAGCTTATCCTAGAGGGCACACCCCCTAACATGTATATTTTAGATAAAATGCGTTAAGAGTATTTGGTTGCTGCTATACATTCCAACGTGATAAGCCACTTTCGTTGAGCTTATCATTCGTGGTCAGGTCGGTTTTGGAGAAAAAAACTGCTACATAGCTAAGTGGGCCTTACCTGGTGAAATAAAAAAAACAAATAGTTACATTTACGTACCTTCAATAAAAAAACAACCTGAAAATCTTCAGATATGCTTTTAAAAAAACGCCACTGCTGTATCATTCTTTCAAAACAGCTTCAACAAATGAAAAAAAAACGACAGTAAAAATGATACAATACATAATCCTCCGCCCCTATACCGCGGGTTTTTGAGGTCCACCAAAATAGTAACCCATCGGGTTAACAAAAATCTTAAATTATAATCCAAGTGCAGTTACTTTTAAATCCTTTATATTAAGTTCATTTGCTTGCTTGCGCGCTTACGACCGTGCAAATCTTTCGGGCGTTTTTTAACCCACTTCCCGTGATCCAATCGAGCTGACATTTTGCACACAGACTCGTTGTGCGTGACAATTTATTTTCGTGAAAAAATTTTTTCCTAAATTTTACACTTTTTAGGAAAAAATAAGTTATATTTAATTACCAATTGCTTAATGGTGGCAGGCAATCATCTGACCCATAGGTGGCAGCCATCTCAAGCCAGAGGACGAGAGGACTCTAGCCGCCACGCATATAAAGGATTTATAGTGAAAAACTTTGTTTTTACGGGTTAATCTTTTTTAAACTTCTGACAGAGGAATTGTAAACCCCAAGTACATGGTACATCATTCCAAAGTCCGTCAGTTCGCATTTCAACACATTCTTCCTTACCATTGTATGCGTTAGGTTCACCCGATTTCCAGTTTGTGTAGTTACCCAGTGGAGTCTCATTTACATACCGGAATATTTTTTCATTTGTAATGTTATTCATCCCAATAAACATCGTGTCGTTACAAATGTAGTTGTGTAATCGTTTGTTCAGGATGCTGGACGTTGGCATGGCTAAGTCTCCGCCATACTTTTTGCAATGAGCACGTGCCATCTCAAAAGTCTTCTTCTCATACACCGGCCAATAGACAATGTGCAGAATATATTCTGTCCAGGGAAGAAGCATGGTTCTGGTGTTAGGTGGAGGAAGATGTTACTTGTTGCATTTCTTAGGGCATGCCCCACGGCATGTGGACCCTGGTTTGGCTCAACATTGACCCCGACGTTCCATGTTTACTGAGGAGTGGCAGCGATGAAGTTAAATCAAATATCGTGTTACTTATTAGAAGAAAAAAAAAACACAAGGGTTGGTTAGGTATTGTGTGTGTGCGTGACTGTGTAAAAGTGATGTAGTGGTTACGCACTGCACTCTGAACGAGCTGCAAACCCAGAGACCCAAGTTTGATTCCCGCTCCTGTCTAACATCCTGGTCATCCTCGAGGTCCACTCAGCCTTAAACGTGTACCTGATGTGCTGTGTAAACATCGGCACTGTTGAGATAAAGGCGGGCGTGCTGCTTGCCAAACCACTCCCTCGTGTGCCGTGTTGGCCTTCAAAGGTGCTCCCAAATAGCATTTGCCTCAATAGTCTGTTATGGGGGGATTTGTTTTCTCTCACAAAGGCGTGAAGCTTGCCAGTAAGGTGACACTGAGACACCACCGGTGTCCAGTATGAACAGCACTGGCAATGTTCGTGGCCTGTTGGCAACTCCACCAACGTGGACGGTGAAGCATCAGCCGCTCAGCATATCCGTGACAAGTCCAAGGGTGGCACAGTCGGGTGTTTTACAATCGGGTTTAATTGTCTTTTTATATTAAACCCGATCATCTGAGATTGGGAGAAATCCGGTTTCATTGGTTCTAATTGCAGAACCGCACTTCGCCAACTTCGCCAACGATGGGCTTCATCCATTCCAAGCTAAGGAACTCACTGGCGCCCACGATTGTGGAGGAGAAGCTCGTGTTCATCAAGACCAACCTGCCCGCCGCATTCTACAACTACCCCGTGCCCGACGGCCCCCCCGAGTACGATAGCAGCACCGACGAGGAAGCAGCCTAAGCCTTGGATCAGAGTTTCTATTCATTAAACCAGGTTTTAATTCCCCGAAATCGGGTTTAATTGTATTAAAGAAAAAACCCGATGCCTGCCGCTGGAAAAATCGGGTTTTTTCCACCCATGGACAAGTCTGATCCTCGGGCAACATGGCAGACCTGTCGCAAATCCTCAGGAGGAGGACCTTCTGCCGTACGGTATCATGACTCGTGCATATCTCGTTGCTGATGAATTTGGTTGTGAAGATTTGCTGTGCAACCCCACCGGATGAGTGAGCTGAAACAATAACTGGTGGATCAGCAAAGGCTTGTGCACCTCGTGACACATTTTTGTTAATCATTGTTTTTGGTTGCGTCGGGTGGTGGACACGTGATTTGGTCAGCTCATTCGGTGGCCTGACCCAAACATCTATTTCGAATCGTACTAATAATGGCTATGTTCATTGAAAGAGGTGTATGGTCAGTTTATTAGCAATGGCGTGTTGAGTGCAAGCATTTATTACGTGAATGTATATTTTTTATTAGTGACATATAAGAATTACGCTTTCTCACCAATCTTTTCAGACAATTTGAGCAGATCATTTTTCATCTCCTGCTTCATGACAGACATGTTCGAATCGATCTTGTCCAGGCGATTATCTGGGATTTGTAATAAAAGAGAGAGAGATTGAGATTTCGACAGAGCGATGTAAAGCACAGGCGCATCTCAACCAGTGGCGGAATGTATGTACCGCATGCACTGCATGTTGAACTTCTTTCGCACCGTACGTAGCCAACCCCGCTAATCGGATGTGCGGAGGGCAAGGGTAAATAACCCGTAAAAACAAAGTTTTTCACTATAAATCCTTTATATGGGTGGCATCGGTTTTATTTTATTATTCATTTCTGTTTTTCTTGAGTAAGAGTTTCATTTTTATCACATTGGTATTTTAAATTAAATATGAAAAAAAATTTTTCCTAAAAAGTGGAAAATTTTGGAAAAAATTTTCACGAAAATAAATTGTCACGCACAACGAGTCTGTGTGCAAAATCTCAGCTCGATTGGATCACGGGAAGTGGGTTTAAAAAAACGACCGAAAGATTTGCACGGTCGTAAGCGTGCAAGCAAGCAAGCAAGTGAACTTAATATAAAGGATTTAAAAACTTCGCCAGAGAATCACCTTTCTGAAACACGTGGTTCTCAACGACCCCAACTAACCTACGTGTGCTCTGGGCTCGCTTATAGCGCTCGCCGCTCGGCACGACGTCCTTGGTTTGGCTCCGACACGCACCGGGAGCATCTCCACTTTCGCTCTTCCGGGAAGGGTCCCAGCGTGTGCGGCGACACGTTGAACGCCGTCGTGACAAACAGCACGCGCTCCAGGCACCGAACTCACGTCGGAGAATTACTGGCGAAACGTCGTACTCAGATTGTAAATGTCGTGGCTTGGACACTCCAACACACTGACCGGTTAGTGCTGTACGAGTGACGAATTGGCCACGTTCTGTTTACGTGACAACCCTTGCTAGTTGGTTTTATCAGCAATGACGTGTTGAGTGCAAGCATTTATTATGTAAATGTATCTTTTTTATTAGTGACGTATAAGAATTACGCTTTCTCACCAATCTTTTCAGACAATTTGAGCAGATCATTTTTCATCTCCTGCTTCATGACAGACATGTTCGAATCGATCTTCTTGTCCAGGCGATCACCTGGGATTTGTAATACAAGAGAGAGAGAAATCGAGATTTCGACAGAGCGATGTAAAACACAGGCGCATCTCAACCAGTGGCGGAATGTATGTACCGCATGCATTGCATGTTGAACTTCTTTCGCACCGCACCGTACGTAGCCAACCTCGCTAATCGGAGGTGCGGAGGGCAAGGGTAACAAACTTCGCCAGTGAATCATCTTCCTGAAACACGTGGTTCTCAACGACCCAAACTAACGAACGTGTGTTCTGGGCTTGCTTATAGCGCTCGCCGCTCGGCACGACGTCCGACGTTTCGATCGCAACACAAGCGCTGTTGCGATCGCAACGTTGTGATTTGTTTTATTTTATTTCTACCCACGTGACTTTACGAACCAAAGAGTATGGATTCCTGCAGTCACGAAAGCTTCAAATCAAGATCGAACCACGCCTGTTTTCAGGAAAACAAAGGGGGTGATTTCGATTTAAAGCTTTCGTGACTGCAGGGATTCATCTTCTTGGTTCTTTCGGTAAAGTCACGTAGAAGGGAGATAATAAAATAATAAAAATAAAACATAATAAAATAATACAATTCTCACGACGTTTCGGTCACAACGCAAGCAGCCGTCCTCAGGTGAAGAACAGGTTTGTCGGAAAGACCCGGCCGCACGGAAAGACCCGGCCGCACCAGGGTCGCAAATGGGTACCCGTACACGGTCGGGTACAGGTACCCGTTCCCTACCCGTACCCGTACCCTACCCGAAATGAGTGACAAACGGTTACTCACCAGTGACTCACGGCCTACCCATACCCGGCCGCACCAAATTCGCAAACGGGTACCCGTACCCGGCTGGGTAGTTTAGTGTTGAGGTGAAATAAAAAAAAATAAAGAGCGTACACAGACAGTAAACGGGGAGCGACTCAACATCTTTTAGTACAATGAAAGGGTCATTTTCCCAATAAGGTCTATTCAAAATCATAATATTTTCTTACGCTTATATTTATTTATAATAACAAACTGATGGGTATTATCGATTCATTTAATAATAAATACAATGTCTCTATAAATAGAAATGATTTATTACATCATTTGTTTCCAATAAATTATATGTATTCATATTATAGCTTATCAGAGAGAGAGAGACACGGCAATCAAAGTGATAGTTTGAATACTCAGAGGTGGAATTGAGCCCAATGAATTGCAGAACCAAACTTCAAGTGTGAGCTTTTTGTTTACGTGCAGGAACTGCCTTGCAAACCACATCTCTTTCTCCGATGCATGTTCCATGCCAGCCAACCTCAGGCACATTCTCACAGGGTGTAAAACAAGCCTCACCCAAGGACGCTACACTTGGCGTCACAACCAAGTCCTTAAAAACCTTGCGTCCGCCCTGGAGGACAAGCGAGCTGCCACCAACTCCCTACCACCCCCAGCAGCATCACACCCCTTACGGACGACCTTTGTCCGCGAAGGGGCTAAACCACCGAAGAGCGGCTCTACACCAATAGAGCGAGACCAGCTGCGCTTGGCCCGCGACTGGAAAATGCTAGCTGACATTGGCCGGCAACTTGTGTTTCCTCCGGAGATCGCAACCACCACCCTAAGACCTGACGTGGTGTTCTGGTCCCGTTCGCTCAAGAAGGTCTTCATCATTGAGCTCACAGTACCCTGGGAGGACTCAGTAGATGAGGCTTATGAGCGAAAACATCTGCGCTATGCCGATCTAGCTGCCGAAGCACGGCATCATGGCTGGAACACAGAAGTCCGACCAGTGGAGGTGGGCTGCAGAGGTTTTGTGGCAACATCTACAACCAGACTGCTTAGAGACCTGGGAATTAAGGGCCAGAGCCAGCGTTCGGCAATCAAAGCTGTATCGGAGGCGGCAGAAGGCAGCAGTCAGTGGCTCTGGATGAAGAGGAAAGACCCCAGCTGGGCCCCAAAGTGAGAGGGCCAGGAGGTATGCAGTCAACAATGCTTGACTCAGGGAGGAGGACGCCCCTGCCATGCATAGTCCCATGGGATGTTGGCTACCAACAACAAGGCAACTCCTATGACTAATTGGGAATGGGACGCAAGCGTAGGATTGATCACTCTGTCGCTGGCCGCCTTTGGGGAGGGTGTATAGTATGAAAGGCCGAAACACCCTAGGAACCAAAGGGTCATTACGGACGATGCGCTCCCCAAATTTCACCAGGCTCACTGTTCATGAACTCTTGGAAGTGCTTGCACAAAGGATAGTAACATCTCATCCTGTGTTCTTTGGAATCTGGGTAATACGTGGACTCACCCATTTTCACCAAATCTTCATTTAAAACATCCAGATGATCCACGATCAACATCCCTTCTTCTGTGGAAGTGGTGGCGCTGTATTGAATTGCGTGGAAATCTGAAAGAAAAATTAAATTCTTACTGTATTATAATATCCGTACTGTGCCACGATTTTAACACCCGGTTTGAATAAGAATAAGAAGGGAAAAAAAATTAACCCGTAAAAACAAAGTTTTTCACTATAAACCATTTATATGCGTGGCGGCGAGAGTCCTCTCGTCCTCTGGCTTGAGATGGCTGCCACCTATGGGTCAGATGATTGCCTGCCACCATTAAGCAATTGGTAATTAAATATAATATTTTTGTCCTAAAAAGTGTAAAATTTTGGAAAAAAATTTTTTCACGAACATTAATTGTCACGCACAACGAGTCTGTGTGCAAAATGTCAGCTCGATTGGATCACGGGAAGTGGGTTAAAAAACGACCGAAAGATTTGCACGGTCGTAAGCGCGCAAGCAAGCAAGCAAGTGAACTTAATATAAAGGATTTAATGATCTTTGGCCTGAGCGGCTTACAGTACGTCTGAATTTAAAACGAATTTCTTTAGAACTGCTTTTTGTGTTCCTTCCGCCGCACCTCCGATTAGCACGGTTGGCTATGTACGGTGCGAAAGAGGTTCAACATACAAAGGCAAAGATCCCCCGTATAGCCTTTACAGACTGGTGGGGCAAGTGCTGTTAGCCAGCACCTATGAAGGCCAGCACAGCACACGAGGGGTTAGGTGGCCAGCACCACGCCCGACCGCCCTTGTCTCCCCATTGGTGATGTTTACACACCGCACCAGGTACTCATTTGAGGCTGAGGCGACCTAGGGGAGGCCCAGGACCGGTTCAGATAATCGTCGCTGGTGTTCGCCGTGAGCAGGAATTGTACTCGGGCTGCCGGGTTTATAGCATAGCGAGCCAACTGCTACACTACCGCTCCCCAACATACACAAACATGTCAATTCTGTGTAGCTATGATTGATGCAATTGTTTACCCAGGAAAGCATTGCTGAGTCTCAAGCCTTAATTTCAGGAGGGTGTTGCCAGGTATTTACAATGCGTCATCCCATTGAGTAAATTTGCAGGTAATTTTTTTGTAGCATTTGAATGTTGTTGGTCAATGCCAATTACATGTTATTGGTTGTGTGTGTTTCGTCATGGGGGTTAAACCGTAGGACCCAGAGGGAACCCAACGCCAGGGTAGAACCTACAAACTCCACGCAGAAATTGTGCCCCGGTCGGGAATCGAACCCAGGGCCTTCTTGCTGCGAGGCGTGAGTGCGACACCACTGTGCCACCACCAATAGAAGATCCTTCAGAATCTTATCATCAATATGTTGAAATGTGGTGCGTCATTAATATGGTGGCTCATTTTATTTTCATGGATATTTTTAGATATTTACGCGATCTAATCCAAAGAAACCTCTATAACCAATGCATTCGGTTCATATTCTTGGTTCTTTCGGTAAAGTCACGTAGAAGGGAAATAATAAAATAAAATATCTTGATTTATATTTTTTATTATTTTATTATTTCCCTTCTACGTGACTTTACCGAAAGAACCAAGAATATGAATCCCTGCAGTCACGAAAGCTTTAAATCAAAATGTATATTCAGTTTTCATAATCAACGATTTTTGGGTTTAGATCGCGTTTATTTATAAATGTGTCGTAACCCTCCACCACCCGACACGGCCAATCAGTAAAAATGTGTCACGTTGAACTAAAGCAGTGAACTATTTGTCTTTGTCAACGTGACACATTTTTACTGATTGGCCGTGTCGGGTGGTGGAGGGTTACGACACATTTATAAATAAACGCGATCTAAACCCAAAAATCGTTGATTATGAATAACATTGGTCGCGAAAGCCTACGTGTTAAACTATATTCAGTTTGTTTGTTGATAATGTGTGCTTGTGCATTGAACGCAGCAGCAGCAGCATCACCAACACAATTTTCCCGCTGCAGGTAATTTAGTCCTGCACCTACCCGTCTGATGGACACTTACTGTAGAGGACGCTGATCATCAAGGTCACGGCGATGGTGATGTTCATGGCAAATAGAGACACGGTGGTCAGATTGGAGCAGAGACGATTTTGCGATGAATGCCCCGCGCCTGCAAGCTGCTGCTGCTGCTCATTGCCTGTGGAAAACACACACACACACACCACATCCTGTAGAATTGCTCAGATATGTACTTACGCAATTTGTACTTATATAGTTTATTTAGATTTATTTATTTGTAGTGACTTACCTTTTCTCTATGTTGCACTCCCAGGGCTGTCCTTAGGGGGGGTGTGAGGCCCGGGGAAAACCCCACCGTGCCCCCCCCACCCCAGATGCCTTCAAACTAAATTGGAAGTATTTCATCTGACACTGTGATGTAGAAGCGTACCACGCCCCCCAAAGCACGGGGCTCGGGGCAGTCCCCCCAGATTCGCTATACCCTAGGGACGGCTCTGTGGCACTCCTATCGTTTTTTTTATTTGTTGTTGTAGCTTGCCGACCCTCCCCCTACTGGACATCTGTGAAAAAAAGCTTTATAGATCATCGGATTCCTCCAGTCTAAACAAATATCGTGATATAATACTTTCGTGATGCGATGCAATGATGAAAACGACACATGACAGGCTGATGTGATCGGCAGTTCCTGTTCATATTCGTCGCATAGAAGAGCACAAAGTAAAATGCAAATAAACATGCCAAGTATAATTTGTACTTATTCCGACTTTCTGGCTCTTGCTCTGAAGATGTTTGACGTGGTTACAAGCCATACGTCGCGACGTATGTGATTGCTGCTAAGTTTAGTTGTGAGACTTTGTTCACTAACTTTACGGGTGAGTTGAGCTGAAACGATGATGACTGGTGCATAGTTTAAACGCTTGCACGAGTGACAATTACATTTATTTGGCTGTGTCGGGTTTGTGGAGGGTTACACAACAACAACATTTGGCCGGATAATTTCGCGGCCTATTTCAATAAATCTATTGTGAAACACATAATTAAGTTAATCGTGCCACAAACCATAACGACATTTAATCATAACCGATACAATATTATAATGTGAACGCCATCACAGTCCATTGAGTTTACATTGGCGAAGTGTATCATATCGCAACAAAGCTGGCAAAAATGATTCTGAACATGACTTATTTTGGTTTGTATGTTGTTGAACTTCTTTCGCACCGTACGTAGCCAACGATGCCAATCGGGGGGAATGGACAACAAACTAACACACAAACAAGCAGTTCCCATGAAATGAGTTTTCAATCTCGATTATTTCAAAGTGCAAAGCTCCGGTAGCTTTCTAACGTCGGAAGGACGAGCATTACAGACGGCCGCAAACGCGCATCTGAAAGTGCCAGGCGATGTGGTGACCACCGGCTTTGTTCGACAGTGATGCATTGGCAGTGCTACATGATCACAATTAACGGCAACAACTAAATCAACACGTTCGTCAATATTATTTGGTTCTTTCGGTAAAGTCACGTAGGTATAAAATAAAATAAATTAAATCACGACGTTTCGGGCGCAACACAAGCATCCGTCTTCAGGTGAGTCAATAACACGCGTGGCCTTAAATATATATCGTAAGTAACGTTTCTGGCAATGGCCCTTTTTCATAATAGCACACGTTCCATAAAGAATGGCCATGATTCATAGCGCATTTGCTCTTAAGCAGACTTGCTATGAATAGTGGCCATTGCTGGAAACGTCACCTATTGTATATATCTCTGTTTTCTTTTAGGGCAAAATTGGAAATGACGAAAGACACACGTTGGTTTTGACTTCAAACTTTCGTGACTGCAGGAATTCATATTCTTGGTTCTTTCGGTGAAGTCATGTAGATAGAAAAAATAAAAGTACATATTTTTTTAAAACTATGACGTTTCGATCACAACACAAGCGATCGTCGTCAGGAGGAAAATCGATCGCTTGTGTCGTGATCGAAAAGTCGTCATTTTTATTTTAATTTTATTTTCTCTTATTTTTTTCTATCTACGTGACTTTACCGAAAGAACCAAGAATATTCACGTTGGTGTGTGTATGACCATGAACGTACCCAGCATCGTGCTGACAGGGAAATCCGAGGATATCGACGTCGATGATGTCGCGTGGTGAGATGGAAGTCGCGCAAATGATATTCTAGTGCTGCACACGATGCATATATCTGAAACTCGGCACACTTACAATTATATATATACATATTACTCGGCAACTTGTTGGCAAGCTTTTCTTGGTAATGAAGAAAGGCAGAGAGTTAAGGGGAAGTGTTTTGAGATACGGGAAGTTCACATATTTCTGCACTGTGCTGACACAGACAGAGGCAAAAATGTGTACGATTGTGGTCATAAACACGCTTTCTTCTGTTATCTGAAACAGTTTGAGCCTCCCGTACATCACGTGGCGTATGTGTGTGTGGTCAACACACACAGACGCTGCTCCACTTGGCAGCATCGAGGCCCTGATGCGGCTTGTTTCTTCCCATTCTCATCTCTCCTCACCGTTTGCTTTTCGTTTCACTGTCTCGTTTCCATGATTTTCCGCTCAATTACCATTATTTCACTTTTTAAATCATTTATATTAAGTTCCCTTGATTGCTTGCTTAGGACCGTGCAAATCTTTCGGTCGTTTTTTAACCCACTTCCCGTGATCCAATCGAACTGACATTTTGCACACAGACTCGTTGTGCGTGACAATTTATTTTCGTAAAATGTTTTGTCCAAAACTTTACACTTTTTAGGAAAAAATATTATATTTAATTACCAATTGCTTAATGCTGCCATTCAATCATCTGACCCATAGGTGGCAGCCATCTCAAGCCAGAGGACGAGAGGACTCTAGCCGCCACGCATATAAAGGATTTATAGTGAAAAACTCTGTTTTTACGGGTTAATTTTTTAAATCCTTTATATTAAGTTCGCTTGCTTGCGTGCTTGCTTGCTTGCTTATGACCGTGCAAATCTTTCGGTCGTTTTTTAACCCACTTCCCGTGATCCAATCGAGCTGACGTTTTGCACACAGACTCGTTGTGCGAGACAATTAATGTTCGTGAAAATTTTTTTCCAAAATTTTACACTGTTTAGGGAAAACAAATTAAATATTTAATTACCAATTGCTTAATACTGGCAGACAATCATCTGACCCATAGGTGGCAGCCATCTCAAGCCAGAGGACGAGAGGACTCTAGCCGCCACGCATATAAAGGATTTATAGTGAAAAACTTTGTTTTTACTGGTTATACTTATTAAATCCTTTATATTAAGTTCACTTGCTTGCTTGCTTAGGACCGTGCAAATCTTTCGGTCGTTTTTTAACCCACTTCCCGTGATGCAATCGAGCTGACATTTTCCACACAGACTCGTTGTGCGTGACAATTTATTTTCGTGAAATTTTTTCCCCAAAATTTTACACTTTTTAGGAAAAAATAAATTATATTTAATTACCATTTGCTTAATGGTGGCAGGGAATCATCTGACCCATAGGTAGCAGCCATCTCAAGCCAGAGGACGAGAGGACTCTAGCCGCCACGCATATAAAGGATTTAGAGTGAAAAACTTTGTTTTTACGGGTTATACTTGTTTCCGTTCCCTTCCTGTGGTGCGTGACGGATACAAATTTGTTAACGATATACAGCACTCTACTGTATTTCTAACAAACAAACAAAAGTTAAATTCATCATGAATAACTTCATCCTACAGTCAAGTGGCTTAGCAGAATTAACACGACCGGATCGATAAAAGTACCACATTTTGCCTGTGGGTCTCTCAGGTTCTTATTTTAGAATTTAGGCGAGGAATCCTGAATTCAGAATATGTACTATACTGGAGAAATCAGATGAGCTACACAGCTATTTTTTCACGGAGAATTGTGCCGAGTATCCCAGAAGGACACTGAAATAAACAAATGGCCAACATCAATGGCAAAAAAAACACATTCCTGTGGAGGGAGTTGGTAGGAACGTTGGGTTGCTCGGTCAATGGCCAGGGTCAACGGCGGCGTGGTGTATTTCGCAAATATGCCCGACTGTGAGGGCGGGCACAAGCCGGCGTGAGTAGTTTAACGTTGAGTTTTATAAGGGCACCACGGGGTGACCAGCCCCTCCCCACCCAGCCCCACCCCTCCCACCCTCCACCCAGCCCCTCCCCACCCTTCCCACCCAGCCCCTCCCCACCCTCCCCACCCAGCCCCTCCCCACCCTCCCCTCTCCACCCAGCCCCACCCTCCCCACTCAGCCCCTCCCCACCCTCCCCTCCCCACCCAGCCCCTCCCTCCCCACCCAGCCCCTCCCCACCCTCCCCTCTCCATCCAGCCCCACCCCTCCCATTTTTGGATGCACGACGGACGGACGGACACAATAATCCCCTGTGGGCTGGTGTAACCAGGAGGTTCCTACCAGTATGAAGTGTATCACTTAGTTGCTCTTTGTATATTCAGATTAAAATGGTGCCTTCGGCCTAATGCAGTGTTCTTCACTAATTTTCAGAGGGGGCCCACTTCCGTCGATAAGACGTCATCAGTCTGAGGAACCGTCACACATTTTAAACCAGTGGGGGTTTGACAGCACGGTGATGATGGGGAGGGGGGGGTCACATTTGTGTATTGTCAGGAGGTTGCACGCCAGGAGCCGCACTAAAGGCCACCAGGGAGCCCGACAGTGGCCACCGGGGTCTTGAAATGAAGAATACCGATTTAATACAGCGCATTTATATAATAGTTGTTGTTTCTATTTAAAGCTTTCGTGACTGCAGGGATTCATCTTCTTGGTTCTTTCGGTAAAGTCACGTAGAAGGGAAGTAATAAAATAAAAAAAATAAACATAATAAAATAATTCTCACGACGTTTCGGTCACAACGCAAGCAGCCGTCCTCAGGTGAAAACCAGGTCTGTCTTTCAGACGCTGTCTCCCCGACGGCTGCTTGCGTTGTGGCCGAAACGTCGTGAGCATTATTTTATTATGTTTTTTTTTATTTTATTACTTCCCTTCTACGTGACTTTACCGAAATAACCAAGAAGATAGTTGTTGTTGTTTGACTTGCATCCCACTGTGATTTTTGCACACAGCGTTGGTGCACGGTGCTTTTTCTGCAATATTTTGCTGTCTTTTCTTGGATTATCTGTTTGCACATAGTCACTATAAGATGTACTCTTGTTAATGTTTTTGTTTTTTGTTTGTTGCGGTTGCACCCGATTCAAGAGCCGAATGGCTCACAGGGCTATACCTATCTTCTTGGTTCTTTCGGTGAAGTCACGTAGGAGGGAAATAATAAAATAATAAAAATAAAACATAATAAAATATTATAATATTATGTTTTATTATGTTTTATTTTTATTATTTTATTACTTCCCTTCTACGTGACTTTACCGAAAGAACCAAGAAGAGGGCTATACCTAATAAATAAACTTGAAACTTGAACGAGTAAGTTAATATAGATTGAAAGCTCATTTCTTTAGAATGGCTTCTTGTGTTTAGCGTCCTTCCACCTCTGATTGGCGCGGTTGGCTACGTACGGCGCGAAAGAAGTTCAACATACGTACGTACGAGTGAAGCAGTCACGAGACTCTGTATTTGACGAATAATTTTGATTCTAAGGACTTAAAAAACCCAAAAACGAAATGTGGCACTTTTTCCCACCATGTAACGGGAATGTAAAACAAACGTTGACCAACCTACTCGGTTTCCAATCTACATCATAAATTTTTATATATTTTTGGTTCTTTCGGTAAAGTCACGTAGAAGAGGAAACAATAAAATAATAAAAGTATAAAACAATACAATTCTCACGACGTTTCGACTGCAACACAAGCAATCATCATCAGGTGTGAAAAACACAGCTGTCCGTGGTGCTGACGTTAAAAAACCGCCACTTTTTAAAAAAAATTATTGCTGTGTTTTTCACACCTGATGATGATTGCTTGCGTTGCAGTCGAAACATCGTGAGAATTGTATTGTTTTATATTTTTATTATTTTATTGTTGCCCTTATACGTGACTTTACCGAAAGAACCAAGAATATGAATCCTTGCAGTCACGAAACCTTTAAATCAAAAGCATATATTTTGTTGAGGCAAACTCAGTGACTTCTAGATGAACAGTACTTCATTTGATGACATTTCTATTTCTTATATTTAAGCGGTTGTGATTTTATGTATATGTTTTAGCGGTTAGACCACAAAGTTTGTTGCGGTGTGTATGCTTGTTGAGCAGCACTAAATATCAGTTTCGCGATGGACACGTGACGTATTTTGTGTGTTTGTTTCTCTATTTTTTTGCTCTTGCGCCACTTGCCAACGCAGCAGCGGGCAGCATCACCACAAAATTCCACCATCGTTGGAATCAATAATAATATAATCGGCGTCGTTATACAGAAAACAATTAAAATAGACGCGAAGACAACCCCAGATAAACTGACCATTCAACGGTTCATCTTCTTGGTTCTTTCGGTAAAGTCACGTAGAAGGGAAATAATAAAATAATAAAAATAAAACATAATAAAATAATTATCACGACGTTTCGGCCACAACGCAAGCAGCCGTCCTCAGGTGAAGAACAGGTCTCTCGGGAAGACAGCGTCATTCAACGGTTGCAACCGCATGCCAACGTTGGCATGAGCTTGGAACCTCTGAACCAACGTTGGCGCAACCTTGGCATGCTTACTCGCTGTCCTCTCCACGTGGACAATTTTATTTTATTAACGGAACCCATTGTTTTGTCTAAGATGGGCTGTTGAAGAAAAATTGTTTGGTGCGTCTGATGGCATGCGTAAAATGGCACCTTATATGTTGTAGATTTTAAAACGTGTTTACACATTTTTTTTGTTTGTTTAAATTGTGTGCAGTTGAGAATACAAAAAAAACATTATCCATAATACATTATCCTACGTGTTAAAACTGAAGAAGATATAATCTTGCGTGCCATTCGGTGTTTGTTATGAATGTGTCACGACCTCTCTCTGGACGAGTACCCTTTGCTCCATGTCACTCATTGGATTATCTCGAGAAAATGTGTTTATGCTAAATACATATCTAGGGCAGGGCTGTGGGGTGAGTATGGGCGGGGCTGTGGGGTGAGACTGGGTGGGGCTGTGGGTGAGTAGGGGCGGGCTGTGGGTGAGTA